TGACAAAATATACCGTTGCACACTTTATATTGTACAGTGTCACTAAAAACTGATGATGCAGGTGTGATGTAGGTTTTCAAAAATTAATTTTGGGAATACTTGAAAGATTTCAATTTCATCTTTAATTTTGTATGCATTCGACTTTTAGCTTTCTGATTACATTAAAAGATTTAAAAGCAATGCTTGATTTTTTCGTAGTAAGTCTACCAACAAAAATTGATCGGTTGGAAAATGTTGGGTTTTTCACATTTCCTTTGATCATTTTTTCTCCTGTCGCCTAAGAGTGTCATTTATTTTTATGAGAATATGTTTCTCTAAACTACACAATTTAAGATGAGTGAAGATTTGATAAATATTATGTATTGGGTGTAATTTTAAAAAATCAGAAGAGTAGTTGTCAACTCCACTGAAGGGTGTCAGTGTAAATGAAATTCACGAGATGTTATATTGAACAATGCAATAATTAAACAAGTTATGTTTAAGGAACATGTTCAATTATCCCCAATACAGATGTTCTAAAGTTAAGGTAAATTTGATTTTTAAATCTTGTTGAATGTCATTTCATTTTATAAAAGTGTTGGTGTGGTGATTAATATGTGACCATGGGGTGTTAGCCTCTTACCCCTTGATCACTTGACATCTGTACTTTAACGTAATAAGAAACACTTTTATGAATTTTAATTATCTTAAGAAGTTGATAGAGAGATTTATACTAGCTAGTCGAAGATGACTTTTTAAAATCCTCTTTATGCAATATCTGGAAAGTGTTGAGGTTCAATACTATGGTTCAATCAAGTTTAAGTAATACTGTGATTGTTAAGTTTCAGTTTTAAATTAATCTGATCCCCCTGCCCATTAGTGTTATTAAAAATATGTTGTCAGGGTTAACTGTGAATTCAGATATGTAAGTTCGTTGGGACAACGTACATCAAGATGACAAGGCACATTTGTATTTTTTTGATTTTTATTATTTTAACCAAAACATGAATATTTATTAAATTTTCAACCGACCTTAATTGTGTAACTTAGGGAAACATATTCTCATAAAAATAATTGACACTCTTAGGCGACAGGGGGAAAAATGATCAAAGTAAATGTGAAAAATTAGTACCGTGGGTACTGGGCTCACATGGTGACAGAAAAAAACGGATATAATTTTTTGCTGATTTTTTGTTACAAAATTATTTCAAGCCACTTGCCACTATTTTGGACTGACATGGAGAGACAGATGGACAAATCGATGTTAAGTAAAATTGCTGAAAAAAAACGGATATAATTTTTTTTCAATTATTTGGAACAAAATTATTTCATACAACTACTCTTTACAGTGACATGGCTTTTTGCAATGCAAGACACCTGAAATTATTTGTAAAGCTAGGAAATGGGCCAAAATTGAATTTCGCGAGACAAAAATGACGACCATTTTGAAATCAGGCAAGCTTTTGAACCAGGAGTCAAAGGGGAGTTTTTTTTGTATTGATGTTGAACAAAAATAATGTGAAACTGGAATCCTATCGAGAGAGGTTTTAAGTAAATGGTCCAAAAGAGGATTTCGCGAGACAGATGAACAAATCAATGTTAACTAAAATGGCTGAAAATAAAAAAAACAGATATAATATTTTGCCGATTTTTTGTAACAAAATTATTTCATACAACTACTCTTTACAGTGACATGGCTTTTTACAATGCAGGACAGCTGAAATTATTTGTAAAGCTAGGAAATGGGCAAAAAGTGAATTTGCGAAACAAGAATGGCGACCATTTTGAAAATAGGCGAGCTTTTGAACCAAGATTCATAGGAGAGTTTTTTGTATTGATGTTGAACAAAATTAACTTAAAACGGGAATCCTATCGACAGAGGGTTTAACGTAAATGGTCCAAAAGTGGATTTTGCGAGACAGATGGACAAATCAATGTTAACTAAAATGGCTGAAAATAAAAAAATGGATATAATTTTTCGCTGATTTCTCGTAACAAAATTATTTCATACATCTTCTCTTTACATTGACATGGACTTTTACAATGTAGGACACTTGAAATTATTTGTAAAGCTAGGAAATGGGTCAAAAGTGAATTTCGCGAGATAAAAATGGCGGCCATTTGGAAAATAGGCGAGCTTTTGAACCAGGAGTCATAGGGGAGTTTTCTGTATTGATGTTGAACAGAAATAACTTAAAACAGGAATCCTATCGACAGAGGTTTTAAAACGTGCCACTGTTATTGACGAAAAGTGGATTTCGCGAGTCAGATAGACAAATCAATGTTAACTAAAATGGCTGAAAATAAAAAAATGGATATAATTTTTCGCTGATTTTTTGTAACAATATTATAACATATATCTACCCTTTACATTGACATGGATTTTTACAGTGTAGGACACCTGAAATTATTTGTAAAGCTAGGAAATGGGTCAAAAGTGAATTTCGCGAGACAAAAATGATGGCCATTTTAAAAATAGGTGAGCTTTTGAAACCAGGAGTCATAGGGGAGTTTTCTGTATTGATCTTGAACAGAAATAACTTAAAACAGGAATCCTATCAACAGAGGTTTTAAAGGAAATGGGTCAAAAGTGAATTTCGAGAGACAAAAGTGACGGCCATTTTGTAAATAGGCGAGCTTTTGAACCAGGAGTCATAGGGGAGTTTTCTGTATTGATCTTGAACAGAAATAACTTAAAACAGGAATCCTATCGACAGAGGTTTTAAAACGTGCCACTATTGTTGACAGACAGACAGACGGACAGACAGACGGACAGACAGACGGACAAGTGAGTGATTGCAAAAGCTCACCATGTGAGCTAAAAACCCAACATTTTCCAACTGATCATTGTTTGTGGTTAGATTTACTATGAAAAAAATCGAGCACTGCTCGAAGATCTTTTAACGTAATCAGAAAGCTAATGGTTTTCCTAATCGAATACACACAAAATTAAACATGAAATTTTTTATGCATTCCTCAGATTAATTTTTAAAACCTACATCACACCTACATCATATCTTTTGCTTCATATCAGTTAGAATAGTGACACTGCACATCAAAAGTGTACGGGGGTATATTTTGTCACTGTACATTGTCGATGATCAGGTGTGATTTAGAATAAAAAAGTTAAAATGATAAATTTTCTGCCTGCTGTACCATCAGTTACAGTATCTTCTAATGAAGTATTTTCTGTAATGCTAAAGATTACTTGATCTGTATGTGATGAACTACTTTTTAAAAATATCTTGTCATAAAATGTAAAATTGTACTTATATAGAATTGCAATTAAAACATTATATAAGACATTGTTAATTGCAATCCAATGAAAATTTCTGTTGCCAAACTTATGAATGGAAGCGAAATTGCTTTTAACACACAAATGTTGACTTAATGAATTTGAATTCAAACATCAATTTCGATTAAAAAACAGAAGTGAAAACAATAATTTCTGAATCCTTACCTGTAATGTCAGTTTACTAGAATGTCTGAATTCAGGCACCTTATTTCAGTTTTATAGATTGTTGTCTGAATTCAGGCACCTTATCCAAGCTTAGCAAGTTGTCTGAATTCAGACACTATATTTCAGTTTTATATAGATTGTTGTCTGAATTCAGGCACCTCATCCAAGCTTAGCAAAGTGTCTGAATTCAGACACCATATTTCAGTTTTATAGATTGTTGTCTGAATTCAGGCACCTCATCCAAGCTTAGCAAAGTGTCTGTATTCAGACACCATATTTCAGTTTTATGGAATGTTGTCTGAATTCAGGCACCTCATCCAAGCTTAGCGAGTTGTCTGAATTCAGACACCTTATTTCAGTTTTATAGGACATTGTCTGAATTCAGGCACCTCATCCAAGCTTAGCGAGTTGTCTGAATTCAGACACCTTATTTTAGTTTAAGAGAATCTTGTCTGAATTCATGCACCAAAATCTCAGATATAAGTCTTTTTTTAAATTAAAAATGTGTGGGCATGTCTGAATTCAGACACATATTTTCCCATACTAAGAGTTGCATAGAGTAAAACATCTGCCTGAATTCAGATACTTCATATATCTACACAAAAAGCTTGTAAATATGTTGCTGATGTCTGTACATAACATAGATATACAGTACCTAGAAATATATATCTTTATTTTTATACTTTGCTGGTTGTTTAGTATCTTTTCTCATACAAAAAACTTCTCCAACACCTAAAGAATACATTAATTGTCAAATATATTTCTTAATTTATATTAATAATTCAAACTTTTGTCACCTATGGAATTGCCAAACTACACTGGAACCTGTTAAATGGTGTTGCAATATCCCAATGTCAAACTCCTTTTCATTTCTCCCAAATTTTATACTTGTCCAGTTTCTCTATGCCAGAAGCTTACAGTTCTACAAATTTCAAACTTACTAATTTATAAACCTTTTTTAGCCCAATATTTGCAATTTCTCTCAAATATACAGGTACATTTTCAAACAATCTAATTTGTGCTCTTATATTTTGAAAATGAATTCTTTGAAAATGTGATATTTCTGATTGGGTACTGAGGTGCCATCTTTTTATCGATGAGATTTTATATTTCACAGATTGTGAAATCTATGTAAGTGTACTCTTGTTACTTTGAGGAATTGTAAACATCCATTGTTAAACAGGCTGTGATGATTCTAAAGACCATTGCTTATATATTGCACCTACTTCTATCTGCTTTGGTGGAACAGCACCCAAGAGACCTATGTTTGAACAATAAGGGGACATTTGTGAGAAAATCGAGTCATCACTTTTTAAATGTGAAAAATGATCAAATTGAAAGAATGTTGAATACCATTTGGCTGAATAATTAGAATGAGAATGATCCATGTATTGCATCATTAAGATGACATACAGATTTCCACGATGGTTTTTGACTTGATTTCCGGGACATAAATAATCCCTTTGTTGTTCATATCTATCAAAGAGTCATTTTGGCAGATATGAATTAACCAGTGAATTGATGTATCTAAGTGTAAATATTTGGCTGGTGTGATCTGTAGGTGCGTGTGTTTACCTACGCTGTTGGTCCAGCCGCTAACCCTGTTGCTTCTGTACGCTGGGCCGCCTGCGCTAACAGAGGTAGATCTAACAATACTAGCATTTTATAACACATGGTGGTGATGGGGATTGGTTCTCATGGACAGGAATTCAAACTCAGGCTGCTTCACTTTGAAGTCTCTAACATGCATTTTGTTAACTTAAAAACAACATAAGTATTTTATGTGAGATAAGATTTTGTCTTTTGCTGATTTATCATGAGGTAATATGCCTGAGTTTGTTGGACATGTTGGACCTATCTTCGTTGCTACTGTGCAATTCAATTCTCTAGACATTTTCATCTCCTATTCCTATATGGATGTATAACATTTCTAAAGCTCAGGTGAGTTTACACATGCCTTTTTAGAATGAGACTACGAGACCTGTGAATCTTTACAATGATGCTCCATGAATTCCATACATCCATCCAACCATCCATCCATCCAAACATCCATCCAACCATCCATCCATCTAATCATCCATCCATCCATCCAACCATCCATCCATCCAACAATCTATTCGTCTTTTTGGTCCAGATTGGAAGATATCACAAATAATGATCGGAATTACCCAGGTCAATTCTTGGATTGAAATGAAAAAATTTCTAGAGAAATACTTGTATCTTTATGCATAATGGCATCTTGCATTTGTATGTTGTTAATGTGTTGTTGTAAAGTTCTCTGTCATTGCCCACTTATATATTGTCTAAAATTTTCCATGTTTTGTAATATTATTAAATGTTGTCTTAGATAATTATGTGTTAAATCATGTTTACATATATTATTTAGTCATATATGTAATTATACAATGTCCCTGAATGTTGTTTCCATTCACATCTTATATATGGATATTATAATGATTAAAGTGTAAAATATATTCAATTTTAAAGGGGTAACAAGATACAGAGACAAATTAATCACAATATTTTTGCTTAATACATTCCTTTTTGTTCAATTTTATTTGGCATGCTAAATGACTTTGTTCATCAGAATTCTTCAAATCCTACCATATTCATCAGATATCTCAAATCATTTTTCATATTGAATTTATATTCACATTAGCGACACATTGGCATGTTTATCAAAAGTAGTGTTATCTTTTGCTAATATATTGTACTCTATACTTTGCTGCCCTCTTTATGAATGAATGTAAAAGCATGATTAGTTGATTACTTTGCATTGTATATATACCATAAATTGAAACCTCTATAAATATTCATTTCTTCTTCTGTTCCATTGTAGGTTATTTCTCAACCATTCCTGCCATGGGGGCCATCAGATCAACTGTTCAAGTAAGTTAAATACAAATTATTTAAATTTTACGATTCAAAGTATATCCCCTGTTGACTGAGTTAAAAGTACCGGTGTCTTCTTTTGGAAGGAGAAACCATTTCCTCATGACTTTTGGACCAGTTTGAACATTTATTTGGTCCTCTTTAAATATGTTCCAACTCTTTCTTTCATAAGTTCATTCCAAATTATGGGATGATCTGAGTTTGAGTAAATAATTTTATTTCAAAACTTACTGCAAATATAATTGATATTGAGATTTAAACTATATTGCTAATCTAAACACATTTTATTAAATGTTCAGTAATTGTTTATAATATCTGTAACAAGACATGAAAGGATTTTTAATCTGAATACAATTAAAAGGAGTATTATATGGGTTTTTGTTGCTATATATTCCATTTATAAATGGTGTATTTCCCAAGGAATAGAATTATTACATTGCAAGAATAAGTTACGAGAACTTATATTGTATTCAATAAAATTAAGTTTACACATTTCTCGTAAAATAAGGATCTTGGTCTGTTATTTAGTTATGTATATACATGCGGTTAAATCAGAAGAGAGAGACTTAGAGCAAAGATAACGCTTACACATTTTTATTAGGATTATGTTGACGTAGTTGCACGCCCTCTGGTGCTTTCCAAAGTGAGGCTCTTCCGCGAGAGCAATATCTACCTTGATGCATTGTCGGTATGCCACAACACAATATCACATATTTTATCTCCAATTTTAGACCATTAATGGCTTTGGGTCTGATATACTATACCAATCTTTTTACCTCTTTTGTGATTCAAACAGAAATTTCTTCCTTTCAACTTGCTATCTTGGTTTAAGAGTGATCCTATTATCTTATGATTTATTGACAGTCACATTGGTTTTAGGGATACTAGAAGATTCCTTGTAGTAAATTAATATTTGCTTTCAGGTGCCCAACAGATAGTGATGCGATTAAAGATATACAGCATTTACATGTAGAGTTTTTCAGATCTGTTTACATAAATTGATCTCCAGAGTTATTAGAAATGAACTATTTTTTTTAGAAATATCAGGAGTTTGTGGAAGCCTCATTTGCCTATGGGAACGTCTCTGATGTCCTGTACACATCAACATATAATGATGGATGGGTAATAGAACGTTACATTGCAGGCACAACTAACTCACAGTTGTTGAGTTTATAACCCACATAACCCATTTCATCATATATACAGTGAAATGTGTGTCCAGTGAACACTGAAATTTTGTATCAAATCTCTATTGTCCTATCGAAACTCGATCACTCGCATTAGTTGGGTTTTGGCTTAAGAGAGATGGAGTTGATATAGAGTTTATGGCAATAGAATCACTTGATGCAAGATTTTATAAATATGTATACCAAATTGTGTATTTTTATGGAAGTTATTCTGAAATGCTCAACAAAAAAGATGTTCATTGAGACAGGTTTCACTTTATGCATTATCATTAATGCTTCTCGTTACAATTAAAATATTTGATCTTAATTGCTTGATATGTTTTTGATTAAATTAAAAACCCGCTTCTGAGTTATTTCATTGTGATGAGAACATTTATGATTTGTTTTGCATATTAACCCACCAAAATGCATTAAAACATAACATGTCTGCAACTTAGATAATGTGGGCTGGGAAAGCCATGTAGAAATCAAAGATAGTTTTTGGTATGTACATAACTTAAGATTGATGGCTGTTTGTCAAAAAAATTCTTTATTTCAGATTAATACATTTAAATAAACAATAAATAGACCAAAGTTAAAAACATTGTTGGAAGTCAAAAATATTGAGTACATGTTGTTTGATTTTGATTCATGAAATTCATTATTAATGACATTGCCATAATTACATTGTGAAATTGAAAATTGGAAATCAGATATAATTTATAACAGTATTATGATGGTACTGAATATTGATTAACAGCCAGCCATTTAAATCTTAAGTTATGATATGGTTACAACTGAGGAAAGCAGGTATTATGAGGTATTAACCATCTCATTCAAAATGCTGGGTGTGTAGCAGACATTCAATATTTTCTTCCAAAACAAATACAAAGTTCCAAAGAATCTTCAATGATAATCATACAGAAATAGATAATTTCTTGTAATGTTGCCATTTTGAATGAGATGACCTCCAATTTGTTCCCAAAGTATTAAAGAATACTGGTTCATATGCACATTTAACATGCCATGGTCTTACAGATATTTGGTGGAGTGTGAATGATAATTAACACCATAATGGCTTTATTTGAGTTCAATTTCATTCATTTAGTGACTAATATTTAACAATAACAATTTGAGTTGATTGATTTATTGATTAATTGCTTGTACTAATTCTGATTTAATTCATAATATTTTCTAAACTCAATTTAAAGCAGTATGGTGTTCTGTTAAGGGTTAGAAGCATGTGTGTGTTGCCATTTGATTGATGGAACTGAATTGTTGAGTTGTGGAAACAATATTTTATACCCCTAATTATATACATCTTTTTTATTTTAAAAGCAATTTCAGATAATAGGTTACATTGATGTATTTGTTATATATTTGTTATGCAGATAATAACACTAAAATATTGACTCATTGACCAGCAGGGTGCTTATATTTCATGACCTGTGAAATATTGTCTTCATTTTTTTGTTTTTGTTAAATCTTTTTTCTTCCAATCTTTTCTGAAATAAAATTCAATATCATCATCTTCCTTTCATTTTACAATACTCATACAGCATGCATTCCTCTCCACCTCCTCCCCCTGCTTATTTATATAACATGTACAATAAAGTATATGTTTTATTCTCAATTTACTTGAACCTGTAGGAGTACATCCCAGTGTTGGCACGGCCAAAGGCTCTCAAAGATATTAAAAACCTCCTACTTACTAACGTTATATCTGACCATGGGGTAATTTTAGAATTATACAATGTTGCCCAATTTATGAAAATATGCCAATGGAATTCATGTACTCATATTTATAAAGAAATTCCTTGAATTCAGTTCAGCATTTTATTACTTATGAATAATTAAGACATAAAATCATAAGTTTTTAATTTGTGAAAATGCACTTAATAACATGAAGTCCAATGGTATTAAGGTGCAATTACTATTGTCAGTGAAAATGGCCTAATGTAGTATGTCAGTGTATGCCATGCTAAATTGCTAGTTTGTAGTTTGACAATGATTTATGTTTATTTTGCATTTTGCCCCAATACCATAGCTCATTGCAAAAGGGAGCGTAAGATGCAACTACTGTATATATATAGTTTGGCCATTCAATTCCTAGCATGTCAACATCTTTGTTCACTTGGCTTCAATCTGAAGGCAGTGAAGACTGAGTGTGTGAAGATGTCATGTCAATTGCCCCTATTTAAGCCGCATCAACTTTTTGCTAAAATATTCAAAAATATCATTCCCGTTTATTTTCCATGGATTCAAAAGGAAAGGTCAGTCTTTGTACAAGATTTCATTGAAAAATATCCATCAATCGTATATCCTTAATTCTAGCGAGAGGATCCAGATCTTATGTAAAATTATGACAAGGTAATAATCACATCACATAATTGCGATTAAGATAACACTAAATAATAGAATATAATATCACTGTTTTCTTCATTTAGTAGCCCAATAATAGCAAACACTGACCTGAACTTCAATTTTTTATGTCACCACCAAAAGTGGTGACATATTGTTATGGTCTCCGTTTTTTTGCGACGGCATCCGGCGGTTGGTGGTTGGCGTCCGGCGGTTGGTGTCCGGCGGTTGGCGTCCGGCGTCTATAACAATTTCTTACAACTTCCTATAACTTAACAAATACTGTTTAGACTGACTTCAATTTTTTTCTAAATCATCTACATGTTCTCAGAAGTTCAAATCTGACTTAAGATTTGACATTTGACCTTCAATGACCTTCTCAAGGTCAAAAAGGTCTTTTTTCAACTTGCTTCACATTGACTAAAATTTTTTTCAAAATCATCTACATGTTCTCAGAAATTCAAATCTGACTTTAGATTTGACATTTGACCTTCAAATCTGACTTTAGATTTGACATTTGACCTTCAATGACCTTCTCAAGGTCAAAAAAGGTCAAAAAGGTATGTTTTCAACTTGCTTCAAATTGACTAAATTTTTTTTTCAAAATCATCTACGTGTTCTCAGAAATTCAAATCTGACTTAAGATTTGACATTTGACCTTCAATGACCTTCTCAAGGTCAAAAAAGGTCAAAAAAGTCTGTTTTCAACTTGCTTCAAATTGACTAAAAAAAATTTCAAAATCATCTACGTGTTCTCAGGAATTCAAATCTGACTTTAGATTTGACTTAAGATTTGACATTTGACCTTCAATGACCTTCTCAAGGTCAAAAAAGGTCAAAAAGGTCTTTTTTCAACTTGCTTCAAATTGACTAATTTTTTTTTTCAAAATCATCTACATGTTCTCAGAAATTCAAATCTGACTTTAGATTTGACATTTGACCTTTAATGACCTTCTCAAGGTCAAAAAAGGTCAAAAAGGTATGTTTTCAACTTGCTTCAAATTGACCAAATTTTTTTTCAAAATCATCTACATCTTTTCAGAAGTTCAAATTTGACTTTACAAGTTCTCAGAAGTTCAAATCTGACTTTAGATTTGACCTTTGACCTTCAATGACCTTCTCAAGGTCAAAAAGGTCTTTTTTCAACTTGCTTCAAATTGACTAATTTTTTTTTCAAAATCATCTACATGTTCTCAGAAGTTCAAATCTGACTTTAGATTTGACATTTGACCTTCAATGACCTTTTCAAGGTCAAAAAGGTCTTTTTTCAACTTGCTTCAAATTGACTTAATTTTTTTTTCAAAATCATCTACATGTTCTCAGAAGTTCAAATCTGACTTTACATTTGACCTTCAATGACCTTCTCAATGTCAAAAAAAGTCAAAGAGGTATTTTTTCAACTTGCTTCAAATTGACGAATTTTTTTTTCAAAATCATCTACATGTTCTAAGAAGTTCAAATCAAACCTTCTTAAGGTCAAAATGTATTTTCCAACTTGCTTTAATAAATTGACCAAATTGTTTTAGGTGGTGACATTTTGTCATGTTAATGCCTTGTTCATCATTACCATATCTCTCACCAAATCTCATTGATTGCTTTGAAATTATTCAATAAATTACTCAGATATTTGCTTCTTAATTGGCCTCAAAGCATGGATGCTTCAATTTGAACCTCGTCACAAAATTGATTATCAATAGCAGTTATAGCTTATTATTTGGTATGAGGTATGCAGCGATTTATGGAAGTCAGTTTTCATTTAATTGGTGGGGCATTCTGCTAATAAGAATGGTTTTTATCTTTCACATTTTTACTAATAATCATTTTACCATTATCTGATTTTTTGTGGATTGAACTGCAAAAATAAAGAAAGTTGAATAAATAGAAAAATGTTCCAATTTTTATTGGCCCACCCTGTAAATACAATTCTGCATATTACAACTATAAGAATGATTCATACACATGTACCCCTCTTCATAGAGACTAGAGTATTATTTATAGCCCATTGCTAAATGTGTTTTTTATGAGATTGTCTCTCACATAATGCTGAATCTGCTTTGTTCTCTTATAAATCTTATCTAACGAGATGATAGCTGGTACAAAAATCATATTATAGTTGGCCAAGTAGAATAAACATTAAATATTCTCTAGAAAAAAAGTAATGTTGTGAATATTCTGTTCATTCTATATCAATTGGCTTCTGGTGCATTGAACAATGGTAAAAAGTTTAAAAAAAACATTTAGGTCATTTTCAAATGAAGATTGGACATTAATAAAATTCTTACAATTCAAAACAATTTTCCAATGTGTAAGACGTATTCTTTGTATTAATAATGTAAATAAATAAATTAAAAAAACAATGTGCCAGGTATCATCTCATATTTCTTTATTTTTAGCCAATAATTTTTTAATCTGCAGTTCTGAAGTTTTTTCTAATTCTCAGGCTTGGACTGCCTTGTGTTTGCATGTAGATATTCATGAATTCATGATGTGTTTGATTTGCTTTGCTGCTATTCTGTGTATAGAGGTATCTAAGAATCGTAAATGAACATTTGGATATTCAGAAGGCTGTACAGATTAGCAATGTTTTCCATACAAGGGTAAAATGCATGTTATGTTTGAGACAACAATTTCTGAAGTGATTTTAAAGGATGTTGTGTGTGATATGTACATATGTATAGTTCTCTCTCAGTGTAGAAGAAGCAATGGAATGAATTTTGAGGAAAAATTGTGTTGATAAGCAGTCTCATATAAAGACATGCATTGCGAGAGCACTTGGGTTAAATCATGGATTAAAAGATTACCATGTCGCAAAATGGCATTTTATTCCATCCCACATAGGTTTCTATGCTTTTTGATAGACATCATTGTTTTGACCCAAACGCTTTTCAACATAATTTCTTCTCAAAGTCACCTTGAGTGGAACTTATGTTTTTTGAAGAATTGAGTGCTCTAGAAAAATGCATTTTTCGATCCCTTTGCCATTATAATATAAATGCATGATATATATAGTGGTTATTTATTTACATTGTTTTAATCTAGCAGTTTGCAATTGATGTTTGATTCCTGTATGACTTTTTGTTGTTTTGCATTTTTAAATCCATATTTCAGCATGATAGGGTATTGTCAGTTTATTTAAGTCATCAAAATGTTTATATTGCTATAATTGTGCATATTGTTTAGCACTGGTATCATACATATTCATGCTTAGAAATAACTTAATAGTCATTAACATGTAGAGACTAATAGCTTTAGAAATAAATGTGGAATGAGTGTCTACTATCTTTTAATTGAAAAGAATAATCTTAACTAAAAATTGTTTGTATTGATTTTTAAACTGAGCACAAAATTGCAACCAGAACACAAATCATAATTTTTATTTATTTCTATTATGTATGATGAATTACATTATTGTGAAGTTATTATTTAGTAACTTGAATATTACAAATGTACGGTATGTTAGTGTCCAAATATTCACATAAACATGATTTCCTTTTTCAGGGTTTGGGAATGATGACCACTTTAACACTGCCTGTGTATAACAGATCTGAGGGGGTACGTATACAATGATAGGAGTTATCCATCACAATGTTGTGACATAAGCGCTGACCCAGAACCAGTTGATTTTTATGTCACCACTTATCACAAGTGCTGACATATTGCTATATTCTCCAACTTTTCTCTGGATGGTGTTCGGAGTTTGGCAGTTGGTGTCTGTAACAAATGGCAGGTGGTGACATTTTGCATGTTAATGCCTTGTGTCAGCATGTATAGGAACTCCCCCATGTCAAACCCTGTCTCTGAATTTCTTTATATTTGTTACAGTTTCAATCATTTATTGATAAATTCCTTTATATTATTTTCTTTTTCCATGGTTAAAGAGTTAGATTTAAGGATTTATTACTTTGATTAGAATGTTTGAATGTTTCATGAGAACTTGTGTTTTCATTTAAAATAGTATAGCAATATATTATCCAAAACGTTTGAATGTGATGCTGCTACCATCTATATGCCTGTATGTCTCTGTCTCCAGGGCAACCAAACTCTGCTCGGAGTGATGGGAACAGATGTCACTACCAAAGAGATGATGGAACTAGCACCAAGGAAGGAGGTACTTTACACTTGTGTACATATGTATGCAGCACATAAGACAAGATTGGAAAATACATAAAAGCCTATTCAATTTAGATTCAATTAAGTTCAGTGTACCTGCTCATATACTGTTCATCTCAAATTATCATATAGCCTTATAAAGTCATAAATATCTTTTGTAAAAAGTTGTGAATATCTCTAATAGACACAAAATCCTGTATATCCTAAGAATACAACACAAATGCCAGTTTTAAAAAATTTGCAAATTTTTTTTCGATGACAGTAATGTTATACTGAATGCTTTGTATTCATAAATTGATAATGTCTAGTGTTTTTTTTGTCTTAGTACTATGTAAAAACAAAACCATAATGATAAAATATGAATCAATAATTAAGTGAGTTTTTATTGTTTCAGTTGGGCCAGGCAGGCTATGTGTTTGCTATCAATGGAAATGGTTATGTGGTCTTCCACCCAAATCTCAAGGCACAGGTAAGCTATAGAAATATCTGAATTATATATTACCATCTATTTAGTATGAACTACTCTGTCTGTACCTTGTCTAATTGAATCAGATAACTGTTCATCAGATGTTTCTTTATTCAAAGGAAATATACAATAAAACCAATCCATTGATGAATACACTTTCAGTTGATGTGTTTATTATTAGTTTAAACCTTGAACATTTGCAACCATGTTAAATCATCAACTCCATTGCCTAAATTTTCTAAGTCTCATCAAAATAGAATAGAATTTGAGATATGCTCCACAAATAAGAAAGTAAAAGCAAAATAGGAAGAGGTTCCACGTTTATCCTAACCCCCCCTCTCCTCTCTGTATCCCACTACAGCTTTGTCCAGTCCCTCACTTTTGGACTCTACCACAATAATTTAATTTATTGGTGCACATTTAGAAGTTTATTTATCTCTTGGAGCAGAGAACTGTGAGTTTTAACTTTCTGACAACATTTTTCAACTTTCTTATTGCATGGTATTTTTATGTCACTACCAAGTAAAAGTGACATTGTTACAGCCATTGTGTTTTTGGCAAACAGCCTATGGAATTGCCCACTGGCCCATCCATCCATCCTTCCTTCAATCCATCAATCCATCCATCCATCCACCCAATCCTTTCTTTCTTCCTTCCATTTGTCGTGCCATTGACAATTTTCAGACAAATGGAAACTACCATGTTCAATAAACCATAAACAATATCCAATGTTCATTTTTTAACCATTTACAATAACTTACAAGGTGGTGACATTTTGTCATGTTAATATAATGCCTTGTTATGTCTGCCATATTGTCTGTCTGTCATTTTTTCAGTATTTGTAATTACTTCAATGGGCTTTTTATATTAATAGAAAATCTGTAATTTTTGATCCCCTAAATACTTGTTATCTGAATTGGTAAGAATTTTATAATCTGATGTAGGATTAGGACTCATGCTCAAGAGGCAAATTTCAAGAAGCCTTTTTGTACAAAAATACATAAAAAATACAAAAATGGTCAGATTTGCTCCTATGCCTTCAGCCTTGTGGGTCTACTAGAGAATGTTATGGGATTAGGTTTTGTCTAATGAAATGTTCAAAATTATGCTCATTGGGATCTACTATTCCAGGAGGTTGCTCTTTTCTAATTAGTATTTATTTATCCTTATAATAGTAGATAACTAGCTAACAGTAGATGCACATTAATAAGGCTATACTTAATTCACAATTTATATATGATTTATTATCCCATCGAACAAAGTTCGGAGAGATATAGGGAACGCCTCCATCCGTCTGTACGTCCGTCCGGGCAATAACTCAAATACCATTGGCCCAATTTTGTTCATATTTTGTATACATATACTCTATGGGGGTAGAAGTTCTTGCAAGGGGATTTTCAAAATGGCCGCTCATTTAAAAATGGCGGCTATTTTAGTGCCGATTTTAGAGTAATTTAGGTGCAATATGTAAAACTGTCATAGCAATATGTTTTAAATGTAAAAAAATTATAATAGGACATTAATACAGCTAGAAATGTAGATATTAAAGAAGCACATGGCAGCCATCTTGAAAAATGGCGGGCTTTGCTCGTTATTTCACGATTTTTGAAAAATGGCCGCCATTTTTTTATGTATTTTACTATAACTCGAAAAGTAGTCAAGAGATTTTGTTCATATTTGGTTTGTGAATACTATAAGCATGGCACACTGTCTAATGACACTTTTGGTAGAAAGTGGCCATTTTGAAAAATGGCTGCCATTTTTGCTATACACTTTGTTTGTAAAAATACCAGCCATGACTGTTCGATTGGATTTGCTACGCTTTGGCGTTGATGTTGTCTAGTTATTGTAGAAATCTGGGCACAACAATTTTTAGATAAATAATTTTCTACCAGCTTTTATTGTCTGATACAATACAATACTTCAATCTTGTTTTCCATATTAATAATTATCAAAAGGGGAAATATAAGGTAAACACGAGAAGAAGTTTACTGATACACTCATCAAAATGAGTAATTTGAATTAAAGTACTCATCTCTATTTGAGAACTTCGTATTGTCAGAGTATTGACCAGAAAAAAATGTTTTATGGGTTCATCTGAAATTTTCAGGGGTGATTCTACGTATGAACTTTAGAAGTGATTAGTTTTTGGGCATTCTGGGTAAATTTTTAGGTGGCCATTTTGGATTTTCTGTCCTGAAATCTTGTCTGTTGAGGCTTGTCTACAGATTTCCAACCAAACTGTTTAGGATATTCTTTTGAAAGGACCACAAGTTGTTTGTAGAATGAATCTCATTAATACACACCTTATTGGGTTGTTTTGGTTTATATCACAAGCCAATGAGGTGTGTATTAATGATTAACTTTCCTGTCATCTCAAAATCTACTTGGAACTATACCATTAGATTACTATGGGAAATTCCTCAAAGAGAAAATTTTCCAGGAATTAAGGAAGGGGTACCATTTACACAAATTGCGAAATTATTGGGAAACATGAAACCTATTTAAAACAGCATTAATATTATTCAAAAGCGATCGTAATAATGATTCCCAGACCAGCCCTCTAAATTTTGAAAAATAACAATAGCTGGGTGTTAATCCATAGATAATCCTTGAAAATGAGAAATATTTTTAAGGAATTTATGGTTCAATCTTATAGTCAATAAAATGTTTTAAAGTGTATTGATGTTTTTAAGATGAAAAACACAAGAGAAATGCATGAAAAAGCTCCCCAGATTCATTCTAAAAACAACTCGTGGTCCTTTTCAGGGATGTTTCTACCTTTGAAAGTTTAGAACTGATTAGATTTTGGGCATTCTGTTTAGTGGCCATTTCCCGTTAGTCTTGTCTGTCAAGGCTTGTCTACAGGTTTCCAGCCAAACTGAAATCTTGTTTGTTGATGCTTGTCTATAGGTTTCTAGCCAAACAGTTTCATGGATTCATCTGAAATTTTCAGCGATGTTTACGTATGAAAGTTTAGAACTGGATATAGTTTTTGGGCCTGGGTAAATGCTAAGGTGGCCATTTTGGATTTCCCGTCCTAAAATCGTATCTTTCGAGGCTTATCTACAGGTTTCCAGCCAACCATTTCGTGGATTCATCTGAAAATTTTAGAACTGATGAGTTTTTGGGAAAAATGTTAGGATGGTCATTCTGAATTTCTGTTCCGAAAACTGTATTCTATTCAAGGGTGCGATCCTGTTCACTCTGTGTCTTGTTTTATTTTTTGCATTCATATTAATGTCACTTTTATCTCTCAAACTTGATCTTGCATGACTTTGATCATATTTTCAAATATATAATAAAAAAAATTTAATTTGTCCTTTTGTTGGACATTGTAACCTCAGGATTTGACTTCAAAGCATGATACATGTACTTTTAAAAATATTCTAAATTTGGCTCATCAGTTTGACATTTGTCCTTGCTGATGACAATCACATTGACCTTGAATAACATAAAAAAAGAGTTTTTATTTTAGGTTCAATTACCCTCAAATTTATCAATACATGTACATGACCAATTTTGTTGCCTTAACCTTCGAGTGAAGGTACTACGCAAACATGATCCTTGCAAGGTTACTCGTGACATTAAATGTAAGAAGCACGTATTTGTGTAGGAGTGTCTTGTTATATATTTTGATAATAAGAATAATTTGACTAATCGTGTTTCTACATTTGTTTAGTCTTCCTAGATTATCGCTGCTTGTGAATTTTTTACAACCATTATGAGGTAGTTATTGGGACATTCACTGAAACCAGACAAAACTAGTTATGTTAAGATTAATAAATATGCTCTTTTTACAGAATGGCTGGCTGGAGGACCCTCCCAATATGGATCTCTTAGAAGTGGAGTATGACTCTGAGGAAAAAGATGCTGTGAGAAAAATTTTCTTCTAAAATTCAAATTAAACACTGAATAACTTGGAAGAAGCATTATTGTTAAACTAAAATATTTTTTGCAAGATCTACTGTTTATATTTATTTACATGTTTTATCTAAACATTGAAGAACTCGATATATTGAGACTAATTAATTCAATATTGAATTTTGTTTGGAATCTGAGAGCTTATAATGTGTTAACAAGAGGATATGATTGATTTATTGACAAAGATGACTTCATTAATTGTAAAAATATGGATGGTCATTGACTCCCTGCAATTGCTAAATATTTGAAATGCACTGTTTGTCTCTAATATACAGGTGAAATAAAAACCTGAGCCTCTAATTTTGAAATAATGATGATTTTGGACATTTTTTTTCAAGAACATGTCTTTTCGATGCTATAAATGTACAGTGTATATCACTGTTTCATGCATTAAACACCGTTTACACAATAAAATTTGAGAGTACACCTAAAATCAAAACTGAAGTTATTTTTGTATCACCCTGTATATCAAATGAATGATGCTTTTTTCTTAAAAGTACAAGTTTTACAACATTAATGCAACCCATACTTGCATATCAATTGTACTATTATTATTAATTTGATAATAATTGATCAAACATTATGTTTGTATAGATGCGTAGGAAGATGATTGACCAGGAGACTGGGAGTGCAACTTTAGATACTTTGGTAGAGATACCAAGCCAGGTACAACTGCATTACCATATAATTGATACAGAATGTTTGTTTCTGGAATAAAATGTAATAAAGCTGTTTATTACAAATGGAACTCGAAGTTTGATAAAATACAGTTAAACCCTGAAATATTGGAATGATAGTGAACCATGAATTGATTTTAGTTTGAATATGGCATTGTTGGGCAACCTAAGAAAATAATGATATTTTTATTTTATACTGAGGTTTAGTCAGGATCTTAAACATCTTGTAAGATGATTTGAAACAGCCCCATATACATGTGGCATGCGTGAAGCTATTTTAAACCTTTGATGAAAAAGAACAACTTGAAACCAGGATTTCAAGAGCCCATTTCATGATTTTGGAAATTATAGTTCCAAAAAATATTTTTTGTATGAAAAACAGATTTATCATCCTGTATGTTGTAGCGCTATGTGTCTGTTGAGAATCGTCAATACTACTACGCCCCTATAGAGAATAGTACATTCAGTCTTGGATTGGTAGTCCCTTCCTGGGCCAGTCACTACATCACCCCCTCACCTATCACATCCACACAAGGTAAGGTATCAAAATTTCTCATTGTAGTTATAATTCACCAATGTTCTGTTTCCGTGTGTACACTCAGGGTCCATTTTGAGTAAATTAGTCATCAAGATTTAAAATCTTCACAGTTCATCCTGTGCAAAACATGACCAATGACCTTAAGATTGCTGTAACTCTGACACTGTAGTTACCAAATTTGGCATAACTGTTGCAACACTGTCTCAATCCCCCTCCCCTACATTAACCATATATGAGAAATATGTGTACTCATAAATGCAACTTTTTCAAAAAACTTCCAACATAGCTTGTTTTTGGCTCACACAGTGAGCCTTTGGGATCGACCAGGCGTCCCTCCGTCCATTGGTCCGTCCGTCCGTTGGTCCGTCCGTCCGTCAACATTGGCCGCACAAATTTAAACTGCTATTTGGTTTGAGTCATATCTACAGTCATTTTATGCATATCCATAATGCCTATTTGACCTATCATCGCCATTTCCCAAGTTCGCCCGGTTTCCGAGAAATTGCTGATTTTGACGCCATTTTCTGTAAATACTAGACACTTTGTTGAAGTAGAACTTTCAAATAACTTGCAGTAGTTGCTGTATATGCAACTAATGTCCTCTGAAGATTTCAAAGCTCTTGGAATTACAGTTTTTGGTGTTTACTCTATAAAATTTGACAAAAAGTAGGACTGTCAGCATCAAATTTTTACTGTTTTTGAGATATTTGACGTCAAAAAACAGTAAAAATGAGTTATTTTTCAACCTGCTTCAATTTGACCAAATTTTTGAAAATCATCTACAAGTTACCAGGAGTTCAAATCTGACATTAGTTTTAGGATTTGACCTTTACTTGACCTTCAGTGACCTTTGAAAGGTCAAAAAAGTTGATTTTTCAAATTGATTTTTGGATGTAAATTCTGGTCAGCTTAATCACAAAAGACCTTACTGAGCTCTAAATAAGTAAAATTTTCAAGGTCAAAGGTCATCAAACTAGGTCACACAACTGTGCTGTCTAAGTTTCTCAAAGTTCGAGACTACAAAATCCAAATCAATATTTTTGTTTGAAAGTCCAAACTGTGTGAGCACAGGACCGTGGGTCCTATTTTTGAATTCTGCAAAGATGCATTTTTTAAAGAGTGATCAAAGTTAATTGCATTTTTATTCAAAAATTCAATTTTACTTGGATAAATTATTTACACACAGATTTTTCATGGTTCATGATATATATATGATATATAATTATCATGTAGGATGCTTTACACGATTCTTGATATTTTGGTAATGGTACATGTACTTGATATATGATCCATGAGTGATATTTACAGAGAAAATAAGGTAGTAGAAGTAACATGTTTTTCCAGATTCGAATTCTTGTATCCGTTTATTGAATTATAAGATACATGACTAGAAACTCATTAAATGGATTTTCACTTGATATATTCATCAATTATGCTTGATGTTCTCATTCTTGTTCAATCAACCTGATTTAGTCCCAATCAATGATCCGTTGCTCTGTCAATGTGATTTGGATTAAAGTACTACCATAACTAATCTCCCTGAAATAACCTCATTTCCATTTTCTTCCAATTTTATTGGTGCTATGTTGGTTAACATACTTGCAATGTTTTTAACAGAAATATATATATGATGTGTCCCTCTCGTAGATTGTCTAAGATATCCAAATAAAATAATACCTTACATTCACACTCCTACTGTCTATTTCAAAACATTTCTTATCCAAATTCTCAAAAGATATAGTAAATGCCATTTTGGAATCATTTGTCTAATCTCCAGTGAAAATATTTTTAAAATCAATGGATTATTAAAAAACTTAACATATAGACATTTTTTGCCCACCCTGTAGATACTTCGGCCTCCATTTTGAAAAGCATAAATATTTCCTATACTTCAGTTTTATAAGTATCCTTTCTTCAAATTAAGGAAATAATGCTATAAATAATTAAAGAAGTATATCATTATTACTTTTGGACATTATTTCGCAAAGCCCAAGAGATGCATAGGCCGAATATTCAAATCAAGTAGAATAAACTATTTGTATATTTTCAAGGGAATATCTTGAAGTGATTTCCTGAGTTTTCAGCTTAATCAATGACTGATGCTCCTATATTTGTGTCAAGAAACAAATACAAATATTAGTATAGATTTCTTTCAACTTTAACATCAAACATGATCACATGTCAAATAATTGATCACATTAGACGTCATCATCAAAAAACTTTCCTCAAGTGTGACTATTAGTAGACGGTTTGGTTTTGAACAAGACATTTGATTTGATTCAGAATGTTGATGAGCTACATTCTAGGGGTTCATTTCTTCATAGGTATCTTTATTCCTGAAGTAGTCGGGATAAAGATAATCTCCTCTAAGCTGCATAACATCGAGTCTGATCTGAAACTGAACGCACCTGTGATGGAACTTTTAGGTGACATAGGCACAAAACAACTTTGTATGATGAAATGTGAAATGACGGCAAATTGTGGGGCTATCAATTATCATAAGCTGAATGAGAACTGTGAGATGATTGATGCAAATAATCTGCCCGCTACAGGACTTTTCGCTCCGGGATGGATACACAGCGAAGTTGTGTGTGATTATACAATTAAACGAGACTGCTCAGATCTGCTTTTGCATGGTTGTTATACATCAGATGGTGTGTATTCCATACAACCAGATCCAAACCTGCCCGCTTTCGAGGTCTACTGTGATATGTCTGATGGTGGTTGGACAGTGATCCAGAAACGTTTTGATGGCACCGTGTCATTTTATGATAAACTTTGGCAAGCTTATAAGAATGGATTCGGGGACCTGAATGGCGAATATTGGCTCGGTAATGATAACATCCATACATTAACAACCAGTGGATCATATGAGATCAAGTTCGACCTCCAGGACTATTACGGTGTGTGGTTTGATGCCTTGTATGAATCATTCTCCATCAATGCAGAGAGCGATAACTACAGATTGTCTATTGGGCCCTATATGTATGGCACGACCACTGATAGTATCAACATTGTTGTAGGTGGAAACACTGGAGCAATCCTTAATGGCCAAGAGTTTAGTACAGCTGATCGGGATAACGATGCTGTAAGTTTCGAACATTGCGTAGCTTGGCTTAAATCAGGGGGATGGTGGCATAAGGGATGTTCCTACGCCCGTCTGAATTCCAAGTACAGCTTTGATGGAGACTATATCTCAGAGCAGAAGGGAATCCCATGGCGACCAATTACAGAAAATGCAGGGAAGTCATTAAAAGCTACAACTATGAAAGTGCGACGGGGAGGAATATGAAGAATAAACATTTGAAGACATGCTTAAAAAGAACTGAATTTGATAAATGGAATATATTGCCTATACTGAACTGTTTAGATCTTAAACAATTATTTGACTTAAAGATAATTGAGAATGTGTGAATTTGGCAGTATTGAGCTTACTTTGTGTGTCTTGCTTGGCCAATCAGATCTCTGCATTTGATTTATGATAACCAGTCCTTCAAATCAATCAATTATCATGTTTGAAAAAGTAGTAATGGAGTATATAGTAAATAGGTTCTACTATTATTGTCCATGTTATCATTTTACTTTGTACATAATGGAAATTTTTATTGAGAGATATCAATGAGAGTTGTAAATACATGTATGAATTGTTTGGGAAATTATGCAAACAAATTGAAGGTCAATCGACCGATGAGCCTCATATTGTTTAAATTACCTGCTGTTTCAATTTATTAAGACTCTTGCAGTCTTTTACTTGTATTTAATCTGTTAAGAAAAAAGGAATTGCAAAATGTAGTTCTATATATTTTTGCTGTTAAATGGAACTTTACTAGTATCTGTAAATGTAGCAACGAGTGTCTTGCATTCTTCATTTGTTGTAATTGTACAAATAAATTTCTGAAATTAATCTGATTTTTGTTTTGAAATAATATTCCTATTTTTAGTACACATACTAAATAGATAGTGATTGAAAATACTATTTCTAGACTCATTTTATCTTTACATTGACCTTCCATGCCAATAGTAGTGTTGACTTGCATGACTTAACCTTCAACAAGATATAAAGAGATATTCACTGTATATGACCCCTACATCTCAGTCCTTCCCCATCAGTCACACGAAGCTTGGTAGGTGTATGCATAATTAGTTCTGAGTTATCATAGTCCAATTAAAGCTTGTGAGATATTTAGTGCTCTATAGGAGATAGAAGAGGTCATGCAACCCACATTGGGGTGCTATGGTAGGATTTCGGACTAGATTTGACTTTCTCAAATACTAGTTTGGATAGATTTGATGAAATATCACTAATGAATTTTCTTAATTTTAAATTGACTGTCTGGAGATTCATGAAAGGTAGTGATTGATGCAAATTGAGTTTATACAATCACTAAATGACCTCAAATATTTATATTGTTTTACTTGAAAAGCTGGAGATCTGGAGAGAGTACATATATATTTCCAGGTTTAAATTACTGCAGGAGTTATCTGATGTATGGTATATTTCTAGGTTTAAGTTATTTGCAAGCGTCTGAGATATCTGATATCTACTTCGCCAACTGGGACTTCTGCAGCAATATCAGTGTAGTGAGCAATATATCCACACCCATGGAGGATTTCTTCAACACTCTGGAGAATGAGTATGAGAAATGTAAGTAGTGTATTCTGGACTGCAACAGTTTGCATTAAATTTTGTACTCCCACTAATACTTGACGAAATTATATTTCACATTTTTGGCATTTTGAAATTTTGCGGCTACAAAATTTTGCTAATTTTCAGTTTTCGAAATTTTGCGGCTATTAATTTTTGCAGATTTGTCATACAAGATCACTCTTTCGACTTCAATATCTGCCATGGTTGTTCCTTTGCCTGATGATTTTGGCTTCTTATTAAGCCATTTCGTTAAATATTCATTTTATTTTAATACAGTAGTAACAATCTTTCTTCTTTTTTTTTAATAATTTTTTTTTATTTCCTAATGCAAGATACAAGTATACAAATAACATAATACAATACTAGCAACAGCAACAGGTTGTGTAACACTTACATTTTTCTAATCAATATTTCAAAGTTAAATAAAAACTCCAAATTTGGATGGTTTCCCTTTTTGTATTTGCTTATAACATTATGTGCCACTGATATAACTACATTAATTTTTTGATCCTTTGTCCCTATCAATTTTTCTGTTGGACTCAGATCAATATTTTTGTTAAATTTATCTTGACAATATTTTTTCACTAATTCCCAAACCTGTTTAATATGTGGACACTCAACAAAGAAATGCTTGTATGTGTCTCTTAATTTACATTTTTCACATTCATTATCATCTTTCATTTTCATCTTATACAGTAGTTCATTTGTTGGGTATATTTTATTAATTATCTTATAATAAAGGGACCTAAGTCTTGGCTCCTTCAGACATTGAACTGTTCTAAATATCAATTTCATATCTATGTCACCCTCTTCCCTCCATTTTTCAGGAATATTAGGTAGTTCTGTTTGATTTTTTATTATTATATTTTTATAGTCTTTTAATTTTGCTGTTGCTATAACAATATTATTATACATATTTTCATTGCTTTTGTGAACAATGGTTTTATTATACAATAAAGATTTTAACAAATTATATTGCATTCTAAACTCTGGTCTAGGGCCTATGATATTTAAAATTTCCTCAAACTCCTTTATTTTATCATTTTCATCAATAATCTGTCTAAGTTTCTTTATACCCCTTTCAACCCATTCTTCAAAATATATAACCTTTCTACCATATCTCAAACTGTGGTTATTCCATAATATATCATCATTGTTTAATTCATTATGTAAATCTTTATTGTCTAACCACCCTATGCAGACAGAGCCTGTGGGAAATATTGGGTGCGGAGCAAATGAGCGGAGGGTGCGGAGCTAACGGTTATTTTTTAATTTAAATTTGGGATATTTCTGAAACTTAGCCGTTTTGGGACTTCAAATATACCAAGATATGTGTATTTGACCGACCAAATATCAATACAATTGTGAAAATAGTAGCGCAATTCATTCTATAGCGACGCAGTGTGCCTTAAACCTTTCCCAGACCTATATTTTGAAATTATCCTTTTAATACTGAGTCCCCAGCATTCATAAAAAATGGTGTTCAAGGTGCACTATCTATACAAATTATTTTTGCATCTTGGAAGCCAGGCAGTATCTGTGTGATTTTATAAAAATTCGGAAATTTTTTCAGATATGAGCCCCCTCTAAATATTGGGTGCGGAGCAGCTCCATAAACGTAGCTCCGCACCTAATATTTACAGGGGCTCATATCTGAAGAACATTTCCGAATTTTTATAAAATCACACAGATACTGCCTGGCTTCCAAGATGCAAAAATAATTTGCATGGGTAGTGTATCTTGAACACCATTTTTTATGAATGCTGGGGACGCAGTATTAAAAGGATAGTCCCAAAATATATAGGTCTGGGAAATGTTTAAGGCATACTGCGTCGCTATAAAATGAATTGCACTACTATTTTCACAATTTTATTGATATTTGGTGTCAAATACACATATCTTGGTATATTTGAAGTCCCAAAACGGCTTAGTTTCAGAAATATCCCAATTTTAAATTCAAAAATGACCGTTAGCTCCGCACCCTCCGCTCATTTGCGCCGCACCCAATATTTCCCACAGGCTCTGTCTGCATAGGGTGCTAACCATTGTTTAACAAGTTCAACATAAAATGATGGCATTTCATCCTGTTTTAATTTTGGTTTCAACTCTGCATATTTTATATTGTAGTCAAATATATCTACATGTCCCATTCTTTTTATAAAGCAAAGGAACATATGCTTCCAGCTTGACTTATAATTTTTAACATTTTTTATACGTGATACCCAGACCAATAGTGCAGCACTTTGCACAGAAAAAATGTCAACCATATTTAACCCACCATTTTCAATGCTTTGTCTTAGTATTTTTCTTTTGATCCGTTCACCTCCACGATAATGCGGTTTTAAATTCCAGATGAATTTGTATAAAACATTATTAATCTTTCTTCTTATTTCTCTTTTCCAAAACTCGCGAAAAGCGTGAAATATAGTCCAGCTTTTACCAGGGAGGGAGCGGTTTTACCAAGGGGGTAGATTTTTGGCAGTTTTGGCTGAAAAATCATGCAAAAAGTGCTCAGAATGGTGAAAAACTGCATGATTTTGAAAGAAAAAATTGTTTGTTTCTGGCCAGGGGCTGCCCCCTCAGCCCTCGCTCCCCTGAATGCAGTGTCTAATCCATGATTGTGTTTGTAGGTGATGATGCCCTATTGCAGCATTTGTTCTGGGATGCTGAGGTAACAAAGAACATGGACAGCTGGTGGGAGAGTAATGCTGCTATGTAAGTTAGAGTTCACCTTTGAAATAGTAGACTTGGGGAAAATCTGAAATAATATCAAACAGCCGTGAGATTATGGTAGTTTGTGCTAATGTTCATTGAAATTCTGTATTGTACCAGAGAATGCTTAACACATTTTTTCTGAGCTGAATATGTTTATTCATATGATGCATCCAAGCTTCTGATTTCTCTTATTGCAGGATCAATCGCAGCTTTATAGGAACAGCGGGTGGTCTGACCAGGATGTTTCCCAAGGATAACAACGGCAGTATGCAAGTTAGTGAGGCTATGCTGGATACCTGGAAGTTCTCCGAGTACAAGCGAGCTTATGACACTGATAACTTTATATTCATAGCACCATATAAAACAGGTAAGAATGAATAATTGGTTTTTATATTGATTGCAAGAGAACACTGATGTGTATGGCTTTAATTTTGTATTATATGTTAGGAGATTCTTAAAAGACTTATTTTTTTTATTTCAGATGAAGTATTTGAAAAATATATGCATTTGATATTGATGTACAGTAATACGTGTTTTGATTTGTTTATGTTGAAGCGTTCAAGTTAACAAGCACTTTCGTTGTTTGTAGTTGTTCTTTATTTATTTTTAGAGTAGGATTTTGTTTCCATATATTGTAATTTATTTATATATATTTCAATTTGAAATGTGGCAATTTAAAGTTGCAGCAAAGACTAGAGAGTGTAACAACTTGGATGCAATCTTATTCGTGCAAATTCCGTCACAATCCTAATTTTATCTGAAAAAAGAATTGATTTATTTATTAAATATGTTTAACTATTCAACTATTTTGCCAGATAAAAAATTAAGGACTATCTTGTATAAAAATCAGAACTGTTGGACTTTTTATTAGAATTTAGGATATAACATGGAATGATAAGACCAAACAATATTATAAAACTCTTGTGTCGTTCCGAGTCTTTGCTACACTTTCAAATTCATGCATGTTTGAATTTTGTGTAAATCAGTCAATTCATATAAATATTTCACTCAAGAAAATGTTCAAAGTACCAGGAATTTCCATGTATGTTTATTTACTCAATAACTCCCAATCATTGAATTTTATGTAAGATATTAATTTTGTTTCATTGTTATTACTATGTACAGCGGCACCATGGGTGGAATTTAATTTCACTGGCAACACATCATACATGCATTATACATATGTTGGTAAGGTATCCCCTTGATTCACACCTAACACCTCTTCTCATACCATAACATCCTAACATAACATACTGGTAAACATTCTAATACTAGTATATGTGTGGAAATTTATAAGATATGTGTTTGTGTAATATTTTATCTTTTAACACAAAACCACTAAACCTCTCTATAATCATCAATGGATAAACCAATAAACCTTCAATGTTAGGTTTAAAGGTGTAGATACAGGTTACCCCTCTCCTCAGCCAGCCCATCCACTCTCCAGATTTTCCCATCTCCTATTTTGACTGCATGTAGCCGAAAGTCGAGCATAGCTCCTGAGAGACATTTGACCTATTGAATATGACAGTTAGATCATCTCATTTCCCAAGCTATGTTTCCGACATGCCCATATCTTATAAACAAAAAATAAGTTTTAGAAAGTCCCACCCCACCACCTTCTACATGTGTGCCATTTCTTATGTAGCACCCAACATTGTAACATTTAACAATATTCAATGAAAAAGGGTAGCATGCTAGTATACTATAAATTATAACACGCTCTCAAAAATAACAAGCTATCTATCTCTTAAAAATAATGAACATATTTCAGATAATTTGTTAACATTTGATAATGTACTAAGAGTGGGTGGACTATAAATAGATGGCAGCATTTAATAAGGATCTATTTGTCGTAATTATTATAGCTGATTATTTCTTCAATATCTCAAAAATATAATGCATTGCATATACATGTAAAATCTATCTGAATGTAATAACATGAAATTCTGAAGAACTTTTTAATTTAAGCTTTATTACTGCTGCAATGTAGGAGTATTTTAGATATATTGAAGCAATATTCAGAATATGGGATATATCAGTGAGTCGTAAACAAAACAGCTATGTATTTAAACCATGCAATTGATGTGGTTTTGTTCTGCTTCACATGTCTCGGAGATTTTCTGAGAATATGCTTCAGTAATTTGGAGAGTGCTTCAATGGCAAGCAAGAAAATGCTGTTAATTCCTTGTTAAAGTTACATTCTGTATTGCTACTTATGTTATGTTTACTACCATTTTATCGAAATGCATGATAATTTAACTGAAAAACAGGGTAGACTTATAATAATGCCTCAGTCACATTTGATCTATGTCACCGTACAGTGGCCGTTGCTTCCCAATATCTCGAGAAATACACAGCATAAAATATAGGAAAAAAGAGTACGATGTAGATTTTCTATATCGATTTTGTGAAGATACAGCCACCATCTAGCTGCTGTAAAGCAAATGTGACTGTGGCTTGAGGGACTATACTCATCTACAAGTAGTCATAATGTCACACACATAAACATGCACCTGTATTTGGTAATTGTCATTCCATGTACTTCATGTTTCAGATGATGACTCTGAAAACACCACAATGCCATTAATCACAATGTACAAGTCTATAAAGATCACAAGTCCAGATACCTATTATCCCGCAGGTATGTCCACTTAGATTTAACTTATTTTCAGATTGTTTTTTTGATTTCTTTGATGTAATATCCCCACCGAGAAGAGGTGACATGTTGTTGTACCCACTGCTTTTTGTCACCAGAGCTTGGCAGTTTGTATCTCTAACAAATTATTTCACAACCATTTCCTTTATTTCAAGTGAAAAGTTGTTTTCTACAACTTATTAATTGAAGTCAGTAGAAGCTTAGTAGAAGTCAGTAGAAGCTTAGTAGAAGTCAGTAGAAGTTAAGGTTATGAGTTCATTGAAAAAATCATCCCTACATTGTTAATTACATTCGCATAAAATATATTAATGTTTGACACCCTTTCTATACCTCAAATTGTAACAGATTTTTAATTTATATCTAGTCTTGTTTTATGACATCTTTTTTTTCATTGTCACACATTTCAATTATTTCAGTGATAGGGACAGATATTGAGTTAGCAGAGTTCCTGGCAGACTTTGAGAATATGGTTGCATGTCGTGGCGGGGAATATGCGGATTCACTATGCTTCATACTCGATGATGGAGGATTCATCATTTCAACGAATCAGAACAAAAAAGATGTAAGTAGAAATGAATCATTTTGTTCGTCATAGCTGGAATGATGATTTTTATGTCACCACCAAAAAGTAGTGACATACTGTTATGGTCTCCTTTGATACAGTGGTTTGCAATCGGCAGTTGGCGATTGGCGTCTGTAACAAATGGTGGTGACATTTTGCATGTCAATGCCTTGTTTATCTCTGTAGCTATAGTGACGTTTCTTTTGTCCTCACTATCCAAGATTAGGGCATATTGTCATACCAGATGTGTCTGTCTGTCTACATATTTGTAATAAACATGTACAGAGGAGACTTATTCATATCTATGTTTCTACATGTAGGTTGGCAGGTTTCTTGGCTATGTGGACCCAAGCCTCATGAACATTCTATTTAACACTACAGTCTACAAGCGTATTGAAGAGTTTGACTTCCAGGCTTCCTGTCCTGAAGACGACGGCTTTACAAGTGCAGGATTTAGGAGCATTTTCATTGTAAGTAGACAGCATTTTCATTGTAAGTAAACAGCATATTCATTGTAAGTAGACAGCATTTTCATTGTAAGTAGACAGCATATTCATTGTGAGTAGACAGAATTTTTATTGTAAATATCTTGACTGAGTTTCGAACAATAAAATAGATTGTATTATGATCATTATAGTTATTATATAGAATTGTATGGTAAGAACTAAGAATGCAATATAGAATTAACAGAGTAAGTACAACTGCTATTTCAATTATATGTATTTAAGTTTTCATACCATATGTCACTTTGTATTTTTCAGCCAACTCTACCAATTGCTGAAATGTTAACATTTAAATGGTGGTCAACTGCAGCATCATGGTGAGTGTTCACTGTCCAGCCTTCATTTTTTGTGCTTGTTCAGTGATTTTAACATTCTTGGTTGCTGATGGATTCTGGCACTTATTACCTTGTAGATTTACATTCATTTGTGACTGACGAATACCATCTGTGTGAAATCTTTGCATTGTACATGTACAGTAATTATGAAATGCAGCACAAATAAGATGATATAAACTTGAAAGAAAAATAGAAAAATTATGTGTTGTTCACTCCTTGCAAGATTTTGCACTGAAATAAACTCAATTCTCAAGTGATAACTTTCCACATCTAAAATCCCAGATTCGTAAATACTGTAATATTGTATGCTTATGATACCATGATACACATGGATACAATAACTTTATCAAACCTTTTCATTTCAGGGCATACATGAACTACAATATTTTCAAGTAAGTAGTTTGAAAGTGCATGTACATCTAATGCCTTGGTCACATTTGCTCCGATTTTCACTACGGCGCCCAATCGGGCAGGCGCCGACTGATGGATCGTAGCAAATGTGACCCAGGCATAAGGTAAAGGCATATTGAATGCAGATTTAAAGTTTAAAGAACTGGCATTCAAGTATTTTATGAGTTATTTAGTAGTCTTTTTTATTACTATTTGTTATTAATTATTATAGTGACATTTTTGTCATATTTATTGCCTGAATGGATTTTAAGCTTTGTATGACTATATTCTCTATGATTATTTTTTATGACGTTATTTAAACTGATTGTATTTGTTTCAGTATGTTCATGGCTGAAAGTGATGATTTTGGTAAGTACATTTTAGCAACTGGGTTATGTAAAGTTAAAAGATGACATTTATATCCATAACACCCAGTTCACCCCTTTGTGTATTTCATCAGTTTTGATCTATTAAAGGATAGCTTACTTAGTGTTATTCAGACATTTTGCCTAAACATGTGTGCATTGTTTCAGTATATGCTGAAGAAGAGCCTAAGAATAAGAGCTGCATAAAGAAGCAAGCCCAGTATTACTATGGGAATGACGACCCCACATTTACTCTTACATATGAATTCCCCTGTGAAAACTGCTCTAGGTAAGTAACTTCATACCCTGTGTTTTGAATACCCTGTGTTTTGAATACCCTGTGTTTTGAATACTGAGAAAGTGGAAATAAAATTTCCCAATGTTATTTCCCCATAAAAGAAAGGTCTACAATTTTTGTTTGCCAAACAAAAATGCATTGTTAAATAAAGGGAAAAATATGTAATTAAATATACACTGGTGATCCACTCGATTACGCTGGTTACCAAAACGAACCGTTTTGGTAACAAAATGTCGGAACGTCGAAGGCACGATTTTTCTTTTTTCCTTATTTCACGCGTTGTAGGCAGAATCCCCACGGCGTTTTTTCTCACAACGTACTTCAGTATCATATGTTTTAGAAAATGTACATGTTTGCGAAAAAATAGCTCAGAGGACAACAGAATCGTCGATTTACTTCCTCACTTCAGTTACATAAACGGTTTTTCGAAAAACAGTTAAGATCTGCACTTTTAACCCAAACCGTTTATGTAACTTAAGTGAGGAAGTAAATCGACGATTCTGTTGTCTTCTGAACTATTTGTTCGCAAATATGTACACTTTCTTAAACATATGATACTGATACACATTTGTGTTAAAAAATGTCGTGGGATTTCTGCCTACAACGTGTAAAATAAGGAAACGAGAAAATCGTACCTTCCGGATGTTCCGACATTTTGTTACCAAAACGAACCGTTTTGGTAACCAGCGTAATCGAGTGGATCACCAGTGATATACAAGGTCTAACTATTCACTGTGTCAATTATTACGACTTAAATGTAAACATTTACATATAATGTGTTGTAGGTCATTCACAGTTGCCCGTATACAGCAGACCAACCTTCTCCTTGTATCAGCTGAGAAGGATGACTGTGAAGAGTGTGACCATAGCTACCCAGTGCAGGTCCCCACAGAGGATGATGGCCCTGATATATGTGAAACAAAGAAGAGATACAGGAAAAGACCAACAACAGAGTGCTATGATTATGACCCTAATGTAAGTATAAAACGGCACAACAGATATCTGATGAGTTCATCCTCTCGATGACAACACATCAAAGGTTCTGCTCAATTCCCTTTACGAAGAGTGTCAACAAAATACATTTAACTTCTGGTAATATCAAATTTTGTCATTTCTTTATTCCTCACTGACTCTACAGGTAAAAAGGTGAAGTATATTTTGACTGTATTGATTGAGCAGGCCCGTAAGACATTTTTCTCCAAGGGGGGTGCGGTTTTTAGCTTACTAATATAAAATTGTCATTTTTTTGCCGCGTAAATCAAATCGTGTAAGACAGAGGGGGGGGGGGGGGCAGTTACCCCCTATATTGGTTTGGAATTAACAAATGCATGCAACTTCCAAATGTTCCAATTGTTTTGTGGGGGGTGTGAGGAGTGGTCCACTCCCCCTAGAATATTTTACTGTTTTGAGATGCTATTTGGTGCTTTCTGGGCACTTTCAAAGTGTAAGTTTCTAAGTAGTACGCCACCACCACGGGAATAAGAGTTGAGTGAATAAAAAACCTAGCATTCAGGGGTGTCTGGGGGTTCTCCCCCAGGAAAATTTTGAAATTTGGTTGTATTTGGAGCGAATTTGCAACCATCTGGTACGCCTGTGCGTTATGAGTCAATAAGAAAAATGTGACTTTTTCAAATTCTTTTGGGGGTGTCAAAGAGGATGAGAGGGTGAAGTGGGGTGGGGTGCCAGTAGGGGAGCAAGGGGTTGTCCCCCAGAAACATTGACCATATCAAGGTGCTATTTGATGATGTCTGGGCACTTAAAAAATGTCTGAGACAATAAATGAAATTCAGAATATTTTGTTTTGTGGGGGATGTGAGGGGTGGCTAACTGTCCTAGAAAGTTTTACAATTTAAAGATGATATTTGGTGCTTCTGGGCACTTTTAAAGTGTATTAGTCAATAAAAAACATTGAAAAACAATCACAATTTTTCTCAAATTTTGGGGGTGTCAAAGGGGGGAGGGGTGCCAGAGGTGGAGGTGGGGCTGGGGTGCCAGAGGGGGAGCAAGTGTTTGTCCCCCATATCAAAATTTACAATATCAAGGTGCTATTCGATGAAGTTTGGGCACTTTAAAAGTGTATGTGCCTAAAAGTGCCTATTTCCCAAGAAAATTTTACAATTTTAAGATGGTATTTGGTGCTTTCTGGGCACTTTCAAAGGGTATGAGTCAATAAAAAAATTTGAAAAATCTCAATTTTTTTTTGGGGGGGGGGGGGGGGTGTTAAGGGTGCCAGAGGGCGAGTAAGTGTTTGTTTTCCAGAATCATTAACTTTATCAAGGAGCTATTTGATGATGTCTGGGCAATTTAAAAGTGTCTGAGACAATACAAAAAACAAATTCAGAACTTTTCCATTGTTTTGTTTGGGGTGTGAGGGGTGGCCCACTCCCCCTAGAAAATTTTACAATTTTACGACGCTATTTGGTGCTTTCTGGGCACTTTCAAAATGTATGAGTCAATTAAAGAATTTGAGAAAATCACAATTTTTTTTTTTTGGGGGGGGGGGGTCAAGGGGGGGGGCGCCAGAGGGGGGGGGGGTTGTTATGCAAGTGCAAGATGCAAGAGGGGGAGTAAATCTCCCAGAAACACTAACTACATGTATATCAAGGAGCTATTTGATGATATCTGGGCACTTTAAAAGTGTCTGAGACAAAACTCTAAAATAAATTTAGAACTTTTCCATTGTTTTGTGGGGGGTGTGAGGGATGGCCAATACCCCTAGAAAATTTTACAATTTTAAGATGCTATTTGGTGCTTTCTGGGTACTTTCAAAGTGTATGAGTCAATGAAAAAAAATTACAAAAAAAATATTTTTCAAAAAAAAAAAATTTTCAAATTTTTTTTTTCAAATTTATTTTGGGGGGTGACAAAGGGGGGTGCGGTCGCACCCATCGCACCCCCCCCCCCCCCATCTGACGGCCCTGTTGAGAATATTGGAATGAATGTTCGAGGTGTTAACAAATCAGATATTATAACAAATGGTACTCTAAATATCTTCTATTTATAATTTTTTAGGAGGACTCTTCATTATGTGGTGCTACAGGAATAACCGTGTCAATAGGTCTACTAGTCTGTGTACAAACTGTTTTACTTTTATTCCGGTGAGATGATCAGCATATACATCAAGGCTTAGCCAGTATTCGTCTTGGTCGAGCTGCGTCTGCCTCACTCGTTGGGTTAAGGAAATAAATAAATAGGAATACATTAAGAAGAGAAAGTTTGCTGGAAATTAAGTTTTAAACATCAAGGAATATATGAACTACAGTAAAACCTATCTAAGTGGACTACCTTTGGTACCACTAAAAGGTGTTCCATTTGGGATGTGTTCCAATTATAGAGGTTCATTTATTTAATATTAAGTCAGCTAGTCTTGAGACTGAAATGTGTTCCATTAACAGAGGTGTTTCACTTCTAGAGGTATTCCACTTTACAGGTTTCACTGTAATTATTGTAAGATTCATGATTAATTGAAAATAATGTTATTTAAATTTGTGATAATGAGAATCGGAACCACCAACAAGAATGGCTTTGAGATAAATTTGTGATATGTGATTTTTATTGTTAAAGACTCTGAAATTACATAACATGGTTTTCTTTGCTTAAAAGAAATTCCATTTAACTCAATGCCTTTTACATAACCAAGAGTCAATATTGATAATAATTTCCAAACTATCAGAGTATAAGCTGAAAAGTGTCAAAAGAACTTGTATGTTATGAGTGTCAAAATGTAAAATGTGTCTCAATGATGTGTGTCAGAGTACTTAATGTACTCCTCCACTGATTATTTATTCAACTTTAATATTGTATGAGATGTTCTCATATGGTTTTATACCCAATTCTCATATTATATTACATGTACATGTATATGGTTTTATATTATAACTTATTGAGAGAATGTGTACAGTGTAGTGTAACTCATTCAAGTGGCAGCAAGGAGAAAAAAGAGTAAAATGTTGGAAACAATATTTTAAGCTAGAATTGGGTTTTCTGATTAAATATGGTCATTAATGATTTAAGATCCAGAAATGTCCAGATTTCATTAGATCCCATATTTCAATTTTTGTTATCTTTAAAATCAAAGAAAATCATGAACAAAATAAGTCACAACTGTAGGACTTGTAGAAAATATGCATTGCATGGAATGTTGAGATTGAAATATTATGACTGGGTTCTACAATAGAAATTGACATTTGATTGAATATCAAAATTTTCAGAAAAATGTTACTCGTAATTATGCAAAAATTGAGTGAAAGATACTGGTTGATCTAGACATTTGATTTGACCTCAGAATTGTGTAAAATGAATGTAGTTTGGGATTTTTCATAATATTGTTGATAATGCTATACATATTGAATCTCTCTGTTATTGTTTTTTACTAAGTAATATTCTATATATTTAAGTAGATCTGAGATATATGAATCTCGATAAGTAAGCATCAAATGGTGATGTTTCCATAAGTATTTATTTTAATGTATACTTAGTGGAATCTCTGAAAATACAAGCATGCTAAGTTGTCAAAGTACATAGTTAAGAATTAAGAAATCAAATTAAAACTGAGAGTAGTTCAAAAGAACCATGTCAGATTGTGCAAATTAGCAGGAAAAGTTTGCAATATTGAGTTCAATAATGTCTGACCAAGGAAAAAAGGAAAACATTCTTGTAAAATGCTCTGTTACAAAATGTTGAATCGCATAATCTTTACAATAATTTCAGTCCAATTCACAGACACAAAATTGACCATATTTCTTTGGGATCAGGCACAAAACTGAAACATTTTGTTTCAGGTTTTCTATAAATATATGTTATTCTAATATAATATAGCATTTAGTGTAAATGCGATCAATGATGTAATATAGCATTTAGTGTAAATGCGATCAATGATATAATATAGCATTTAGTGTAAATGCCATCAATTGACTTTAGATCAGGAAATATAGAAATCCAAGTTGTACAGTCAAGTTCAATCATAAGTCTGTATATATTGTGTAAATAATGTACATATTAAGTCATCAATACCAATGCAAACCCATGACCCTTCATTGTATATATCAACTAGGGGGCCCACAAGACACTATAGCAATATTGGATAATTGTGGGATCTCTTATATCAACTTACACGAATAGTAACTTTTATAACATTGCTCCACATGTAATATCAATGATATGACTTCATATTATATTAATTATTGTAGTAATTGTAGTTATTAACTTTTTTAGGGTCCTTTGAAAAAACAATCAGACAATATTAGTCTAAGGTGCAACCTCAAACTTTTCTTAACTCTATTGATGGCCCTTTTAGTTCATCAGGCCATATGCTAATTGATAGGGGTGGGACGGATAACCGAAATACCGAAAAACCGCGGTTCATAGCCTTCGGATCGGTTTTCGGATCACGGCCCTACTTTCGGATCAGCTTTTCGGATCGTTTTCGGATTAATATTTCATTGGTCAAGTATCAATAAACAGATAAAACAGTTAAAAACACTGTTTTACAGCAACATTTTTGATATTCCTAGTCCCTACCTTGTCTGTCTTGTCTGTTGCTAGCTCACTCGTTTACTAGATTCGTTTCGTATCCGCGTATTCGTATCCCTCGGTAATCAATCATATGGTCCCTGGTACTATATTCTTTATTCGTGTATTCTAAATAATATGTATTGTTCATGAAATAAGTGACAGTCAGCAGTGAAGTCAGAGACAAAGCAGCTAATCATGTCAATCAATACAAATCCTTAAAATGAATGAACCGAACCGAAAAAACCGAACCGACGGCTGATGATCCGAAAAACCGAACCGAAACGTCCCATCCCTACTAATTGATCATTTTCTCTGGAGACTGAACATTGACACTGGGTCATGAAAAAGTGCTCATCATAAATGTTTAACTTTCAAGTTTTTACATTGAATAGATTGTACCCTGATGAATTATGCTTATACTAAAATGATTAGGTGTCAGTACAAATGCTTTATTGTCCCACCAAACTAGGTACAAGGGTGTTAAGTGAGTATCTATGTATGCATCTTAACTCACCTTCAACTGCAGTAAAACCTAGTCTGAATACCAGTTAGACTGGCCAAAAGTGTCTGGAATAGATTCACATTTCAAGGTATCTTTGTAACCAGGGAATCAACAGGAGAAAACTTGGACTGAGAGAAATTGTAAGGTTTGAGATTGTAGAGGTGTTTAGGTTTTACTGCATTAATAGTCATACATTGTACTCTGCTTATTCTGTAGAGGCTACAAGAAAGATATCTTGTTGATTTTAAAATTTTCTAGTATCCGATATTTGTTAATATATTTATGAATGTTGTATCCGACAGCCACTACTTGTATACAAATGTATATATTGTAACTGTCGATTTGCTGAAAATGTAGATAATCATTTTATGATTACATGTAATAATGTACAGGGCTCCAAAAAGATGAGCCATAAGGTAAAATCAAAACCATAAAATTTAGTTTGCATATAAATTAACACACAGGGCTATAGTCAGGCATTAATTTTACAGAAAATTATTCATTCTTATAATTTTTTGAAACTGATGATGAAGTCCATCATTAAATTGCCTCGGCTGATATAGATCCTGACTACACCCCTGGCAATAGCAGTCTTTTTAACATGGGTGGTGCCTATATAACATATACAAGGTAAATAAAGTGGATGCGGTTGTCTCTTCAGACTATGTGCAATAAATAACCTTGCTTGAATAAGCGAGCAATGTGTTATATGATTCAGAGTAAGAAACACTTGTTTTAAAGAAATAATTTTTTGTATATTTCGGGGTTTATATGGTTTCATTATTACACTCATACTTATTCATATTTGTATGATTGTCCCAACCAACAAAGTTCTGTAAGTTCTCTGTCTGTATTAAAGTAGATCATAACACTTCTATATTTGCTTTTGGAATTTTGCAGAAATCTTTTATGTATATACTTTATAATATGCAAACAACGGTGGAGAGAACATTTATTGATATTATATTATGAAATCATTCAGATCCATGAGGGATCATCATATTTTGTTGGTTGGGATTTGCTTCTCCATGGAGTTGCCATTTTCTAGTTTGTTATTGATGTTTTTGTTGCTTTTATTTATTGCAGCTTCTCCATTTATTCTCTAATATTTATTCTGTAAATAAGGCCAAAGGAAATTGATTCTTTGTTTTGCATCTGTCAGGTTCTCAGAATTAGTCATACTTTTTTTTTATAGTATTAAATTACAGTGTTCCCATCTTGTTGGTTCACATCTTATGAACAAGTAGCTTGATTGCAAGTCAAGAGTTAATACATATATGGGTGGCCTAAAAGTAGGTTTACAATTATTCAACAATATTTTCTGTAAGCTGTAAAACTACTTTTGGGCCACCGTGTATTTTAATTAATCCTATTGATTGGAATTACTACTTACTAGTCAGCAAAAATTTGTCATTTTCCATTTCTTGTCTTGAAAAATAAGATAGTTGAAATTCAAGCAAAATAAAACATACATCAACATGCCTTGAAGTATTCTCAATTTGTGTAGTTAACTTTGTTTTATCTGTTTATTCTCTAAAATTAAACTCCATTTTTAAAATCAATCCTTTAGTCATAAAAAACATAGCATTAAATATCCTCTAATGATGCTATTCTCTTTAGCACTGATGCAAAACATCGAATAAACTTTCTTTGCCCTTATATGATCATCTGGCAATTTGATAAAAAAAACATATTTATTTAGAATGTTAAGGCATGCCATTTATTATGTTTATTGTACATTTGTATTGATATTTTAGAAACTAAGCTTGGTTCATTTGAATATGGTACACTCCATATGGTTAGATTTGTTTAATAGGCATGTGATCAAACATTTTGTTTCATATGATGTTTTATATATGTATAACTTGTTTGTTTTAATATTTTGAAATAAAAAATAAAAATTAATTTAACAAACAAATCTTGTTGAATCTTGATGACAGTTGAAATAGGACGGGGTTACCTTAAAACATTCTAATGACATAAACACAATACGACACAAAAACAATACGAATGGGAAACATTCCCAAATTTAAAACCTGGGAAGTCAAAACTGACACTGATAAGACTCCTCAACATCATTTGCAACATAAATTATCTGATTTTGATGTTTACTGGGAAAGCCAATTTCTCCAAACTAGGCAAAAGTAGGACCTTGATGGGCCATTCCATAAAAATGTTTTATAAAAATGTTGGGCACACATTGTGAGTTTGTATATAGTGAGAAATGTGATACACTGATCACAAGAAAGCTGATTTCTCCAACAAAAGAAGAATTGAGATCAATGTTGTAAAATGGACAAAACAATTAGTTCAGATGATAGGCAGTTCTCATTTTTCTCAAAAAATAATAAAAGGACAGAGTGACGAGCGCGTAATTCCACGTGAGCCAGTAATCTAAGAAAATCCAACTCAAATCTATTAAGTTTTGAAACAATTAATGGTACTCGTACTATGTATCTTTCATTTGTGTTTATTTTTTTATTCAGTATACTATATTACAAAACCGCATAACACATTATGCACATTTGAAGTTTTACAAATATGATGCTGAATGACTATAATTTAAGATGCCAGAAAACAAATTAAATAAGCCAACTGGCATCTCTGATTAGCTCCCCTTTTGAATAATTTAGAAAATGTTGATAAAAAATATATCCACTATGAGTCACTGAGATATTTCCTCTTCTTAGCAGTGTTCATATAAGGTCTATAGACCCACTCTACATCTGCACTATCAGCATTCTCTAGGGTGCCTTGGAGTATCTGATACACTGCAACAAACAATGTAAAATAACATGTACAGGGTGTTTCATAATGACTGCCCCCCCCCCCGACAACTATTGTTATTATCATGGGTCTATAATTATTATCATGGGTCTAAAAGTATTATCATGGGTCAATAGGTATTATCATGGGTCTATAATTATATGACAACTTAAGAACTGGTAATATGTGCAGCAGAGATGTGCAAATGTCAGACTCATTGAATGAAATTCAATCAACATATACAACAACATTTTTGTACACATTCGTGTTAACACTTTGGAACTGGACTAAAATAGAGCTTAGAACTTTGGGAACATCTTTATAATTGTTGTCAACTTAATTCTACCTGTCACGGCCATGAAATGTCATGCAATTTTGTGTATATTGCAAGTATTATAGTTGTAAATAGTATTCAATAGCAAATGAAACATTTCCAGATTGAATATACCAACAAACACATTGTACAAGAGTTTTGCTACTTACGCTTCATCTCAAATCTTGGTCCAACTTCAGTTAATTCGATGTCTTTGTGGTCAATCTTCTTGTAAATGTGATGCCTGGAAACAAATCGAAATATATCAAATTCTAATGGCTTTACAGAAAACAAAATACTACCTAAAATAGATCCAGGTTTTTGTCTTGGATATTGGCATTGGAAGTATTGTTCACCAATTGAGCAGGGAGTTATAGCCTGTTCAATCAAGGATTTTTATGCTGGTGTTTTCTGATTTAGGGATAGGGGACGTAGGCTGTCACATAATTCAGTGTTCATATGAATACATACAGGACAATGTATCACAAACACATGTTGACATTACTTCCCTCAAAAAGCCATTTCAAATAAAAATATGTATTAAACTTTCAAAGGAAAAATTTAAGTCTTACCTAAATGATATAAAATCCTCATCATTTGAGAAGGTCATGCCTCGTTTGCTGTCCTCCTTGGGCACAGGGAACAAATACTTCAGTATATTAACAACCTGAAATACATAACAGATTATCATCAGTATTATCAGGATTAGATTTTAAGAAATTAACTGTGTTTTATTGAAGATAAGGCATGAGACAAGACATTGCCACTAATGTTACAGATGCCGAACATTGACCACCAAATGCTGAATACCATCCACAAAAAAGATGGTGACATAAAAACTTGATTAAACTGGATCAGTTTTATCATGGCCTCATGTAAAACCAGTGAGTCTTTGAAAGTGCAAGAATGAAGGAATAGAAAGTTTTAAACATTAATGGGTTTATTAAGGAGAGTAAATATGCATAATGTTTGGACTGTTATTACATGATGCCAGTCTGCCAGATTGCAAAATGTCACCACCTGCCATCTGTTACAGACACTGACTGCCAAATACCAACTGCAGACCATAATCCACAAAAAACAATATGTCATCACTTTTGGTGGTGACATACAAAGGTTAATGTAAATTAACAAGGGGTAAATCCCTCAAAACCATACTTTATTTTACGGAGTACAAGTCCACTGATTGTATTTCTTCAATAAGAATATTTGAAAATATGACCCTACCATTAATCAGATATTAGTTGTCAAAGATTAAAGTAATGAGTTTCTCAGCAATAGGCCATTAGGACATTTATTTGAAACCACTCACCCGTTCACCTAGTCTTGATGAAAGGTTATTGAAGATTAGGTGGGGATAGGCCTCAGACATGGTGCCCACATCTGGGATGTCATGTCTCATGACAACATTAGATAAGGTGAAATATGCAGTTGGTCCATACGGCAAATGACACACTGTTATGCCATCTGAAAACATAAAATAACAATAATAAAAACAATGCATTAACTTGCAAAATGTCGCCACCTGCCATTTGTTACCTAACTCCTCAAAACCCATCTCTAGTCTTTGATGCCCCGAAAATATGAGTAAAGGATAAAAAATATAACACTTTAAAAAAGCATGAATAAAAATTCTACGTGTATATGCTGAGACTGACCTGGTACTCCTCTGTGTTCTTGCACTAATATAAGATCTGTAACGTCATTGGCTCGGCATGCTTGGATGAGCTGCTTCATCTCATAGTTACCACGATTGATTCTCTGGGAGTTAGGAAACACAAGACGCATCTCCTAAAACAGAAAACAAGTGGTAAGAACTTTACCATTTTATGCTATAATGATATTCATGTACATTATGTTGTTTTCCTATTATTTATTTCAGAAACATCCATATAATAAAGCCAATGTATTATACTCCTCAAAAAAAGTTAAGGACCAGTGGTTTTCCTCATAGGTTTAGACGTTAACCCCCCTAATTGTTTGAACGACTATTTCTTTCCCCATTTGTTTAACATGGGATCTGCCATTTTTGTTTTTCATGAAATTCATCAATTTTGACATCAAATTTTGACCCAATGTAATGGAGATATAACATTGAAATGTTACGGACTTTATATGGAATAGAATCAAGATACAGATTTATTTACTTTATTGGGATTTCTTTTGTTCCCCGCTTAGAAAATAGTCGTTCAAACAAATATGGAGGTTAACATGTAAAACTATGAGGAAAACCACTGGTCCTTAACTTTTTTTGATGAGTATATTTGCAATCTGATCTTGATTTATTTAATTATCACTGATATGTGAACAGTAGATAATATTTATGGCATATGCTCTACCCACCTTAGCAAATTGTTTCAGCTTGGAGCTAGGGTCTCTAGAGGTACTGATCATAATCTTTGGGTCCTCTACACCAGCCCATCTGTACTCATCATCTTCATTTGTAGTTAAACCTTGTCCTCCTTCATCCTCCCAATCAAGTGTTTTCTGTATGTCTAAAGCATCTTTCCTAAGGTCTGTTGGAATGTCTTTATTATCATCTAGTGCTGATTTCAATCGTTTCCTCTTGTCTAAGATGGATCTTTCCCTTTCTTCAATAGATTTTCTATAAATGTATTCTCTCCTAAGTCGAGCCTGTCTTCGCAACTGTAATTACAGACACAATAATTTGTATTGTCATGCTTGAGCTGTCATGCTCCAATAAATGACCAGTTCACAGAGGGCAGTTTTTTCGGGGGGGGGGGGGGGGGGTCCATATAAAAAGAATGCCAGTTACTGTTATCCAAAAATAATGTCAACCATTCTCAGTTTTCTCCTCCTATCATTGCGTTTGTGCCTTATTCAGGCAGTGTGCGAGGATCGAGGTGGAAATGCTTACACCTCAAGAATCTTCAAAACCTGACAACACTGCAATATTCATGTGGTATTTTTTCATGACTGGATATTGACCAATCATATAAAAATCACAGGGGCTTGTCTCGAGGCATCGGGCAAGCCCTCCGATGAGTCTACTGCTTATTAATAGTAAAAAGGGCGTTCGGTTTTGATGCTACCTGAAATTTGTAGAAAATGGTTGTTAGATATATCCAGTAAAAATATATGGAATCCTTTCAATAATCGACATGCTGATTCAAACAACACTAAAGAGTAAACTTACCTAAAATGGTAGCAATCCATCCACTTGTTGCTGAGAAATCTGAATAATATGTTAAGAAGTGATTACACTGCAAGTATCGAATTTTTTGGAAGCCAAATTATTACCTCCAGAGTCGATTTCTTCCCCAAGACACGTCCACTGTTAAAAATAGGTAGTTCCTAGAGTTCTTTGTTTCCTTAGGTTCATTCCCATATGTTATTTTTAACGAAGGACAGCCTATAACGACTGCTATACGCAAAAAGATGCATGAAATTAAGTTTCGAAACTGAAAGTTGAAAAATGGCGACTTTCCCGTGTTCTATGCGCAGGTGCGTTCAATCCAGCAATTTGATTAGTTCATATTATATGAACGCATGCGCAATAAATACACATATATTTTTAGATAGATGTCACTTGCATTCATTATTTCACAGCAGTCCCTTCCCATGATGCACCTAATATTGTGGAAATATTTTCCTTTAGTGATAAAACAAATAACTCTCATCTTCAAAATACGTTTTCCATTCCTTGGCAATAATCTTTCATTTGGTATCTAAGTATAACCGAACCAATCGCAAAAAGTAATTCGAATCCTTCTGAATTGTGGGAATGAAGTACTTTCATTTTTGCGCATGCGCATAGAACACGGGAAAGTCGCCATTTTTCAACTTTCAGTTTCGAAACTTAATTTCATGCATCTTTTTGCGTATAGCAGTCGTTATAGGCTGTCCTTCGTTAAAAATAACATATGGGAATGAACCTAAGGAAACAAAGAACTCTAGGAACTACCAATTTTTAACAGTGGACGTGTCTTGGGGAAGAAATCGACTCTGGAGGTAATAATTTGGCTTCCAAAAAATTCGGTACTTGCAGTGTAATCACTTCTTAAGGTGCTATGGAAGTTAACAGGAAATGACAAAACAGGAAGTGACAACATTTTTTGCATTTTCTGACACTTTTTGAACAAAGATAACAGAGTTCTGTTTTGACCTCCAGTCAATTCAACTAGTTCCAAATACCATTTACAGGTCCAGGATCACAATGTTCATGGTCAGAATGACCCTAAACATGATGAAATAACCTTTTTAGCCCTATGAAAATGTGACTGAAAAATAGCTAAAAGTAGGAGGTAGGAAAGGTCACTGAACAGAATGTTTTGAATTTTTCAGAAAATGTGCCTAATATATTGCTCTAAATAATACAATCTTTGAAAATTTAATATCATTTATAGAAAAAGAAAAAAAATGAAAAAAATGATTTGAAAAGCGATCTATTTTCCTTTTTATGACCGCCATTTTTGTTTCAGACAATTTTCTAAATTTTCAAAGATTGTATCATTTAGAGCAGTATATTGGGCACATTTTCTGAAAAATTCAAAAGATTCTGTTTAGTGACCTTCCCTTAGCTCCTACTTTTAGCTTTTTTCAGTCACACTTTCAAAGGGCTGAAAAGGTTATTTCATCATGTTTAGGGTCATTCTGACCATGCACATTGTGATCCTGGTCATGTAAATGATATGTGGAAATAGTTAAATTGACTGGAGGTCAAACCAGAACTCTGTTATCTTTGTTCAAAAAATGTCAAAAATGCAAAAAAATTCTGTCACTTCCTGTTTTGTCATTTCCTGTTAACTTCCATAGCACCTTAACATATTATTCAGATTTCTCAGCAACAAGTGGATGGATTGCTACCATTTTAGGTAAGTTTACTCTTTAGTGTTGTTTGAATCAGCATGTCGATTATTGAAAGGATTCCATATATTTTTACTGGATATATCTAACAATCATTTTCTACAAATTTCAGGTAGCATCAAAACCGAACGCCCTTTTTCTATTAATAAGCAGTAGACTCATCGGAGGGCTTGCCCGACGCCTCGAGACAAGCCCCTGTGATAAAAATAAATTAAAATAAACTATTGAAAGTGGGCGATAATAGGGATATAATGCAATATTATTACAAATTCAAGGTATAATTTTGTTATAAATTAAATTACTCTACATCAATATTAAACGTTATGCTACAATACATGTCTAATCAAAGTTTAAAACACGCAATTCAGTTTGAAGTGGCAAAATAAGTGAAAATATAACAAATAAAAATAAAAACATGCTCACCATTTTTATTTCCGACTGTTTGTTATTTGATTTTCAAATAAAACTTCTGCCTTCTATTTAAGATATCTATGGAGCAAACATTCTTTCTCTCCATTTCAAAATATGTTAAGATACATTTTTTGTTTATTTTTTATTAGATATTCGTTCTGATATGATTTATTTGCATGTCTTTCACACTGTGAAAATGAATTAGTTATGCTCCAAAATTTTAAAACGAGGTTCGACGAAAATTGAACAAAATCGAACAATCTAAATATTAGAGTCTACTAGTTTTAGCGATAATGGTAAGTCATGTACACATTTTTTTGTCGATCTTTTCAAACCTAATATTTATAAATAGTGTTTGATTCAAAGTGCAGGTTGTTCTGTCTCAGATGGGATTCCACATACTTTCAGTTCAGTTGTTGACTTTTTACTCTCCCTCAGTCCAGATTGATTGACAATCAAATCAGAGAGAAAGTGCTTCCCTGTGAGCTCTGAGTCTCATCCTTCAGGTGGCAGTCAATTTCTCTCCTGAACTTGTTTGTGGTTTTGCAATCGATAATAATTTAGGGTAGTTTATTCGGGAGTTTATTCCAGCTTCAGAAGATGTGAGTTGCTCCCATAATTCTTTCATATTCTATCGTATACGGGGATTCCCTATTATACGATCTTCAATCAAATTGCAAGATGTGACAGGGGCGTAGCCAGCTTTCAGTCAGGGGGGGTGCGCTCGCCGAAAAATTTTCAGTTTTCGGTCAGGGGGGGTGCGATTTTGCCATAAGCAAAACAAAAAATTAAGATTTCTTTTGAATTTTACAAAAATTGATGCAACTTCCTTCAAAATTGAGCTAGAAGCTTTAAATAAAAAGCATTTTAAAGCTCTTTTCTACCTCTATCCAATGGTCATATTTTCAAAGGTTATGGGGGGGGGGGGTGCGATCGCACCCATCGCACCCCCCCCTGGCTACGCCCATGTGTGATCATGTGAACAATCATGAGCATGTGCTTTCCCAGTGCCGCCGTTCGCTAAGTAAAATTTGAAATAGTTGAAATGGTGTTTATTTCAGTTTTACCATGGGTGTAACAATATTAATGTTTCCGTTTCACACTTGTAAACCACATAGTTTGAAATATAGATCCAACCCCATGTGCTACTTCCGGAATCTATGAGTCTGTTCAATGTAACATGGTGTCTTATATGTGAGATATCTTCGTAACTCCGTGATTTTGGACATTATAATACAGTGCAAAGAAATGGCAGAAGGACTTTTATTTCAGAGACCTAAGCCCATGTCCCTCAAGGGTAACCTGGCCGAGAACTTCAAGCACTTCGAACAGTGTTTTGGTTTCTTCTTGAGTGCAACGGAAAGAGACCAAAAATCTTCAAACGTTAAATTCAACACCCTTATGTCCTGTATTGGCGAGGAATGCATACCGATCTACAACAGTTTCATGTTCGATAATGATGATGATAAGACTGATTACACCAAAGTTTTGGGAAAATTCAAGGAATATTTCGAACCAAGGAAAAACCTAACAATCCTGAGACACAAATTTCTTACAAGGAGACAGTCAGAATCTGAATCAGTTGATATGTTTACTACAGATCTAAAACTCAAGGCAAAAGATTGCGAATTTGGTCCCCTAACTGACTCTCTAACCAAAGATATGGTAATATGTGGCATTCGTAATGAGAAACTCCAGCTTCGACTTTTAGAGAAATCTCAACAAATAAAGCAAGGTGAAGATTTCAAGCTTGAAGATTGCATCAAAGTTTGTCAAGCATTTGAATATTCCAACCAACATCGCGCTGACATTAAAGCCCCAGCCGCATCTGTAGATACAGTCTCCCGCAGCAATCGTAACAATCACAAATTTCGTAATTCGTCATCAGCTCGTCAGGACCGCAGCAGCAGCAGCACATCACAGCACCCACCACAATCCCGTCCCCCATCCCGTCCCAAATCCTGTACTCCGTCCTTCCCCAACTCTCGTACTTCGCACGATTCACCCAAATGTGGAAATTGTGGCAACTCTCATGCCAAAGGAAGAGATAATTGCCCAGCAAAGGATATTGAGTGCAATTATTGTCACCACGTAGGGCACTTTGTCAAATGGTGTCGTAAATCCCGTCGTAAGATGCACTCTCTTCAAGAGGATTACAGTGACCGTGAACTCAGCGATTCCGAATCTTCGTGTGATTTCTTCATTGACACAATCTCGTCGGTTGATACTTCATGTACCTCAAAAGGGATGTACCTAAATACATCTATATGTGAACAGAAAATCAAGTTTAAAATGGACACGGGTGCCCAGTGTAACACTCTGCCCAAATCAACATATACAGCTATGTCCAGTCCCCCACCCCTGAGATCTTCTGTTAAGAATCTTGTCTCATACTCAGGCCACGCTATACCCACCGTCGGGGAAGTAACACTCCCTGTCAGTATCCATGATGAAACATATGCCCTGGATTTCATTGTTATTGATAAAGAATGTGAGGCCATACTTAGTCTTGCGTCATGCCTCCACATGAATCTGATATCTACAATGTTTTCGTTGTCAGAAAACGAGGACCCCAACACCATTCTAGATCGTCATAATCAAGTGTTTCAAGGTCTTGGACTTATTGGAGAATGTCATCTCACCCTTGACCCCACAGTAAAACCCATTGTTCACCCACCCCGAAACTTCCCGTATACTCAAGTCCCCAAAATCAAATCTGCTCTCAAGTCCCTGGAGGAAAAAGGGATTATCGCTAAAGTCACGAAACCTACAGAATGGGTAAGCTCAATGGTGATTGTTGAGAAACCAGATCGTTTGCAGATTGTTATGGACCCTCGTGATTTAAATCGTGCCATAAAACGTCAACATTACCCATGTAAAACAGTGGAACAAGTTTCTGCTAATGTCAGTGGTTCTCCAATATTTACCACTCTTGATGCTAACACAGCCTTCAATCAGTTCAGCTTAGATGAGGAAAGTTCGTATCACACTACGTTCAACACTCCATTTGGTCGCTATAGATGGCTCCGTATGCCATATGGACTCAATCTATGTCCAGAAGTTTTTCAGGCTAGAATGTCTCAGATCTTCGATGATATACCCGGATGTGAAGTTATTATGGACGATATTCTCGTACACGCATCCAACATGGCTGATCACAATGCCATACTCACAGCCGTATTACAGCGAGCTGCTAATGCTGGTCTTACCCTTAATCGCAAAAAGATCAAGCTAGCTCAATCTTCTGTCACCTATATTGGTCATGTATTTTCCGAAAAAGGCATGCGTCCTGACCCAGACAAGGTTAAGGCGATCCTACAAATGCCTACCCCCACAGATACAGCCAGTGTTCGTCGTTTCCTCGGATCAATAACCTACCTAGGAAAATTTATACCCAATTTGTCAACTCATTCTGCCCCACTTAGAATGCTTCTCAAAGAAGATGTCCCCTGGCATTGGGACAATTCTATGGATATACAGTAAAACCTGTCTAATCCGAACACCCATGGGACCAGCCAAAAGCGTTCAAATTGGCAGGTGTTCAAATTTCGAGGATATTGTTGATCGGAGGAGGAGGAATTTTCATTGTTCAGTCCACTATATTGAACACTTAATACTAAGTCAGAAAACAATACATGTTGTTGATGAGTTTATTCTACAATAGGCCTATAGCCTATATGTTATGTTTATTTACATTTTGAACAATTTCATTATTTTAGTAAAAATAACTTATATTTTGGCAAAAACTTTGTAATACACTGACAGAATAAGTATATGATAGTCTTGTACAAAATCTTATGCTTCTCAAATGACTTATCCCATATTATGGTTATATAGCACTGCTTTACTTTTGCTTGAAAAAGTCCTTCATTGTTGTTTGTTTTTTGGCACTTTTAGCATTAGCAATATTTGAGTAGATATCCTCTTCAAGTAAAAAGAATTTTTCATGAGAATTCATTCGAGATGATGTATAATCCTCCCTTTATAGGAGGCATTTTAGTGATAGGTTATTATGAAGAATTTTTTCTCTTTCTCGTGAAATCTTGTCTGCAATTGTGTCTGTGTTGTCTTTGTGATTATAAAACATTTACTGATTGAATCTTTGCTATCATAACAGACCCATGGGATATAAAACATCTTAGACCTGTTCATAATCCAAATCAAAAACATCCAGTTAATTTACAATAAGGATAAACCAATTATCTCCCAGATTCTCACCTTTCTCTTAATCCAAATCGAAAACATCCAGGTAATTTCCAATAATGATAAACCAATTATCTTCTTGATTCACACCTTTCTCTTAATCCAAACATAAAACATTCAGTTCTTTTCTAATAGGATAAACCAATTAACTCCTGTATTCACACCTTTTCAAATCATCCTGTTGTTTTCCACAAATAAGGGATGTCACTGAGACTAAGTAAGTTAATTAGGACAGTATTGGTTCTTTGATTACATTGTACATGTATTTGTAAAGATAAATAACAACTATAACATTGACTCGATATGTGGCTATTATTGAAATGTCCAGACATTTGATTTCTGATTAAAATGTTCATATGAGACAGGTCACTTTTTCATATCTGGTTGTTCACTGTTCAGATTTGGGGGTGTTCAGATTTCAAGGTTTATTTAACATGGGAGTCAATGGGAGGAAAAAATGGGACCGAAAAAAAGTGTTCAAATTGGAAGGTGTTCGGATTAGCCAGGTGTTCAGATATACAGGTTCTACTGTATGTTATAACAACCTGAAAAAAATGCTAACTGAAGCACCAGTACTAGCATATTATGATGTCACAAAACCCGTTACAATATCATGTGATAGCTCATCCCAAGGGCTTGGCGGCACACTCTGGCAAGACCATCACCCAGTGCACTATGCATCACGCTCCCTCACTAGTGCTGAAAGAAATTATGCTCAAATAGAGAAGGAGTGCCTAGCTATTGAATTTTCAGCATCCAAATTCCATCAGTACATCTTTGGAAAGGATGTTCTAGTGCAATCCGATCACAAGCCTCTGGAATCACTATTCAAAAAACCCCTTATCACAGCCCCTGCTCGTATTCAACGCATGATGTTGAAATTGCAGCGATACTCATTGAATGTGCAACATGTCCCTGGAAAGTCCCTGCATGTAGCTGATACACTCAGCAGAGCATACATCCATGACCCTGACCCCAAACAGGAAATATATGCAATCAATGATATCAACAATTTGCCCATATCATCCACCAGGCTTCAAGAACTCAAACAGGCAACTGAGAATGACATTACAATGAACAAACTGAAACATACAATACTCAGTGGTTGGCCTGATCAACGTAATCTCTGTGACAATGATATTAAACCATATTGGAACTACAGAGATGAACTTACTACTCATGATGGACTTATTCTGAAAGGTAGTCGTTTAGTTATACCTTCAGCTCTACAGCAATTCATGTTGACCCAGTTACACCAAGGTCACATGGGTATTGAAGCAACACGAAGGAGAGCCAGAGACATACTATTTTGGCCTAATATGAATACACAAATAGCTGATCTCGTAGCTAGTTGTTCGATATGTCAAGAACACGCCAACAAACAAGCCAAAGAACCAATGATAGCATCTGAGATTCCAAAACTACCATGGGAAATCATTGGAAGTGATTTATTCTACTTGTTTGATATGACATATTTACTGTTAGTTGACTACTACTCCAATTTTGTGGAAGTCAATTTATTGCCTGAACAAGACTCTAAATCTACCATTAATGCCATGAAATCTCAATTCGCACGTCATGGTATTCCACGCAAACTTAGATCTGACAATGGACCCCAATATTCAAGTCGTGAATTCACCCAGTTTGCAAAGGATTATGGATTTGAACATGACACTTCATCTCCGATTTACCCCCAATCTAATGGCGCATCTGAGAAAGCAGTCCAAACAACAAAGAAAATTTTGAAAAAAGCATACGCAGATGGTAAGGACCCTTATTCTGCAATACTTGAATTTCGCAATACCCCCCGCGATGGAATGATTGGATCCCCCAACCAGCTTCTAATGTCACGCAGAACAAGGACACGTATTCCCACTAATCCTGAACTTTATAGGCCCCAAGTAATTCCCAATGTTTCTCAATATCTTGAAACAAGGAAAATGAACCAGAAAAAACACTATGATTCAAAAGCATCTGCCGCAGATTTAAGTGTTTTACACCCCGGACAAATGGTAAGACACAGATCTGATAAAACATGGAAACCTGCAGTTGTTATCCACCATGATTCTCACCCTAGATCATATATTGTGAGAAATGAACATGACAGTCTCATAAGGAGAAATAGAAGGGATCTTAAACCTTCACGCGAGAATCACATTATTCCCAATGATTCTACAGATCCTGAGCTCCTAACCAATGACCCTACTCCAACTCCATGTATACAAGCTAAACCCCCATCACCAATGAAGCAGCATCATAGCTCTACCTCATCAGTGAAAAAACCAGCCCAAAACCCCTCTCAAAACCCCTCTCAAGGAAGAGAAACAGCCAAGTCTATGTGTAAACCCATACTGGAGAAAAACAATAAAACAATCCCCACTGGAGTAACCACCAGATCTGGCAGGCTAAGTGTTAAACCTGCTAGATACAGAGATGATTGACTCATATCTCATTAAGAGATTTATAAACAATATAGTGTAAAACATTTTGTAAAGTTGAACATTAGCATCTTTATTTGGTATTATGTGTATTGTACATGTAAATGTTAACATTGTTCTCTATAGAAAGTTCTGTATTTTCATTTCAAAACAAACATTAACTTCAAAGATTGATTATCAGTATACTATACTAGTGAGACATCTATCTGTAGTGAGAAAAGTTTTTATGCTAATTTAATGTTTCTATAGTACCAATTCATGTTAACTCTTTCAAGTTTATTATTAGCTTTGTAAATTAACTCTTTAAAAGCTTGAGGGGAGATGTAACAATATTAATGTTTCCGTTTCACACTTGTAAACCACATAGTTTGAAATATAGATCCAACCCCATGTGCTACTTCCGGAATCTATGAGTCTGTTCAATGTAACAATGGGCATTCAATAGAAATTGAAAGCCCATGGTTTAGCATCAGTTCAACATCATCATTTCAAAATAATGATAATAATATCGAAGTTACTTGATCCAAACTTTCAGTGAATACTCATAAAACAGAAGTGAACATTAAGAGATTCATTTCAATTCTCAAAATCGTTGTTCCCTCTTCAAAAGAGGAGACGCGAAAATCTTTCCTTATAAGGTCAAAATATTTCCCATGATGCAGTTCGCGGAGGAACAAATTTATACTTCCTTGCTTTCCCTCATAGGTTTAACATGGGGATTTTCACACCTATTTTTCAAACGATATATTCGTTCATATTCCCGTACGAGAGTACAGAAAAAATTATTAGAAACGATTGATCTCTTATTAATCTTAATATAACAGCTATTTTTTCATTGTATTGATTCATAGCGTGGTGAAAACGACGATTGAAAAGTGAGAAAATATTCCGGAAGAGAAGGTCACGTGATCAGTTGACTAGTCGCCATATTGGAAAAAAACAATTCCATTCGACTTTCAATACTTTCATGCCAATCTTATCGCATTACAAACTGCAACATCGATGCAACAACTGAATAAAAGTATTCATCTTCAAATTACATTATAGAGTTACGTTGAAACCCCACAAACAACTGAGCAGTTGACCAAAGAAGACGCGTCGCTATTATCTAGGTCAATCTGTTCTGTGGTCCGAAAGCAAATCTATAGTACTCGTTTCCGAATTTTGTTGTTCATTGTACAATCTTTTATTGATTAAACTCGGTATACTGACTTTTAAAGCAATGACAAAGAAGAATACTTCCGATGGTGTCATTGTTTTATTTAGCGTGCGGGTGTAAAAACAAAATTGCGTAATTAGTTTGATTTAGAACTTTCGGGTCACGCAAATAGCTACGCGAAATGCATAGTGGGAAAATATTGACCAATCAAATTTTATCCTATACATATTTGCGAACGTTCTGATTCAGAGAGCGAACCGCGAAAGGGAGCATGGCAAATGAGGCCTGTTTATAAAATTGGTTATCGAACGTGCCAATATGAAATGTGATCTTTGGGAAATCTCCCCCCATGTTCCAGCTTTGTACTATCTTGTTACTAAAACAATTCTTGCGTAGGTTAGTGTCCTGTGTTTGCATGTTGTTGCTTTTTCATGTAGCTTCTTGGTAGCTTTTTCATGTAGCTTCTTGGTCTAACTATTGGGTGATGTCCTTGCAATATTGTCTATTTTTATTCAATCGAGTCCCTTGGCGATTTTAAACATCTGGAGATGTTCTTGTTTTCGGTGAACTGAAGTGATGGCATATTCAGTTTTCTCATACATTGTTCTAGCTCTTTTATGTGGAGGACAAGTTTGGTCTCACTTCTATCATATTCTAAATTAACAAAGTTCAAATCTGAATATTCCCAATTCCTCTGTAGGAGATGTCTCAAATTATAAAATTTTGAGGATTTTCAGCAGAAAAATTAGGAGGCACTCACATAGTGAAAATGAGTTGCTCATTTATGCCGGGCACCATTTGTTAGTTTCTGATGACCCCTAATGTCAGTATGACCTTGATGATCATCAGAAATAATTTATTAAACTTTAATGTACTAAATTGCCACTTTTTTTATTTACAGGCAAGAAACTCAGAAAAAGCGATGTAAGTTTATTTTAATTACTTTATGTATATTATCATACCATACATTTTTGTACTTGCTAAATAATTTTAATATTGAATGTTTTTTCTTGTAATTAGAATATACGAGGGTTGTCCCAGAAGTAATGCATGATATAGTTAGAGCATATAGTGCATTACTTCTGGGACAACCCTCGTACATTTACATTCATAACTGTAAATTGGTTTAATTTGGATATATTTGTTGACTTTGCTAATTTGGATATATTTGTTGACTGCTAATTTGGATATATTTGTTGACTTTTTGTGAAAATATCTGGCTTCCTTATGATAATATGGAACAAATATTTATTTAGATTAATGATTTTACAAATTATTAAATTCAAACATTAATTGAAATATCATTTCAGGACAAAGTTGGCCAGATGGTTGGCAGCTAAAGATGGCCATGATCTCGTTCCAGTAAGTTGTGATATTTTTACATTTAAATTGATATAACCCATGCTTAAACACTCTAGTATTAATATAATTCCACAACCTCAACCTATGACTCATTGAGACCAAATTTTCAATATCTTAGTCAGACTAACCTGAGAATTTTGCGACCAAGAAAAGTCTTAGGAAAAACACTGAAATATTGTACTGACTATGTTTTTGAATACTAATAAAGTGTACAATGCATGAGTTATTTTTTGTAGGAGAGACGTCCCTACCTGGCTACAGAGTGTGACAACTTACAAAAGGCAGAAAAATGGAGGCGACAGATCATCGGTGAAATTTCCAGAAAGGTTGCTCAGATACAAAATGGTAAATATATAAAGAGTAACATACATGTACATTTATTAAAGAAATCTATCAATGAAATGAAACGGACAATAACATTCTGAGACCAGAGAAAGTTGCAATTTTTTCCAAAAAGTTGCGAGAGGGGTATGCAAAATTTGTGATCCAAAGAGTGGTCTTATCAAGGAATTTACGATAGATATTGACTGGAAAACGAGCTGAAGTGTTAAAGTTTCGGTAAGTTCGATGATGTAATGATTATAATCTATATTCTGTTAATCAATATGTCATACTTTTCTATTTCAGCTGGTCTAGGGGAGTTCAAACTGAGAGACCTAAATGATGAGATTAACAAACTTCTACGTGAGAAAGGGCACTGGGAGGATCAAATCAAAGAACTTGGTGGGCCTGACTACAGAGTAAGACATAAAACATATTTGTATACCCAAGATTCCCTGTTGTTGTATTCCATAGATTCCCTGTTGTTATAAAGTAATGATCATTTCCCCTGTCTGAGGGTAGTATTAAATGTGAGACTCAAGAATTTCAATATGAAAATGATAATAGAGTCATTATCATTCTATGGCTCTCATTGCTCATATTCACAAATAATGCCAGAGTGTCTCTTGCCTTAAATAATTTTTCACTTTGTTTCTGTTCTGTTCTTGCATGTCATAAATGTTATTAATTTATTTCTCATTCCAGAAAATTGGCCCCAAGATGCTTGACCATGAAGGGAAAGAGGTCCCTGGAAACAGAGGATACAAGTAGGTTTTACATGACATCTCGAATTATGATTTGTGAAATGTACTTGCCTTATTAACATCATGCAAGATTAAAAATAAGACTTCTCGTTGGGTAAAAGAATAAGAGGAATAAGGAAATGTCCATTGATGTTATGTTTGTATGAATTGTGTCTCATTTATTATCCCATCGAACGAAGTTCGGAAGGATATAGGGAACGCCTCCGTCCTGCTCGAAAGCCGATTTTCAAAATGGCTGCTCATTTAAAAATGGCGGCCATTTTAGTGCCGATTTTACAGTAATTTAGGTGCAATATGTAAAACTGTAATAGCAATATGTTTTAAATGTAAAAAAATTATATAGGACATTAATAAAGCTAGAAATGTAGATATTAAAAAAGCACATGGCAGCCATCTTGAAAAATGGCGGCCTTTACTCGTTATTTTACGATTTTTGCTGTAACTCGAAAAGTAGTGGAGCGATTTTGTTCATATTTGGTATGTGAATACTATAAGCATGGCACACTGTCTAATGACACTTTTGGTAGAAGGCGGCCATTTTGAAAAATGGCGGACATTTTGAAAAATGGCGGCCATTTTTAACTTATTTTACTAAAACTCGAAAAGTAGTTGAGCGATTTTGTTCATATTTGGTATGTGAATACGTATAAGCATGGCACACTGCCTAATGACACTTTTGGTAGAGGGCGGTCATTTTTCAAAATGGCCGCCATTTTAACGTATTTTACTATAACTCGAAAAGTAGTGGAGCGATTTTGTTCATATTCGGTATGTGAATACTGTAACCATGGCACACTGTCTAATGACACTTTTGGTAGAAGGTGGCCATTTTGAAAAATGGTGGACATTTTGAAAAATGGCTGCCATTTTAACTTATTTTACTATAACTGGAAAAGTAGTGGAGCGATTTTGTTCATATTTGGTACGTGAATACGTATAAGCATGGCACACTGTCTAATGACACTTTTGGTAGAAGGCGGCCATTTTTCAAAATGGTCGCCATTTTAACGTATTTTACTATAACTCGAAAAGTAGTGGAGCGATTTTGTTCATATTTGGTATGTGAATACTATAAGCATGGCACACTGTCTAATGAGACTTTTGGTAGAAGGCGGCCATTTTTCAAAATGGCCACCATTTTAACGTATTTTACTATAACTCGAAAAGTAGTAGAGCGATTTTGTTCATATTTGGTATGTGAATATTATAAGCATGGCACACTGTCTAATGACACTTTTGGTAGAAGGTGCCCCTTTTGAAAAATGTTCGATGGGATTCGCTACGCTTTGGCGTTGCCGTTGTGCTGGTTTGTTAAATCACAAACATTTCTGATATAGTGAACATCCAATGACCTGCCAGTGAAATTGTTACACAGACATTTTACCATGCTATTTGTATTTATAGGTACTTTGGGGCTGCCAAGGACCTCCCTGGGGTCAAGGAATTATTTGAACAAGCCCGTAAGTTTTATTCCATTATTTAATTTTTTATGTGCTCTATCTAACTGAAGTATATACAGTATGCATTTTTCGGTTTACCGTGACATTGAGTGAGATATAAACACTATTAACCTTTAGATTTAGAAGAATATTAATGACATTATAACATACTCAAAGCTACATCCTATAGATTTAAAACTGATATCCTGGATCTACAGTACTAAGTTGCTCTCTTTCAATACACTTTGGATTTATTTGTCACTACCAGAAGTGGTGACATATTGATATATTCTCCAACTTTTTTTGTGGATAGCAGTTGGACATTGTCATATGTAACATATGGCATGTGGCAACATTTTACCTTGTTTATTTTGAATTAAGTCATGTATTAAAATATGCTAACTTCTTTCTTCGAAGTTGATAAGAAACACTTATTTGTTTGAGCTCACATGTGGGGAAAATAAATAGAATAGATTCTAGACATTGCTGCTAATTATTATGGTAACATTGTTTGTTTGTTACAGCTGTTGCAGCTGCGAGGAAAACAAGAGCAGAATTGATGAAGGATATTGATGCTGATTACTATGGTTACAGAGATGAGGATGATGGTGTACTCTTACCTTTAGAGTTAGCTCATGAAAAAGAAGGTAAATGATATGTTCTCCTGTTTAAAGTGCATCACCCTAATGGCTGTACAAAGACACTAAGGCAATTTTTAAAACAACATCTAAGTCTTAAAACAACATCTACAGGGCGTTCAATAAGTATTGCTAATTTTGCTATAACTTTTGTTCTGTTTGATTTTTCTTCATGAAACTCTAACAACATAAGGCACATATATCTGACTTTATTCCATGAAAGTTTTAAGACAATCGAATCAGTATTAACAAAGTTATGGTTACTAAGGTAACCAGTATCATGGATATGCGGGGCAAATTTCTGACGTCACTTTTGACGACATTTTGAGTGTTGAAAGCAGTATCATTTAATGCCGTTTAACTCTTGGGATATGCAGTGCAGTTATAAATAATCCATGCCAGAGTCACTTCATGATCCATATTAGCTTCATGAGGTGCTCAAAATAGGCAGGTACCCTGAGCGTCAAATCACAGTTGCAGTCTGCGACCCTCGGACCCACTCGTGGTACACATTTTTGAAACTACCCTTAAAGTGTGTGGCTAGGGAGGTGTTCACTGCAGACATCAGCTGATTGAGATTCTGGTGCAATATTCCTCTCGGATCCCTTTTCACTGAGGCAAATACAACAAAATCAAGTGGGGCCTTATCTGGGAAATATGCTGCGTGGGGCAATGGTTTCATGCGAAGCTCTGTTAATGTATTTAGGAGAATAGAGGATCTGTAAGCAGGGGCGTTATCCTGGTGGACCGTATAGGTCGATATTGCTCTTTGAGGATGTTTGAAGTGTGTGGCCAGGGATGTGCAGTGTTCACTGCAGACATCCGCTGGTTGAGATTCTAGTGCGATATTCCTCTCAGATCTCTTTTCACCGCTGTTAGATAATACATATAATTCAAACTGACAGCATCAAGATTTGACCATATCAACAGTTTTTATTCATCAAAGTGTTTATTTGATGTATAACAATAATTCATCATGTAAACCCTTAAGGTTGCCCTGCGTATCCGTGACAATGGTTACCCTACCATAATTTTGTCAATACTAAGTTGGTTGTCCAGATATTTGGATAGAATAAGGTCAGATATGTGTTGCTTATGTTGCAAAAGTTTCATGAAGAAATATGCAAGATAACAAAAATTATAACAAAATTAGCAATACTTATTGAACGCCGTACATGTAAAATGAAAGTCAACTGACAAGCAAATAGACATTTTAGAACACCAGATTTCAAGAACTTTGGAGTAAGATGCCCTTGTAGAGAATAGTGTATACAAATCCCTGTTTCTGTTCAGAATTAAGATATCATTTCATCAAAATGACTAAATGATAATATTTCAGCTTTCAAATAATTTTTGTTAGGAAATGATTAACCTGTATGATTGAGTTTCCCCATCTCTACATGTGTTGGAGATTAAATGTAAATGTATTGTTTTCTATTCAAGTGATTGCCAACAAGGTAGCAGAGTGGAGGGCCAAGAAGGAGGGCAAACTGTCAGGGGAGACCAGTAAACAGGAGGGGGATGAGGACAAAGAAGAAGAAAATATATATGCAGTAACTGAAGATCCTATTGTAAGTAGAAATACTTTTGCTCAGCTAATTTTTGTTCACTTATCAATTTACATGAATCTGTAATCAGTTAAATGCGTCACCTTTAGTTTACTATTGTGTGCATCATTCTTTACTAATTATCCATTGCTTTCCTCGTATTTAATGTTTCTATTGTCTCTATGTATCCATTGAGACCATTGTTTCCACAAATATATTAATTGTTTCTAAAATGCATCCATTACCCCCACTTATGTGTCTGTTGTCCCCACTAATATGTTAATTGTTAGAATGTGTCCATTGTTGCATTGAATATATTCATTGTTGAATTTAGTGAATTCTTTGTCATAATGATTTTGAATCAGTCCATTGTTGCATTGAATGCATCCATTGTTGCATTAATTGAGTACATCCATTTTTCATTGAATGAATCCATTGATGTATTGAAAGCATCCATTGTTGCATTGAATGCATTAATTGTTGCACTGAATGAATTCATTGTTGCATTGAATGCATCCATGGTTGCATTGAATGCATCCATTGTTGCATTGAATAAATTCATTGTTGCATTGAATGTATCCATTTTTGCTTCATTTTAGTCTGATGAAGAAGGTGAAAGCAGAGAGGAAGATATGGAGACAGGAGAACAAGGACAACAATTTATAGCACACGTACCAGTTCCATCACAAAAAGATGTGAGTCATTTTACAATTTAGTACACAAGTAAATAATGAAAAAATTTCCGAAGCAAATTTATAATGTATGTTGCTTCATTATGCATTATTAATCGCAGAATTATTGATTTTTTAGATTATTATATGTATACCCAAATCTGGAAAAATTTCGTTTAAAAAATAAATTTTATTTGAATTTCAGATTGAGGAAGCTTTATTATTAAGAAAAAAGAGAGAACTTTTAGAAAAATATGCCAGTGAGTCATTACAAACAGAAACTGATGAATCCAAACAATTACTTGGATTATAGTAGCACTGGACTGAATATAGAATGTGTTATGGAAGGTATCAGGATGTAGACGGGTAGGAAGGAGGGGTTCCCATGCACCCGAAAGATGTATTTTTTTAATGTACATTTTTGTAATCCTGAAGGTCCAAACTAAAGATTTTTGCATGTTCCCAGAATGAAATATTGTCCCATGGTATCCATTGGCGGCCATCTTGTCGGCCATCTTGAATTTTTGAAAGAGTTGATGTTAATTATCTCAAAGTACAATAACTTCCACAGTTTTGAGAATTGAAAGCTGTAAGTGGTACCAAAATGAAGCTATTATAGTATCCTATATTATCAGATGCAATAATTATGCAAATTGCCTCATTTGCATAAAATGTGACATCATCAATCATAATTCTTGCCTCTTTACAACGGTATCGCATTATACCTTTCCGCCTAAGTGATCAGTCTTAGTCATTCATGAACATAAATGAATTTAAATATAAAGGTACATTAATTTTGAACATATTTGCAATTGAAAGTTTTGGAAAAACATTGTCAGACACATGATTATGTAACTGAAAAGGGGCGTGGCACTTCTTGCGAAAGAATTGATGTTAATCATTTCAAAGTACAATAACTTCCACAGTTTTGAGAATTGAAAGCTGTATGTGGTACCAAAATGAAGCTATTATAGTATCCCATATTATGAGATTAATAATTATGCAAATAGTCTCATTTTTTGCATAAAATGTGACATCATTAATCATAATTTTTGCCTCTTTACAACGGTATCGCACAATACCTTGCTGCCTGAGTGACCAGTCTTAGTCATCCATGAACATAAATGAATTTAAATATATAGGTACATTAATTTTGAACATATTTGCAATTGAAAGTTTTGGAAAAAACATTGTCAGACACTAAGTTATAACGCTTTACATGATTATGTTACTGAAAACAGGCCACTGAAAAGGGGCGTGGCATTTCTTGAGAAAGAGTTGATGTTAATCATTTGAAAGTACAATAACTTCCACAGTTTTGAGAATTGAAAGCTGTAAGTGGTACCAAAATGGAGCTATTATAATATACTTATAGAAAATGCAATAATTATGCAAACTTTCCCATTTGCATAATATGTGACAAGCTCTATCATTTTGGGTTTTTTTTCAATGGTAACGACCAATATCTCTCCCTCTGGGTTAAAGTCTTGGTTATTCATGAGCATTTATGATTTTGAATATATAGGTACATTTATTTTGAACATTTTTGCAATTGAAATTTTGGAAAAACTATAAGAAATTAAGTGTTGACACTTCACACGATTATGTAACTGAAAAAGGGGGGGGGGACTTCTTGTTCAAAATGTTAACTTCTAAACACTAATGTCAACTTCAAAGGCTGAAGCTGCTCTAGCAGAGTCATGTAGATAGAGCTCAATGTTGCTTAATGGTGAAATGTTGGCCAAATTTTGCAGCTTGTTGCAGTTGGCAGTTTCTTCCTTGCCCCAAAGTCTGAGGTTTGATGGAGTTGAGACCAGGTCAAGGAAAGCTCTTAATAGGAAATTGAACTCCCCTCGGTCCATGGACCAAAGGTCATTCCATTTCAAGAATTGCTGAAGTGAGGGTTCCCAGGTAATGTCGTAAATCTGGAAAGGCCACTGAAATTGGGGAGTAATGTCATAACACCCCGATATATGACTTGAGTCAATGGCTTTAAGCCACTTGTCCAGGTCCCTTGAGACTTCAGCTGTATTGTTCAAACCACGCAAGGTTTTGTCATAGTTCTTCTCTAGACATTTGATTCTTTTATCATGCACTGTTGGTATTTGCTTGCCCTTTATTTTGAACTGCATTGGAGAAAGCTTGCCATCAACCAAAACCATTCTTCTTGACCTGGTTGGCTTTTAACCTCATGCAAGTCCAGTTTGCCATTATTTCAATAGCTAATAGAACCCATCTGGTACTCACTACTGAACGGGTCATAACTGTGATGTCATCCATGAAAGCTCTGTATGGTAGGAGTTTTGCACCTTCATTTGCTTGTGGAACCTTAGGGGCGGGGTCAAAATATCGATGTTCATATGGAGACGAAAGTACTTTCGCGAGGGGGGAGGGGGTTTTTGGGCACTTTCGTTGACCAAAAAAACATCGATAATTCGGATCTGATATACAAAAAATAATTGGACTTACCCACTTTTTCTGGCGCTATGTTCTGATAAAAAGGCTTGTTTTCAATAGTTCGTGAGCTTTTTTGTGTGATAGGTCCAAAATATCGGTAGATAAAGACGATAATTCGATCATTTTTCAAATAAATTCCGTACTTTTCCCTCCTCCTTTTGAAGAGTTCAATGCAGTTAAATTGCGAACGTGTGTTAATTCACCGTAATAATAACCCGGCAAATAGGATACGATTATGCCCCTCATAAATCAATGTTTTTTTGAAGTGACCTAAGCTTTCGTCTAGAGGGGGGGTGGGGGGGTTGTTGTCCAAACGAAATTACTTTCGTCTTTATATGAACATTGATATTTTGACCCCGCCCCGTACACTGCATCATCCCTGCATTTAGCAGTAAGTTCATGGATGTTACGAAGAGAACTACTGATACAGTGCAGTGGTATAATTGCAAAATGTATTGTGCAACTTCAAGGAGTTTGTGTTTCCCATTGTCAGATTGACTACATCTGTTGGTTTTGGTACGTGAAAGTGAACTTGTACCTCTAGTATCAGTTGGTGAGGGACACTAGGTAGGCCTTCTGTCCAGCCAAACTACTGATTCTCTTTCTTGGCTTCCTTCACAAGTTGGCTTATGCTGCTATATGTACCCCATGATGTCTTGGGAGACCACTTTTCTGAATGCTTGGCAGGCCACTAGGAAACAACTTCGAGGCTTGACCATAATGGCCCAGAAGATCTTTCCCTCAGCATCCAATAATGATGTCTACCTGAACTGGTTCAGTTGCTCAAATTTTAGCTCCTTTGGAATGAAGCACCTTTCCGCCTAAGTCCAAGTCCTTGCTAGATTTTTTTTGTTCTGGATGCTTGTTAGCAATCGCCATAGATGTATTAACAGCTTTCCGCAGTTCTTGTAGACCCTGTATGTCACACCTTTTAGACCTGAGGCTGAGCCTTCCTGATGATTGTTCTTACCTCATCAAGCTTGAAATCTGACTGGTCAAACGGTTTTGATGATAAATCTGGTGGGATGTCAATTGGAAAATTACCCAATGGCATCTCTCGATCTGGGTCACTGTGTGCTGCCAAAGTATTTGCTTCTGCTTGATCCTGCGTACATGCCATATGGGCACTCTTTGGGTTCCTAACAAGTTTGATGTGAGCCTATAGAGATTTTCAAAGAATGTCTTCCTGGACCTATGCTTCTCTTTTATTGGGTGTTTCTATCTTTGGAAGAAGAATCTTTGGATGGCTAAGATGAAGTAATCTCTTAAGAAGCATCTGTTGGAGCTCTCTTGCCAGTGATGAAGCCGTCCACTAACACTGCCGGCTTCATCTCTCCTTCCCAAGAGAAGCTTTTGTCTTCTACTTGGCCCAACACAATGGTGTTTCACAGATGTTTCCTCCACTCCTTGTCCTCGCATCTGGGATGGAAATCGTTCTAACTTGGATAAGAGGTAGCATAGTGAAGAGGCTGGGCTCTGCATCCCACTTCTATTGGTTGCATAACTGCATACCACCCTCTTGTCATCAAATAGGTCTTGGATTTTTAAGCTGATGAGATATTTTAGTTGGTCTTCTGAAGGTACCGTAAGCTCATTGAAGATGATGGTCCTACTGTGTTTTGACATCAGCACTGAGTTTTTGGAAGAGGTCAGTTGAGAGTCCAGTCGGATGTCTTGGATAAAATATTGGACTGAGATGCAGGCTTAATACATATTGAGTTAATAATCATATAGCTTTAACAACTAAATACTGTGGGTACCCTTTTCAGTTCATTGCCTATCCTAAAATGATATGGAGATATGTGGTCATTCGTATCTGTACAGTACTTAGTTCAAAAGCGATACAGCTTATATATCTTTGGCTGAAATTTAAATGTCTGCCAAACAGACCAACAAGAATTTCTGAACAAGCTAGGAATAAGGGACATCACTGGGCTACTTTCTAAAAGTCAAAAGCTATATTTTACACCCAGGGGGTTCACTATATATAAAGCTTGACGGGGGTACCTCTTTTAACATTTGGTATGGCAATGGATCCAAATTTTAGGATCTGGAATGAGAATGCCCCCAAAATATGACTTTTGAGATATGACAATGGTCGGATTTTTCTACTTTGTGGTACAAGAATGGTCATGGAGAATAGGTTACCTCTCACTTGTGGTATGGGATTGGTCTAGTTTTTACAAATGTCCTTAATTTGAGGTTGTTTTGGATCATTTTCCTAAAAGTTCTGCCTTCTTCCAGGGGCTTTAGACATTTTGCATTCTCTTGGTCTTATATTTTTGGGATATTTGGAATGGCATTAGTCCTATATTTGGACATTTGATATAGCATTGGTCTTATATTTGGATATTTGGTATGGCTTTTGGGCATTATTTTGGTTGGTATGGGAACACATTGAAAATTTGAGATTGGTATGGGAACATAATGATATCTGAGGGCTCAGCCTAGGACCCCTACAAAATTGTGTATTCAATGAACCCCTGGGTATTTTACAAATGATACATTGACTATATAATAACATTACAGATTTTCAACAAGTGCCACGCCCCTTTTCAGAACAATAATCATTTGAAAGGTCATACCTTAATTTCTGACAATGTTTTTCTAAAACTTTCAATGCAAATATGTTCAAACTTTCAATTGCAAATATGTTTAAAATGAATGTATATATTTAATATCTTTTTATTCACGAGAGACCAAGATGGTCACTCAGAGGAAAAGGCAATATGCATTATTTTGAAAAAGGGCAAAAATAATGATTGATGATGTCATATTTTATGCAAATATCGTAATTAACATAATTATTGTATCTTATAATATAGGATATTGTGATAGCTTCAGTTTGATACCACTAACAGCTTTCAACTCTCAAAACTGTAGAAGTTATTGTACTTTGAAATGATTAACATCAATTCTTTCGCAAGAAGTGCCACGCCCCTTTTCAGTTACATAATCATGTGTCTGACAATGTTTTTCCAAAACTTTCAATTGCAAATATGTTCAAAATTAATGTACCTATATATTTAAATTCATTTATGTTCATGAATGACTAACACTGATCACTCAGGCAGAAAGGTATAATGCGATACGGTTGTAAAGAGGCAAGAATTATGATTGATGATGTCACATTTTATGCAAATGAGGCAATTTGCATAATTATTGTATCTGATAATATAGGATACTATAAAAGCTTCATTTTGGTACCACTTACAGCTTTCAATTCTCAAAACTGTGGAAGTTATTGTACTTTGAGATAATTAACACCAACTCTTTCAAAAATTCAAGATGGCCGCCAATGGATACCATGGGACAATATTTCATTCTGGGAACATGCAAAAATCTTTAGTATGGACCTTTAGGATTACAAAAATGTACATTAAAAAAATGCATCTTTCGGGTGCATGGGGACCATACCTTCCTACTAGACTAATGCTCATGGTCTAACCGAAGCATTTGTGGACCTAAGTATATTGGGGATTTTTGCACCTCAGTGTGTTGGGGTTGCTGGACCTCAATTTGTTAGGGACTCCTGCAACTCAATTTGTTGGGGATAGCAGCACCTCAATTTGTTAGGGACTACTGCACCTTAATTTGTTGGAGATTGCAGCACCTCAGTGTGTCTTGATTGTTGTACCTCTGTACGTTGGAGATTTGCTGGAAGTCAGTGCATTTGGGATTGATGCACCCCAGTGTGATGAGGATTGCTGGATCATTTATAGCTTCATGAGCATTACTAGCTCTTAGGTGAGGAACTAAACTGCGTTGAAATATTGTCAAGAGACTTTGTTATGATAAAAACATATGTGGACTTCTCTCATCTAACATCAGTTAGTGGATGAACATAATGTTTATTTTATATATCAAATATTGAAATAAAATAAATATTTTTATACAAAAATTAACTTTTTTTATTTATGGCATTCATCAACTTGTCAGACATTATTGTTATACATAGTAGCCGGCAATGATAACCTGTGGCAGTTTTCATGGAAAAGAGTCGCGCATGCATATATTGTTTTGTTCTAAATATGATTTAATGACATCTTTGCAAAGTTAACAAATAAGAAATGAACATTTTCTTTTAAAATTGATATTTATTCCAAACAATAGTCTAATAAAAGTCGATAAGTTCATTTTAATTCTTAAACGTAGGCACAAAACATTTGCCTTTGCGGCTCCTGAACGTATTAAGGCAAGCTGGTTGAATCTTTGTGGACATTTCAACTGGTGTGTCTAACTGAATCAAAGCCTTGTTGTTTTCAAATACCCCTTTGTCAGCATCAATGGTAAGGAATTTAGGGTGGAGAATAATTTTTGTTATCTTCTTAATAATTATTTCATCTTTTTCTGTGATTGAAGTCTTCCCCATTCTGACCTCCCAACCTTCCGTATTTGGACAACTGCCTTGGCTGGAATAAAAAATTATCATAATCGTTTACGATTTATTTGTACCAAAACTAAACTTTTTACGAATCTATGAAAAACTTGTATACGGGCTTGTCTAGATCTTTGACTTCTGTTAAATATAAAACCTTTAACGTAACCATAATTGGAAACAACATTTTCAGATTATTGAAATTTTCACTACCACATTGAAAGGTATGACTGCTTACTCATGATATCACAGTATTTGTTCCTAAATAATAAAATCAAATCATTAACACGTGTTAAAACGAATTATTTCACGTATCTCAATACTTTTGTATATTATAGAAATGAAATCTCTGAAATATGAAATGGAGGTATACTTTTAGAATAATTTTGAGGAAATTGGGACTTAAGCTTACTTCAGTATGCAGTTTGCAGGTGCCACTAGCCATCTGCGTGACACAAGTGTCCCGCTACATACTAGACTATCATTAAGGTACATGCCAACTAACGAGGCCATGGTGACATTCCCCTGACCACCGTCCTCTCCACATCGATTGGTCGAACCTACAGGAGCAGATTAAAACAGCGATTGATAGAGTAACTCTAAAAAACGTTTTATGATATCAATATTTTTTGAAATATGTGGGTCAATAAAATATTCCCTGTTGGACGGCATAAATAAGGCTTAGCATTATTGATATGTCAGAAAAGGTGGCTTGAGTTTATACATGGCGGATGGCACGTACGTATTCTTATAAAAATAGATAAAGTCAAAGTAGAGGTTCACTTAAAAAGCGATCGGTGACACACCTTTAAGTTCTGTTATTGGCAGACATGACTGTTCATGTGCCTCCCTGACTCCAGAGTAAGGATCTGGTTCACAATTTGTCAAAGCGTCTTCGCTCCCGTCACTCTTTAGACATTGTCTGGTCCGCAGCTGTGTATGCCTACCGCACTTAAGTTCACATACAGAGAATCCACTCCATTCACCCCACGTAGAATCTTCATTTGGAAATTGTAACATTCAATGTAATGTGCATTGAAAACAATATATGACTGCCATTGAGGGAAATATTTTATGTCGGGGGAAAAGACATTTCAAAAGTTATTTTTTGCATTATTTCCGGAAAATATGGCAGTCAGTATTTGTTCTATCATACCCCATACTGTCATACTATGAAGAGGAACAATATACAGGGTGGGCCAATATTTTTTCAAGACACTATAACGTTTTTATTTTCCAACCTACATACCCCAAACTTTGCAGTTATATAGTGCCAGGGGTTCTTAGTAATACTATAATGTAACAAGTCCTTCAACTTGGATAATATTTGATCTAAAAGAGGAGTTCAATTGGTCTGCCACCCTATTTGATAATCGATTTTAGTTTTAGTCGCCTTGCTGATATAGCAGTATCAATGGAATGTTAGCTCAATTTATTTCAACATGTCTTAATTGCCAGCTTTAGTTGAGCCATTCTTTAGATTGGGTGCCTTCATACAATCTCCCGGGGACCTTCCCATACCCTATACTCACTTAGGTTTGCATCAGGACTATTAGCTTGGCGGTCATCAGGCCATATCAGTTCAGGAACATTTTGCAAATTATGCTTATTTCTCACATGTTTAAGCGAGACACTGGTGACATATTTTATTCAAGTAAAAGTGTACAATTCATGATCCATGGCTAGATAAAAACTTTAAGTTTCATTTGGTATGCAAATTATGATTTTGTACCAAAAATTAAAAAAGTTATAGCATATTGAAAAAAAAGTGGCGTTTTTTGGCCCACCCTGTACATAAAGAAGATTCTCTTAGTATAGACCGAGGGTTTCGAGAATCAGTTCTCAACTATTTCATATTATAAGACCATAAAATTATGTGGGAACAGTTCTGAGGATACATATGGGGCTAAATAGCAATATACGAGTATTAACATAAATGTAATTAGCAAATATAGGCTAATGCCTTCTAACAAATATCAAAACCAGGCTAAATTATGTACACTGTTGCTCATAAATATGGAATATTAGATTTGGCAGCTCAGAATTCAAAGTTTGGAGTAAGAAAACATTTATTTGGAGTTGGCTCAGACATTTATTTTCTCGGCAAATCATAACCACATATTTCACCTCCAAATTAACATTTTTAGAGAAAAAATAGTAACTTTTAAATTTAGAAAATTCACTGTTACTTAAACAGGGGTACGCTAAGAATTTTTGCATTTTCAAAACACCCCGATCCAAATCGTCATATAAAACAGACCAAACAAAATAAACATCTGGTCATGAAGATTGAAGTGTCCTCTATCCAATGATAGCACTAATATGTGTTATGTCCTCTTTGTGCTGCAATCAGAGCATCAACCCTACAGGACCAGCATTGAATGAAACATCTGACCTTTCAAAGTGAAATAAGGCCCCATTCCTTAATTTGGGCAGTGCGTAACGTGTCTAAATTTTGAGGTGGGGTTCCAAGTTACGAATCTCATTACCAAGGTTGTCCTACATTTGCTCTGCATTAGTCTGATTGGCTGATTTTTTTGTCCATGGTAGCTGGTCCACATTGCCTGCCCTGGTGTAATCCAACACGATGCCACTAGCATATGTAACAGCATGATCATTCTGCCGTTGAATGTTGCCCGAAAACACTCTGTTTACATGTGGTACTTGATGGAGGTTCAAAGGGTCAATTTACTCTGAAGTTATGTTTGGGAATCACCAAGGGGGTGCAATTTCTGAAGTACTGCTCCAAAAAACCTCTGTAATACTGCTCCAAACATAAATAGGGTCGCCTTCATGGACTGCCACATCAGTAAGTGTCCTTATTATCTCTTCCCCCTGGTCTACGACAGAAACGAACACAATTATCAACTTTGTGGAGGACACATCTTATTTCTTCAAATGCTGTCATATGACACCAAAGATTAGGTCCAACGTTTTGGTGCTTTCCTGCCCATTGAGGGCACCTTTCTTTGTTATGATCAGTCAGTTGTGGTCTCTTTAAAGATCTCATGGCCTTGTATCCGTTATAAAAAAATCACTGGATGTCTATAGCTCTGGAACACGCGTTTTGGGGTGAGACAGCCATTCATCTCGTAGACTTCTGGTTGACTTAAAGCGATTTTGATGACATAAATGCAGCAGGTGGTGGTCTTTTCTTACATTTTTCCCTCTAGGGCTACTATTGCCGTGACCTGGAGTTCTATTCCAGTGCCTTTGGTGCCACTGCAAAATTTTTAGAGACTGTTCATGACACACCCCTAGGGTACTGGCAATGGCAGTTTGTTTCATGCCAGAGAGCGCCATCCCTATGACCTGTCATGCTCTTTTTCACTTATTCTATGGGACATGCCTTCTAAAAACTCTTCCAACTCTAAATTAAATTTTTATAAAATGTGCACAATGATTACAACTAAGATTTGGACACCTCTTTCAAGTTACCAATATCATGAGGTCATGGGGTCACCTGAGTGAATACAAGTTTAATCAACCATAAATGTTTTAACTTTTCATAACAATCAGTTTTAAATGCAAAACTGATGAGGGAATGAGAACACATTACAAATTTTCATCAAAATGTTATCATTTTGTAGAAATTCCATAAAACAGTTCGTATCTATAAAATATTCCATATTTATGAGCAACAGTGTATAGTGTTGAACAAATATATATTTGAAGGCCACCTGAACATTTATATTCTGTTGAACAAAGCTCTGGTGGAGAAACATCTACACATCCAGAGTTGATATTGAATTTCCCAAAACTGACATCACCGTCAATTAGAGGTCCATTACACACTCTAGTTCTTGTCCTAGTGCCTTTTCCACATTGACCGCTGCACGTGGACCATTCAGACCACGGTGCCCAATCTGAAAACATTAAAGTCCAGTTTGATTAACGGAAGAATTCAAATGCTCAGTTTTGCTTATTTGACATCGTTACATCTGGTGCGTCATTAAAAAATTTGCGATTGAATAGAATCAACTCCATATGGAAACTGTTTTTCTACTCACCTTTGAATATTCCTTCGACCCACTTCACATAGTGAGGTACTGAAGTGACAAATACGACTCTATTGAGAAAGGTAAAACTCAAAACTCCAAGTACGACCTGTAGTGACCTTTTACATGTCACCGGTCCTCCGCTGTCACCCTGTAATCGCATTGAAAAAATGCAAAGTTATAAAGTATATATAGATCAGTATCCAAGTTTCAGAAGGTGGGTTTCTCTGGTTTAAAGAGGCTCTTATGTTTCATCACAGCTCGAAATTGTGCTTATTTTGCTTTTAAATTCCAATTTTGACTAAACTAAAGGTTGACATGTAAATACAAATCTAAAACAGGATTCTTAAAAAGTATGTATTTTAAAAAAATTGAGCACATGAGATTCTAATCATTGTACCTATATGATTATAATACCAGGAGAATTGATGTTTATACTTTGGTCACCTTTGAGGGAACAATACCGCGAGGGTAACTTTTCTTTTCATATTAAGTGGACCTAACACTAAACTAAGCCCTTCGGCGCTTTAAAACTGCTATGGGTATTATACTATTTTTACTCACTTGTTTTGGTATTTTGTATTTTTTACCTGTCATCGCCACAAACCCATGTTTGTTTATTAATTCATAGTTCTGCTGTGGAAACAGAGTAACATTGCTGAAGAATAACAAAGATAAATCATGCGTATGAGACACGATATTCAAACGACGCAAATTAATGCTGTAGATGGAAAACGCAGAAAGGATCGGCTTATTTTGATTAACAAGTCACGTAGATTGAAATGTGTTCTTTTGAATATTGAAGATTTAATCAAGGTACTATTTTATTTTTTACTTCATAAAACAAATACTAGCGAGCCCCCGCCGTCGTTATTAAAGACAGATGGCTATTGACGACGGTGGGGGGGGGGAGGAATAAAAATATTACCATAACCAAATCTTAAATATTCAAAAGATTGCATTTCAACCTATCTACACTAAGTAAAAAATCAAAATTGTTGGCGACATTGATAACGTCAAAATACGTTTTACGTCGAAATAAGCGATACATTTCATTCTCCAAAACGAGAATGGTCCTTTAATGCGCAAATATTTTGAAGGGACGACCCGGGAGATTTTTCCAAGAACACTAATAAATACTCATAGTTACGTTTTTCTCACAATAAACGTTTACTTGGGCATTCTATATAATATATCAGACTAAATGTCCACTCATAAATACCCGGAATTATGCGTTTTCACATCCACGGCAGCAACACAACCAGAATTCTCTGCCACATCCCAATGAGTCTTACAATTATCAGATATTGAGCTGCCATACCAAGTATAGTTGAAACAAATTCCCCTTGGAAGCGTACACGGTTGTGCTGATCCATCTGAATCGCCGAACTTTAACCCTGGGCTTCTTATCCTAATTAATGCTATGTCCGCAGCGTCTATATCTATCCCAGATCTATAACCTTCGTGAACTACAACTTGTTCGACAGTTGCATTCTGACTCTCGACTCGCTTGATGTTTGGATCAACAGGAGCAGCCCTGATATTCCAACGTTTAAAGTCGCATTTCTCACTTGGATTGCTGAAAACAGGGTGGGTGAACATGAGTGTTTCGAAATTATGCAAAATAACAGTATTTGGCTTATTTGCCATTGGGAAGGCGTAGGCCTAAATATTGTACAATTTGTACATATTTTTGTATCTTCGACCCCCGGGCTTTGACCCCTTTTAACCCATTCTTTCTCTGCCGATAACATAAAATCTAGTCTCTTGGTTATTTTTTAGTCCACCTTTTATCTGAAACCACATGTAAAACAGATTATGAGGATGATCAAATTAAAAATCGGCCACTCTCTGGATTGGGTTTCGTCAGGTGATCGAGTAGCCCTACCTGACTATTGGTCGATGCTCGTCGCAACAATCTCCATCAATGTCACAGATACAATGGGCAGCCGTCATGATCCATCTGCTGGTAAGAATCACCCCATGGCAGAATCTCTCACGTTGCCCTTGGTTACTCCTACTTAAACTTACCACCCAATGTTGAATTGCACTACTTTCACGCTTTTTTCTTCCCGCTAGGAATTGAACTAAAATAACACAAATGTGTTGAAATATACTAAAATTATAGTACGTTTCTTTAGATCACCTAGCTAATGGTGTTTTTAGCATTACAACTGTCCCGATGGTGAAGCCATCAAGAGTAGCCTACTTACATGTGCTGTTACATACTGGACAGGGGCTAAGCTCCTCTTTAGGTCCATGACACGCAGCATCAGCTTCCACAACAAACCCACCCTCCGACACACACGACCTTGACCTTGTCCGAAAAAATGGAGGGCATTCCAAATCATTACACGAGGTCCAAGAACCCCAATTCAACCAACAGGGCCATGATTCACAAAATGACACGTACCCTTCTTTAGTGGGTACTACATCGATTTGTGTAGTTATAGGAGAATTAGTCGTGATGGGTGGTGGAATAGTCATATCTGTCTCTGGTATATCCTTACTTGTCTGTGAAACGGTTGTTTCTTCAAAATTCTTGTTTGGCAGTGGAACGGTTCTGTTTGTCTCTGACACAATCGTCTTGGGCAATGCAATGGTAGTGTCTATTTCTGGTATATTCGTGCTTGCCAAAATTATACACTTTACGCTCTTCTTTCGTGAACACTTCGCCAATCCATTTCTCGAGCATTTACATTTAGAGCACCGATCCGGTCGCCATTTCGCACCATGTTTCATGGGTACTCCAGTTTTAGTCATGCACATCTCTAAATTGTAAGCTTACTGATAAATTAACATATTTACATGATTATCATTTTAAAATTGGGTTATTGAAATAATTAGGCATACTATTTTGAATTTGATACGCATAACAGTCGTAGGAACTTAAAATTTCTGGAAAATATTTATTGGTATTTTAATACAATGACATGTATAACTTTTCTGTATTCGTTACTTTTTAAGTTAGTATGTATTTATAAAATATTTGGAGGTGAGTCACAAAAATGAAATCACCTTGCGTTAGCATCTGCGAAGTATACCGTGCCCATTGGTGCATGTTGGACTTATAAAGCTATTTTGTTTATTTTAAAGATAATATGGCTATTGCTGCTGAATCAAGTTCATGGATGTAGGACAAGGATTTAGTTGTTTGTTGTTTTCACTGCTTTAAATAGTCCGCATGGTGATTTTTAGTGACTGTGACGTCAAGAGATGAATTGAAATAGAATGGTCACAAATGTTCTACGTCATAACGACATCAAATAGAGCAAAATGACATCACAACCGCTATAACTACGCAACACGACTCAATAGCGACAGTAACATAAACAAAAGAAAAATATTATCTTCAGATTCTAAATAAGTTGAAGTGGATCAAAAATAAAGAAAACTCATGGCGTATCTTGACGAAGTAATGAACTTTGCCAACAAAAGGTTAGCAAAAAGTTGGTTTATCCGGAGAAATAGAAAGATTACAGAAGAAGAGCCTCCAAAGAGAGAGGATAAAGGTAATGAAATGACAACTTATTTTTGCATAATTTTCGAAGATAACTTCTCGGATCTCGGATGAAAAAGTTTAGTGTCTTTTTCTCAACTCCAATTGTAGGCATTGGTGCATTGAGTAGCTAAGGACTATTTCTTCTAAATGGATTTTCCATTTTCCATTTACAGAACTGGGTATCAGTGAAGAGATTGAGTTAATCTACTGCAACCGTGAACTCCTGAAAATTCAAGAATTTCATGACATTAGGAAGGACGAGTTACAAAGCCTCAAACGCACTGTAACGGACTGTAGGAAGGAAAAACGAGCCCTAGATCAATACATCAGCATTATTAGTTGCCGAGTTCGACATCAAAAGCAGCAGTGTGGACATTGCATTTGTAACATTTGTCAGACTGAGTCTAGAGTTCTGGACTTGTCTGTGTACCAGAGGGGTGAATCGCAGTTTTCAACGATAGAAGAAATGCGATACAACATTGAATAGATTTGACCTATTATTGCATTGAAAGACAATTGTCACGTTTTACTGCATGGATTTAAATGATTTCGTTGTCTTTCCTATTTCTTAAAAAATGATTAAATATATTTTTATAATGAAATATAAACTATTTGTTTGTTTATTTATTTGCTTTTTGTTTGTTTTAGTTAGTTCTATCGTAAAGTTAAATTCAAAGTGAAGGTATTTCCAATGCCCCTCGGAGTATCACCACTTTAATTCTGGAACATTCAACACTCAATTCGGTATCTTTCTTATTTCTTAAAGATATTGATTAAATACAAATGGTGTTATTTCTATAATGAAACATAAACCTTTTGTTTGTTTGTCTTTTTGTTTGTTAGTTAGTCCTATCGTAAAGTTATATTCAAAGTGAAGGTATTTCCAACGCCCCCCCCCCCGAGTAGGCCTATCACCAATATATTTCTGGAACATTCACTTTAATCCCGTGCATTTGTAACCCCCGATCCGTGACACCAAACTTCATCTCAACCGTTCTTTCCAGTCCTAGAAATATCTCGTAACACGGGCTAAATCTGGCTGTGGTCGGGAAATATATTGTCTAAATAATTAGCTACTTCGTTCATAAACAGTCTTCAAAACGTCCATCTCATTGGTAGTTCGCTCATGTCGCACTATGTCGGTGTACACACTTAAGTGCTGCGTAAGTGCAATTTATATCCGACCGTTGCACAACGTCGTTAATGCGTCCCTAGTAAGGTCGAAGTGAGGCAATTACGTCAGTCCTAGCCAAGTAGGTCATCTCGTTTGAAGTACATACAATCTAATCACAAAATGGTTTGGTCGGCATCGAATTTTGAAATTATTCTAAAGTCTATATTACACTCTCGTCCGTTAGTGTGATAGCTATATTTTCCGTTCGTAATTAGTTCTATCCTGTTCTCAATACGTCCCAAGACAGTTCAACTCCTCTACGTTGTTACTCGTTCTGACTCCAGAATTTGGTGACCATCAGAAAATTATGAGAATGCTCTAAGTTCTGGCCGACCTAGCCTACTCGTTCGAGTACGTTCATGAAGTTTGTAAATATACCCCAAACGGTTCCAAGTGCATCCAATCCGTTCGTTTAGGCCCGTTTTCGAAAACGTAGTGAGAACTAGTTTGGTGTGTTAGTAGCAAGGAGGATTGGCTCCCAGGATCGAAACTCGATATTTTCCAACAATGAAAACGTCGAAATGTCGTTATTTTCTGAAATTAAAACCGACTATAAATTCAAAATAAACAGTTCAAAAGATTCGAACCAATATCTCGATCGTTTCTTGTGAGTTTTGGAATTTTTCGTTTGGAAATAAGACCAAAATTCACGATTTAAATGTTGAAGTGAACAAAATGGCGGCTGTTTGAATTCGAATTTTGTATTACGACATACCCATATATGGGACAGAATATCGGTGGTGCACTCTGGGAGCCAATCCTCCTTGGTTAGTAGGGTAACTTCTTAAATGATATTCATGATCCAAAGTATGTAGGTAAGCCTAGGCCCTTTAGTCCATATAAAATGAAATCTCTATCGTAAATCACAAAAAATGAAATCAACTTTCAGATTCGGCGTGTTTCCAAAAATTCAAAACTACCGCAAAAATCTGCGAAGTGTGCTTTTATCTGAAAGATTTTATTCCACCCTATTTTGCTTATTTTGGAGATAATAAGGCCTATTGGTACATATTTGTTATCATTCGCTTGTGTGTTATATTCTGCAAGGTCATATTTGTTTTCAGTGAATGTGACGTCACGAGATGAATAGTTCTCTGATGACGTTTTTGAAATAAAACGGTCACGTGCCACATTTTGCCATTAATTGACGATTTGCGATCACCGAATGGATTCTATCTTTTAGTGACGTCACAATTAGGCCAGCAAGCTTTAGATGCTTGATTTTGAGAGATTGATCTTCTATATTTCATGCTTTATTGATTAATGTTTCACGAGAGCGTTCAATTTGACTAGATCAACATTCATGCTAAGCATATACCAAGTCTAAGATCTTACTGACATGATTTAGATAGCGGTTAAGCGCCCCCCGATTTTGACAAAAACGGGGGGCGCTTATAGGCATCGATGTTTAATATGAATTTCACCCAAACTTCGCACATATATAGATAAACTCATGATCTAGTCAAATCGGCATACCTGATAAATATCCGACCCATGGTTTTCATAAAAGAAACGACAATAGTTTTAGCTCAAAACTGCCACGTGTCCGCCATTTCGTGATTCCATCATTTCTAATATCATTTCTATATGACGTCACACCAATAAGACTAAATACGTGACAACAGTATCCATAAACAAAATTCCTGAATTCTGATCGCAAAAGGTCAATTCTTACTCATATCCTATACGTCATAACAACAACGAGAAACACGATGACATCACAACCGCTATAACTGCGCAACCCGACTCCATAGCGATAGTAACATAAACAAAAGAAAAACAGAATCTTCAGATTCTAAATAAGTTGAAGTGGATCAAAAAAATAGAGAAAAACCATGGCGTATCTTGACGAAGTAATGAACTTTTCCAACAAAATGTTACAGGGGATAGCAAAAAGTTGGTTTATCCAGAGAAATAGAAAGATTACAGAAGAAGAGGCTCTAAAAAGAGAGGATAAAGGTAATGGCATTAAATTTTTTTGCATAAATGGAGACAATTTCTCAGATCTTCATAGGATCCTTAGATGATAAAGTTTGGTGTCTTTATCTCCACACTAATTATAGGCATTGCTAATGGGTTTGTGCAATGAGTTGCTTAATATAGTTTAAATAAATTGTTCACTTTTATTTACAGAAATGGAAATGCGCATCAGTGAAGAGATTGAGCTGATCTCCTGCAACCGCGAACTCCTAAAATTACAAGAATTTCATGACATGAGGATGAACGAGTTACATAGCCTCAAACGGACTGTAACTGACTGTAGGAAGAAAAAGCGGGCTCTAGATAAATACATCAGCGTTATAAGTTGTCGGTTTCGACATCAAAAGCAGCAGCGTGGACATTGCAACTGTAACATTTGTCAGACTGGGTCGAGAGTACTGGACTTATCCGTGTACCAGAGGGGTGAATCGCACTTTCCAACGATAGAAGAAATGCGATACATCATAGAATAGGCTTTGACCTATTTATTGTATTGAAAGACAATTGTCACGTTTTACTTTATTTGCATGGAGTTGATTGATTTCGTCATGTTCGTTATCTTTCTCATTTCTTAAAAAATGTTGATTGAATACAAATGCTGTTATTTTTAATGAAATATTGTGTTCTTGTTTGTTTTATGTAGTCTATCGATCGGTTCATAAAGTAATTTCAAAGTGGAGGTATTTCCAAAGTCCCTCAGTGACAAAATATCAAAGATTTGTCACGTGATATCACAGCTTATCCCGTTCCCGGACTATAGTCCTGCACTGATCGCATTCATTTGCCTGTACGATTACAACTTGGGAGAATTATCTACGCCCCTTACACTTAAGATACCTACCTCAATGCATTATAGAACTCAAGATGTAACTTCTAATATATTGGAACCGCCGATTGTCTGGGTATATCGGCAGAACGGGAACATTTTCTCTTTTTCATCGAGAGAGATTCCATCACTTTTCAAAATGGCGGTTGGATTTAAAAGGGGAATCCCCCGTTTGGCTGTCCCGGATGTAGCCCGGAAGTACCAATATGGAGGAATTTGACGGTTGAAATAAGTTAAATGTTACACGCAAATATTGCGATCAAAAACGAAAATGTCTTCGTTCTACCGATAAACCCAGACAATTGTGGATTCAACTACACGAAAAGAATGCTAAATTACCAAGGAATCTATTGAAGTAGGTATCTGAAGTGTAAGATCAGTAAAAAATTCTCCCATGTTGTAATCGCACAGGCAAAAGATTGAGATGTTCACAGGACCATAGTCCGGGAACGGGATAAATCACAGCAGTGGACCAAATATGTTGATGATGGCAAAGTGCGCATTAAACCTACGCATTACCATACGATACGATTCGATACAAGCGCATTTTAATCTCGAAGCCATTATTGACTATGCTCCATAAATGAAACTGATGGCCCAAAAATGTTCGATAGATGTCTATGACTTCTTCCGTTTGTTTTCACTTACTTTGACGCACTTTTGTTTTCATGGTGGCGACGAATGATATCTCTATTGCACATAATCCAGTTAGAAGCATGAGTATACCAAAGTTGTTCATATTTGTATCCGTGACAAACAAGGCCTGTAGTACTGCAGTACCATATGTAAAATCACATTTTTCAGGAGATGATCGTGGGGCCTACATACACAATACATTAGATATGAATTAGTATGAACAGTCAAGCGAAGTTAAACAAGTTATTGTTGACCCAGCTTCGGTTTATCATTATGGTAGGTTCCTGGGATTCCGGAAACTCATAAAAATGTCTAGCTTTAGAAATTAATTAATACTTAATTAAAGCTGAAATAACAATTTGAACTTACTGAGCTTTACTATGAATTTATTAATATATGCATCGCTTTTGTAACACGATTTTCAAGGACTCTTTCATATTTATACATTCACTACATTGTCATATCACAATATTCATGTACAGGGTGTATGCACCCCCTCTAAAATCATATGTGTAGCATTGTCACCCTATCATGTTATATGTCAGGCCCGTAGCCATAATTTTCAAAGGGCGGTTCACTTTTCCAAAAAATTCTAGGGGGGTTCACTTTGGCAAATTTGGCCAAAAATCACTCAAAAAATAGTCAGAATGGTGAAAAACTGCATGATTTTGAAAGAAATTTTGGCCAGGGCCCCCCCCGAACCTCCCCCCTCCCCCTGGCTACGGGCCTGTATGTCATTTTGTTCCTTATAGAAAGTTACATACGATTGCAAAGTTTCAGAATCCAGGGATGCCCCCGAAAAACGATTTAATGAATCAAAGTATGTTGGTACGGGGTCATTTGGGGGCAATAATAGTTTCCGTATTGCACATTTCTAGCGCAGCAGCTAGTTGTCATCATGGCAGAGTTCAGTCCACAGTTATTCACAAAGACATAGAAAGTGTTCGTGCAGTGGCTTATAGGGAGGCCAGGAACCATGGTACCACCTTTATCACTAAAAATGGGTAACGGACAAAGTGAACACATCACCATACTGGGTCCAAAACTGCTTACAAAAATGCATACTTTAATTGATTCATTGTATCTTTCCCTGAGTAAAAGTTTTCAAAAACTGAAAAAAAAATTCCGTGATGTCTCACAATGGCCAGTTTTAGTTCAAATGTAATATAAGTCTTCAAGAACCTAATTTGTCATAATAATTTCGGGCAAAATTACTATGGAGGATTGTTAGATTCAAATATCACGGCTATAGTACATTTCTTTGAATTGATGTTTATTTGAAGAATTAACTGTTTCTACAAATGAAACGATGTGGACGTGGTAAGATTATATGGGATTAAAATCAAAACACGGAGAGATTCTTTCAGTTTTCTAACCATATTGATCTTTCAACTTATGTTTTTCAATGTCTATAATTCCAAGTCTTCATTCCAACATCACTCTTGAAGCAGACATTTGGTAGTCATATGAAATACACAGTGAATGAGACTTATTCAAATCAATGTGCTTGGTTTACGTCCAAGATCGTATATTTACAATTGCATTCATTCCCCAAGATCTTATTTCCTTCCAACATGATGGTTATTTGTTCTATCAAATACAGTAAATAATAGGGAAATAATGGGAAACTATGTATTTCATGGATTCGTTTGAAACCAACGGAGGAGATACATCGTACACTGAAAACATACCTGGAGCATTTGGACATCGTTATTCTGTAAAAAAAATAACTAATTGTATGAAATAGAAGTATGAGCAGGAAAATGAAAAACTTTGATGAGTTAAATGCCACAGCCACTGCTATTTTAAAGGAAGCAATGTTTAATGAGCGATCCAAACGATTCAAAATGGTAAGTATACAGCCTATTTATCGTTATTCTCTTGGATTGGACTAGTATTTTTAATGGAATATTTTATTTTAATAATTTATACATGTTTTGTAGGCTATTCGAACCATGAGGAGTGAATATCAACAATAAGTTACCTTTTTGGAAACTTTTATGATATTTTATTATTTTCATCAACTCGTCCGACGTACACCCCCCTCCATTAGTTAAGCAACTGGATGTTCCCATTTGAATCACTTATCAAAAGCCTGTTTCTGTTTATCGTAAATTACCTAATTATTATAGAAAAATTAAGGAACAAAATGAAGGTTCGGACATTAACAAGCTTTAATATGGTTTCCAATAGAATATCGAGTTGCCAAACATATGTAGGAGAGTGTACTGTAGAAACAATGATCCTAGGAATAAATTCCTATGTATGTTTGTTGATTAATATCATATACATGTATTAATGACATATTATTTACACAGGTAGTCAACGATTATAGAAGACTTCTAACCACGATTGACCTTCGGAATCTTGCTCGTGACTACGAACCTCCATCCGGATACAAATTATTGGTAATGAATTTGAAGTATCGAATTAACTTTATTCCAAACTACCTACAATCATCCATCTTCATTTAATTTCTCCAGGGGTTTCCATATAAATGATTATGAACAATTAGAAATTAAAATCAATAAAACCAATGTTTAAGTAGAGTAAAGCTCTAAATTAGAATAAATAAATAAATAAATATGAATACAAGGGTATTCTCATAAAATTCTCATAACATCTTAACTTTTTATTTTTTAATTATTCAAAAATCTTATGATGGAGAGGTATTATTAGAACATTGTGATAACACCTCTTATATTGAAAAATGTACTAGAATTATATTTTAATATAATTAAACATAATGTTATTATTATCATATCAGTTTATTTTCTTATATCACACATTATATATTCCATTACAATGCGATAAATCGTGCTATTACTTCAGTTGTATGAGCTCCACTATCATCTAGGCATGGCTCTACAACATATAGGTGACCATAGACGTGCTATACAACACTACACCAAAGCAATCAACAGTATAACACGTTTGAAGGTATGTTTGCAAAAACTAAATTGATACAGGTGGATCAAAAAACTGAGTATGTCAGCTCTCTAACGGTACCAAGTTTGTCCACAGCCATGGATTTGTATAATATATACATTTCTTCTTGTGTTTCTAATAGGGAGGCTGCCTGGCTGGTTGTCATACCAACTCTTGCTTGATGACACCTCTTCATACCAGACGCTCATTCGCCTATGCTAGGACAGGTAATATACAAAATTAGACGTTTTTCTGAATAAAAATCACAAACCGGACCTCTTTAATTCATAAAATACCTAAAATAAAGTAGATTCACTGCAGTTTAAAGATAATTGATAGAATATTATTCACAAATAAAAATACAAATGGTTTTTGGGGTTTTCTGCCAAAAATGTGAAATGTATCGACGTTCCCTATGCATTATAGACTATGCTATTTTTGAATTTAAGGGGACCTAAGGAATTCTCTGAAGGACGCTGAGAGAGCTGTCGTCCTTGACTCTAGGAACCCTGTAAGTCACCTACTTGGCCAATCTGATTTTAAATTCGTTTGTTTTGTTTTTAGTATGAGAACTGTACATATAATTTACCGTTTTATGTTAACCGTCATCAGACTTGGTAAAGAACAAGGCCAGATGGTCAGTTCAAGGTCAGCATACATGTATGTATATCGAGGTCAAGGTCAAACTGGGTGATAAAAGACATGGAATCGTTTTTTTCACTTATCATCTTTGCAAACAAGAGTCTGTCATTAATAAACATTTGAGGACTAAATACTCAATCGTTTCAATTTCAACGTGTATTGTTATCTCCCTCCAGGATGTGTATTGTGTACGAGCCCTATCCCGGCATACAAGACGCGAAGAGACAGAGGCCATAAAGGATTGTAAATTAGCACTTGGCATTAACCCGTCTCATGTATGTGCCCTCCTTCTTCTTGGCAACTTTGAAAAGCCATTATCGGTAAGTTTTGCTCCATCACATCACTGTGTCGTATCAATTTATTTCTAATGCGTGTTGTCTAATATGATTGAATGTTGCTACTGACACTAATTTGTTGTTTTGGACTTTTGTTTTTAACATATTTAATGCCTTGAAGATTAATGAATCACACGTTTTGTCATTGGATTAGAACATGTCTATTTATTGTTGTAACCAACAAGATTGTACGTAAAGCCTCAGTCGCATTTGCTCTACGGCGGCTGTACGCCGACCGTACCTCCGCAAAATCGATAGGAAAATCGACATCGTACTTCTTATCCCTACTTATTTTATGCTGCACATTTCTTTCGATTTTGAGAAGCTGCAGGCGCCGTACGGTTGCCGTAGATCAAATGAGATTAAGGTTTAATAACAGTTGAATGTTACCCGGTGAATAACAATTGTCCAACTTGTAATTTGAATGTCTGTGTGTTCATTTGTTTTGAACCAGCAGTTAGAAGACGACGACTCCGACACTCAGGTAGAGAGTCACAGCCAGCTAAAGGTACCGTTCGAGTTATAATCATTCAATATGTCCGTCTTAACGTCAATATTATTTTCCTGTTTTTTTTTACTTTTTCATCTTTTTTACTCCACCAATATAATTAAGAACATAAATTTTGTATTTCATCTGAATATATACATTAGTGCACTGTACTCGTGTTTAACGTGGTTTAATAAACACTGCTCATTTGATTCATTTTCTGGAATGAACAAAATTCAATCTTAACAGAAGCTATTTGAATTCGAACTACAATGTATGTACTTTCATATAATGATCCATTGGACTCTTTTTCAATTCTATATAGGCATATTCCATCAACCCCACTTCAAAGTATTATATGGACGTGAGAGACTTCAACCACCCCAGTATGATGGACTTCTATGACAGATTCCTTTACTCGCTCAATGTTCCGCACACGATCTCTCAGATAAACATGATTCCGGATAAAGTTATGGATCAGATAAAGATGGCGCAGCAGTTGCACAACGGTTTGTTATTGAACACGATTATTAATTTGATTGCTCTAAATGATAATTAGATGGCGTCTTTATACATTTATGTACATTATATGTACTGCAATATACCAATGTGTAAAGAGGTTTCATATCTCAGATTGTTAGTAATGGCTTAAATATTATATATTTCTTTTATTGACAAAAAGTGTCATTAGTCTATGTACAAACTAAGAAACTAATCTAACTAAAAACTAACTATAAACTATGAGAATACATGGGTAAAATTAACTCTAAAATAAAACTACATATATGAGGGACTTCAATTGTCAATTGTAAGTCCTTGATTAAAGTCTAGATGCACATGGGATTGGCAGTATAGCACTCTAAATGAATAACATCACCTTAACAGAGAGACTCCGCTCTCCTTTGGGGGACAACCACCTGTTATATTCAATTTAATTAATACCTCTAGGTGAACCGATTGTATTCGATATTCCAATCAAACCCAACCGTGCTGCATCCTCTGCCGATGAACCTCGCCTTATTAAACCATTTAGAGCGGGTACTCCAACTAGTCAACGAGATAAGGATTCCGCTCCTAGACGGCGGAAGGAATATGGAGAGTCTGTAAGAAAATACATGGCAAAACCCAGAACAGCCAAAGAGTATATAGGTATAGTAGTTTATTCTACTCCTTGTGTATACACTTTATATGTTTTTTTATGAAGCATAAGTAAACATTTTGATATTTACGTTTTGTGTAAAATTTTCCTGAAAATGTGCTGACGAAAATAGCATTGCTGTCCTTGTCTAACGCTGCCGTGCATACTATGCCTTTAGACCAGCTTGTCAAGCACTACAACAAGCAACACAAACTCAGGAGAGAGGCCGAGGAAAATGAACGGGAACTTGAACGTCCAATGAAAACCAACCACAATGACAATAAAACCATCACCGAATCTCACCAAAGACGACCAAAATCATGCCCCGGGTCACTAGAAAAGCATGAATATTTAAGCAAATCACATAGCCCAGTAGCGCGTGAAGTGAGTGACTTAGGTAGGAGACAGAAGGTTCCAGAGTCAGAGAAAGTGAGAAATGCGACAGAAACAATTTGGAGAGAACGGGTGCATCCTGCAACAACTCCAATTATGATTCGGCTAGATTCTGTCGATACGGGAGGGCCATCAATTGCACCAGTAAGTGGCGTTGAAACTATGATTGGTATTAATGCATGATCTGATACAAAATAGTGAAGGACGGTATGTACCATTAGTACATTAAACTTAGTTGGTTTTGGTAAATCATTTATCATATTGAGTAATTAAGATTAAGTTCGGAAATCGCAGAAATGGGTTTTGAAGTAATGCAGGTTAAAGTTTTCTGCTCAGTTCATTTCAATGGTCGTGTTGTATGATGTATGCATTAGATGTTAATGAAAAATAATCGTAGTCCTATAATACAACATTTTGCCAATTTCTCTTTTTATTTGTTCATAAATGTTAATAATTATTTTTTAATTATAGGTATTCCAGAAGGTGAACACAAAGAACTTTCCCAGAATGTACTACAGGTGAGCATGAATACCGTAAATGGTCATCAATGGTCATATCAGAGCGTTCCATCATCTTCGGTCTCCTTTTGAGCAGCCGTTGTTGTTGTTGTCGTCTAAAAGATATCATTTTATACATTTAATTGCTCTCCAGTCCCTTTATTCGATCAAAATGGACTTTATGTAGTTTTGGGGTCATGCGCAAGGTCTTGCGTGTCCCTCGTAATATTCACATCTTCTAGAAAGTTGAAACGGTATCAGAAGTAGATGTATGAGTAGAAGATCAATCTGATTGATGATTAGCATTTTTACTTCAAATAATTGCTTCCTTTCTTAATAATTACAAATACATAAAACATATGTAAGGGAACGCCTCTGTAAGTGCAACACCTCCGAAGACTCTTCGGGGTCCATATGACCAACCGAATAACATTCAATGAACCTCTGTCATTGGAACAAATCCCCAAATGAAACACTTTTTAGAGCTATCACAGATGTTCCACTTACAAAGGTTTAACTGTATACGAGTGCATTAGAATACGTATAGTATTAATTTATTACAATGTCACACCTGTCATTAGATACACGTTTATTAATAATAACCACATTAACCATGCAGTCAGCATCGTGTCCATGCACGCAAATGATAAATGTTCATTTTCATTGTACACTGTATACATGTATCTCCTTTTCATAAGGGCAATACAGATATACCATACCGTTGAATACATACATACATAACGTCATTACATTTATATGAATTGATCTAGACATTGATTCTTACAACTAGGAGAAAATGAAAAATGCCAAATGCGAATTTACTAAAATTGAAGAATAATGGTTCAAAGAGAAAACAATCTAAGGGGTGTAATGTAAACGTTGTACATTATTTTTTATCTGACCGAAAAAATATATTTTGTATCTTATTGCAGGCCATGGAGAGGGGATAAACTACCTATGGCAGAACTTGAAAGAAAACCAAACATTTTGGCCTTTTACTAAACCCGTAATATACAATCCCAACATAGGTTATGATATCCAAACTTGAGAAGGGGAGCGTAGACAGGATACAACATCAACGTCTATTACACACACTATTTGTCTTGCTTAGGAGGAACATTCTGCAAATTATAAACAATGTATAAGTGCGTAAAATAGATTTAGATTGATAGACCATCCTGCACTGCGAGACATGTTACATCAATATCTTTATTTGTAAATTGAATCTCTGTCGTCTGCGCTTGGCTTACATGTTCGAGCAATAAAGCACGTAATTCCTTACTCAGTTCCAGAGCTTACCAAGACCTTTAGGGCGCATTTTCGTATGACCGCGGTGCAAGTGATTTTGATCTGTTGCGTAATATTTATTTGTTTTACATAGCAGTATTTTTAGGATTAAAATCTTGCTTTGTACATTTTTGACCACGGGGAAGATTTTAATCCTAAAAATTAGCTATATTGTGCTTAGATTAAATGATACTCGCAATTAAGACAGCATTAAAATATTGCGCAATCGTATCAGTTTGCACTTTTGAACATGATTTTTTTACCGTGAGCAAGATTTTAATCCTCAAAAATTAGCTATGATTGTGGTTAGACTGCGAAATACCGCTGTGTAAAATTAATAAATATTACGCAACAGTATCAAATTCACTTGCTCCGCGGTCATATCAAAATACACCCTTATTCATGGTGTACTATACAGTATGCAAGTTATACCTTAAAGTACATTTGATGATTGTCTCTTTTCTCATGTTATATATTTTGTTGAAATCGTCCTTTGACCAAGCGTATTCAATTCCAGTTATTACCGGAAAAATAAGTCTGATATAAGGGAGAGAAAAATTGGATATAATTGGACATGTGCGACACATTAATTGCACATGAGACGTGTATAACTTAACAAGAAATAAACGTTTGGATTTTACACATTTTATTTATTTAACAAATGACTTTCATGTTTATAATAATATTTACACATTATTTGCATTGATATTGATTTTAAACACACATACTCTGTTTAGTGAGTATGTATTTCACTTTTTCGTCTCAACTATTTCCGTTCAACTATACATATACGAGGGGGATCATAAAGTTCTAATATTCTTCAATATATTCAAATTAGGTTTTCACAGAATGAACAATATACAATGATATATTAAACAATACGATCGTCAGAAACAGTAAGCAAACCAAATAAAAGCTAAATTTAAATGTGTTTGATAGGTTATCATTTTATTTATTTATGGTAAATGGGTTAATTTGCAGTGTTTTAATTTTCCACGGGTCCATCGAGCTTTGGTTACTACGCCTACAATTTCTATTCAAACATTTCTGATATACTAAATACTAAATATATGCTGGATTGAAAATGTATGTGATGCTTATTTTTTGAAAATTACATTGAAAAATAAAAGTAAATAAAGATCACCTCTCGTATGATACATGGAATCAAGTTGACATTGCCATACTTAGCATGCATTGGCTGATTCAATCAGCCAATCTGTATAATCTCCATCCATGCGTGCAAAACTTATTTCAATTATTTTCTATTGATTTTGCCTAATCTATTGGTGATTATATTTTGTTCAAGGATGCATTACAAGAACACTCTTCAAGAACTCTTTTGTTGCAAGTTTTATTTTTAAGAAGCCTTTTGCATTTCTAATTTTTAGAACTATGGTAAGAAAACGACCCTTGGCAAAGGACGATTATCGGTTTGGAGAACAGTATCCTGGGCTAATGATTTTTTTCATGAAAAATATTGAAATATTACCCAAATTAAACTATGAATATTCAAAAGAGGACATTTGAATCTACAAGGTGTAAAAATAACAAATTGGTCCGAAGCAGGGATAACGCTCAATTAGACCGATTCAATAAAATACAAGTCTCGATTTTGGGAAAGAAGTTCATCAGTGTACTGCGCTAATATTTTTTTGCGAAAAATCAAGAAATATTACCCAAATTAAATTATGACTATTCAAAAGAAGACATTCAAATCTATATTATGTAAAAAAATCAAATTTGTCCGAAGCCGGGATAATGCTCATTTAGATTGATGAACTTCGTTCTCCAAACCGAGAATCGTCCTTTATAATTGATATAATGGATTCTTCACTTGAATACACGTTGTGTATAGTGGCTGCTTCAATGCACGAGGCTCCTGCATGAAGATTTCAAATGAAGGCGATAGCCGAGTTTCAAGTCCTTCACACAGAAACGAGAGCATTAAATGTAACAATGTTTATTGAGTCCTCTGTTTTCATCATTTTATTGCAGATCATTTTCAACAATATTATCAAAAGAAATGAAATATAACCAGAAACAATATAGCACACAATAAACATACATACGTATTAAGCACCCATTTATAATATACAGTATATAAATTAATTGTTTACCTCACGAATTTCTATAATAAAAGATGGTAGGTAACTTTTCAAATCGTAATAATCATGCTTATTTGTCTGATATAGCACGGCTACTATGTTCTGATTGGTAAGAAAATTATAATTCATAGAGCTATGCCTGAAACGATATTTTAGAAAGTGCCTAATAAAAGGTGATTGGTGACAGGCAGAGAAGATGATTATACGGAGAAGTTAAGAACGGTGTGTGCCATGCGATCCTTGTTCTCTTTACCTTTTCCACAATTGCGAATAATATATCTGTACATGCTTTGTCATTTTCATTATATAAGATTTTATACTTACTAGTCTTACACAAATATGTGTGATAAATGACTTTGTTATTAATGCACTACTAATGCATACTTATAGAGTTACGTTGTGACAATAGACAAGGCTCGATGTTGATAAAGCTTCAATACAACTATAACAATATGTCACCATTTCTGGGGGTGACACAATGACAGATCTATCAATGTGTATCGCCAAATTCTTTCCATTGCTTCCAAGAGGCGTTCTTGCCGGTGGGATGGACCGCTAAATACTTAACCAGACCAACGTTGATTCACGCATGCACACGTGCTCCGACTATAGCGACGTCAAACTGTCTTTTTCTGGGTCCGTATCAGTTTCAGTACAAGCACCAGCCTTAAGGGGAGACGTGTAGTTGAGCTGTATATTGTTAACTTCGTGATCGGGAGATGCTGGGATGCAATTTCCCCCCTCGATTTGTTCTAAAACACAACAGAGGAGTTAGTAGACGACTAGAATTTTTTGAAATGTGTCAGATGGCAATTGGCATACGTCACTATTCGGTTAAGTTACGAGCGAGCCTGCAATGTTTCGACCCGGGCGGGGATTACTGTCCAGCCAGCTCTCAATTGCAATTCACTTTTCCAGGGACCTAATTACACTCATTTCCCTAATACCTTTACACTCAATCGGTCAAGTAAACGGTATGCACCATAATTCGACACGTTCACGTACAAGTTTTAAAAAACGTCTATCTTAACCTCCGTTATATCTTATGTGGCCTTACTTCCAAAAATATGCGTCTTTATCAAAGGTAGGAACTGTGCACATCATCAGTGCCTTATTATATGATTGAAGCTTAATTTCACAAAATACGCAAGGTTTATCCAAAATAGAAATCCTACTTTGAGAAGTCGCTCCAATAAGACATGAATAAAAAAACATTCCAAACTACAATTCTAAATTAGTAAAAATGCCGTAGTTGAGGTTTCTGCTTTAGTTGCGCTCATTCGAAATTAATTGACCTTCTGTTCCTTTTGTATCTTTTAGTTTTTCAATATTTAGCTAGCTGTGCCATTTTCAAAGGAACAAGTAGCATCGACTATTAGTAATCAATGTGTTTTTGAACCAATTGTGTATTCAATCTACATGTTCAATGACCTTTATACATCGCACATATAGCCACCTTTTCTCCAAGAAAAGGCGGGAGCAAGAAGTGCACTTTTCATTTCTCGTGATTAGTCCCAAACAAGCTATGGTTTGGCATCCCAATGGGATTCACCGATTGCTTTAACAAGATCAGTACCGTTTCCTATGAATATATCAGTACGATTTAATACAATTGTACGTCGCCTAGTGCATTGTAGGGCGTTTTCCTTGTTTTCTTATAAATACAATGATTTATACACCCTTGGGGTTGAGGGTATTATTTACATTTGCTAATAATACCCTTTATGAAGACAAACGAGTGTCCTATGTTTAGAAGATTATTTTTGGACCTGTCAGAATCTCAATGCGGTCATTACAAGTATCTTTTTCGAAGCAGTGTCCTTCTGGTCCAGTGCGTTCGATATAATGGTATTTTGGTCGAAAAGGGCTGCCAGGGGCAGTAATATTTTTTCAATCGACCTTTCCAATTTCATCGTCCTATGTATATCGATAGGTAAACACACCTAACTGACTTAGGCGTTTTATTAATTTGATACAGACCCTCCAATTCACTTTACGGAAAGTGGATGTTGCTAGAGGATGATTTATAAGTAATCCTCGGTGATTTTATAAAACACGGAAGACCATTCATAGTCTCATTTGAATTTACCCCAGAGTAAGATAATGAAATAGCACATTTTAAGAAACGAGACACTTTTAACAAATCTGTATAACCGGCAGTTGTTTACTAATGAGAAAACAGCCATTTTAAATAAAAACCCATAGGCCTGATAAGATTTAGACAAGGCATTAACATGACAAAATGTCACCACCTAGTTGCTCACAGTATTATGAGTTCAATCTTCAGTCAGGTTTGAATTTCTGAGATGTAGAGGATTTTGACAAATAAATTGGTCAATTTGAAGCAAGTTGAAAAATACACTTTTTTGAACATAAGAAGGTAATTGAAGGTGAAATCTCAAATCTAATAGTCAGATTTGACCTTCTGAGAACTTGTATGATAGAAAATTTGGTCAATTTGAAGCAATATATAAAAATACCATTTTGACCTTGAGAAGGTCAAATCTTTTTTGACCTTGAGAATGTCATTGAATGTCAAATCTATAGTCAGATTTGAACTTTTGAGAACTTGAGATGATTTTGAAAAACAATTGGTCAATTTGAAGCAAGTTGAAAAACGAGCTTTTTGACCTTTTTAACCTTGAGAAGGTCATTGGAGGTGAAATCTAAGTCAGATTTGAACTTCTGATAACTTGAAGATGATTTTGAAAAAAAAGATTGGTCAATTTGATGCAAGTTGGACAAATACCCTTTTGACCTTGAAAAAGTCATTGAATTTCAAATATTTAGTCAGATTTGAACTTTTGAGAACTTATAGATGATTTTGAAAAACAATTGGTCAGTTTGATGCAAGTTTGAAAAATACCTTTTTTACCTTGAAAAGGTCATTGAAGGTCAAATCTTAAATATAAAGTCAGATTTGAACTTCTGAAAACCTGTAGAAGATTTTGGAAAAAATTAAAGTCAGTCTAAACAGTATTTGTGAAGTCATTGGAAGTAGTAAGAATTTGTTGCATTCTTTTAATATCTCAAGAAAGTTTCAATAAAAATGATGACATTATCCTACGGAAATGGAGATTTTGTTTCACAGCATGTTCGAACGGCGATAATATATATAGTGATTGCTCAAAGAATCGATTGTTCTTTCTATAGACATAAAATATTCTTCTATAAATAGAAGCAAAAGTCCTTGGCAATCAAACCTTTAGTTATACGTAAAAATTGTTGGAAACGTTTATTTAACCTATAAGGTAACAGTGTACATGTATCATTATATTTCTCCCTAATTCACTTGAGCATGCACAATACTAAAAAAAGCACTGCCCCCAAACTAACTGTGAAAAATAACTGAAAATAGATGTATTTTTTCTCAAAACCAAAACAATTCATCTTAAATTGAACGTCAAAGCATGTTACAAAAATTACAATTGTAAAAGCCAATCGAGATTCAGAAATTGGGTTATTTTGAATACATAATGTCAATCCTACACTCCCCATTAAATGTTAAAGCAAACCTGACTTCTTATCCCCCTAACAAAGGGTTTCAAACATCATATGATGCTCATATTTAATATGGTTATGTTTTTTAAATTACCTTTTGAAGAGTGTATTTTTCTAGGACTCCTGTCTAGGTAGTAGGTACATGTACCTTACCCTATCTAGTACCCGGTATTCCTTCAGTTTTAATGTCAAAGAATCAACCAAATTACTAAATGTCCGATGACTGTCTTAATGGAGAGTGATATGTATACAATGGGAATATAGTACTATTTGGAAATGTTTTATCTAATTAACTTTGATGCTCTGAATACGACCGACTTCGAAGACTTCAGAAAATTTACATTGACTTGTATCGTAGACGTTTATCATACTTGGATACTGTGACTTTGCACTGGCATGTTTTCATCAATTCATATCTTTGAATAGTGAATTGATCGCAGTTGAACCAGTGCATTTTCTTAGTAAATACTTAACTGTGGCAAGGAGCATAATTTCAATCAGATTTCCTTCTTTAGTATATAACTCGATAATGCCCAATAATTGAAATTCATTAGTTCGGCTAGGGACTCGTTTCAATACTTGACACTTGTGATTTGCTCTTGATAATTTGACAAATATTTTCAAAGCTCTCGTCCAGCCATCACCCCTTACCCAATATATATTTTCTCATTTAGAGGGTTAGAGCCGAGACCGTAGGTGGGTAACACAAGGGTCGTGCAAGACTACTCTCCCTCTCCGAATTTATAAGGCGACTAGTGCCGTGAATGGTCATGAAAACAGTTATAAGTCAATACTTTATTTTCTACAAAATTTTAACATACAATTAGTACTTACTATGGTTTGAATTATTATTGGGCTTGGTCAGGCTGCCCCCACAGTTGGCTTTAACATAGCTGGCGCTGCTGTAGTTAGTGGAGTGATTGTGATTCATTGTCAATTTGCGAACGTTTTTCTCAGGCTGGAAGACTATTATATACATCTTAGGAGCGAACAGACACAACAGGGCAACAGACGCGCTGAGACTGATAGAGATACATAGGGTGGTAATCTGAATCTGAAAATAAACGTTGTCCAGAGTTAAAATATTATGATCAGATAATATTTTTGCATCATCAGCATTGTTGAGAGGTTTCTTTGGCTGCACTGGGATGTTTATTGTTTCAGTTTTGTTTTCATTAGTTGACTGAGTATTGTTTCGTTAGCGTTTACATTGTCACCGAGCACTCGCGGTTCACCACTCAAAGCATCGTCTTGGTGCTTAAGGACAACGGTAACTGCAGTATACGTATTCAATTCAGATACGGAGCGAATTACGAAATTGATGACCAGGTAGCAACACAAGCCTAGTTGGGGAATGTTGGGGAATATCTCCATATTCATGAACATATGGAACATGAGAAAACTTGAGACTCTGGATAAGACTTTATGAGTGCAGTGTTTTGTTTGTGCTATCGATTCACAAGGGGGTGCTTGGAGCTTGTATTCCAATAACAGATTCCCCCTAATGAGCTAGATTTCACGCTTGTTCTGGTAGAAATAATAGCGTCAATCTAAGAAAGTGCTGGATACACAATTACATCGCGTTCATTTAGACTCTAATTTACTAAATTCGAGTAGACATCCTTAGAAGAAACCAAATTAAGAGGGGCATGGGCCGATGATTTTAGTCGTTATATTTTATCTGCTTAAACTACATTGATGTGAATTTTTTATCCTTAATTTGATATGTTCAATTTGTTACAAAGAATCTTTGAAATCTCTCACCGAAAATCTTAGATTATATTTAATACTTGATTTATTGTCTTATAGCCAGATGAAAAGTTTGAAGGATTGGTATCGATACGGTGAACTTTTTGAACACACGTGTCTCTTAAACCAGTCATCAACAAATTCTGAAAGTTTTACACATCGTCAAATTAATGGTCATCTTTTGAATGGTAACAATAAAATTTAAAAAATAGATTTTTTTCTCTATATTATTTTAGAAAACACATCAGACTAGCTCACCTAGATGCAAATTTATGAGCGTTACAAAATGTGTCGTCTGTTCCTTTGCTGGCACAACTGGATCTTACGTACAAAAAATGTACATAATTTTGGTAATAAGACAAAGTTATAATGGTTTTATCAACAAGAATTACATTATTTTGTGTTAAATTGAATGGACTTTAATTTATCTATCCAAATCTAAGATCCTGAAATATTGTCGGAACTGTTTGTAAGTTTTAGTAAATAGACGTGGCATGAAATGATAATAGCAAAACACAATTGTGATTTTTAATTGTAATAGACTTCTATTTGATAAGATATCTCAACTTTTTGTCAGTAGCAAGAGGAACATTTGCACGAATTTTAAAAAATGCTTCCAAAAGTTTGCACTCTCTTTTCCTTCTATTTCATATGAATGCAGTTTCAAAAATATACAGTTCAAATATTGCAACATCAGCTTATTTGACAGTATGGCTTTTTACTTTCAAACCATAATTATGCATAAGTACCGACACTGTTTTTGTCATTACTCTGATGTACTGAAGAAAAAATTGCTCAGAAAAAAACTCATTTTATTTAGAAATTAGTCGAGTAGTATTGGCGAAATATGAGTCTATTGAAAATGTTCATATTTTGCCAAATTCCAACAAAATATTCAATTTTCTTAGCTTCATGGGAAATACTTCCAGAAATAGGTGTGATACAATTTCTGTCCAATAAAACCTAATTAAGGAGGGACCGATTCTAAGAATGTTTTCATATGACAAATACTTGCACTCACGTACCTTGGGGATAAAAATGATCAATCCCGATATGTTTTTGTGAACTCGAACCTCTTACGTGTCCTTGTATGAAACTAATATATGCACATACTTGCATTTTTGTTTGTTTTTACAAATTCGCGAATTGTCATTTGAATGGACAGCATTGATTTACAAAACATGAGATATGTCCCCGTAAGCTAAATTAGTGCTCTCACATACCATACGATTGATTTCTGGACACATCGACCGAATGGCACAAATAGTGTCATATTCAAGTCGAGCTGAGTAAACAAGCTGAAACTTTGAGTATTAAAGGCACCTTTTATTTGCTCATTGCCCCAAACCCTCATAATAACATAAAAACAATCATGTAAAGTACTGTGAATAATCGAACATCTTACACTTTGGATTGATTGGCCATGGATTTCTTGATTATCGTGCTTTTCAAATATATTGAAGTCAGTTTCGGCAATAAAACCCAAGAATTGCACATGCTATACATAAGTATAAGTATCACTAATACATATATTTTTGATATCTAACGAAGTGGTGTTGAAAAGTGGCCTCAGGTGATAATTAGCAGGCGTCGAAATTTTGCACATTTACATTGAGCTCCATGTTAATTTATCATTCTTCAAAAGACCCCTGCAGAACAGTTTCAGAGTAATAGTGCCCATTCTCCTAGTATGTTACAATAACATGATTATCTTCAAAATAAGAAGGGTTAAATTTTTCTTGTACCTGCTTCCAAATATATTGGCGTTTGAATTTTGGAAATACCTCATTGACTGCCATTATAAACCGCTATCAATATGGCTTAACTAGAGGGTCCTTTTCTCAAAAAGTTCACGGTGGAATTTTCTAATACTGTAGATTTCTACAGTAATATATTCATTTAAAAAAAATCAAACAGGCACATTTCTGAAAATTATATTTCATGTATAAAAATTGCTCATTCAATATTTAGTCTAAAAACCATAAGAATACTACAAAATAGGCTGAATGGCACCAATATAGGGAGTAACCGACCCCCCCCCCTTCCCCTCTGACTCACGCAATTTGATTTATGCGGAAAGAATTGACAATGTCATATTCTCTTTAGTAAAAACCGCACCCCCCTTGAAGAAAAGTGTCTTACGGGCCTGGTATTAGTGGTACTTATGTCAAACAATGTTGCTATATATATATAGCATGTGCAATTGATCACCTCACTGACTCCACTAATCCTGCCTCGAGTGATTTCAAATCCTGCAAGTTGCAATATACATTTATAGTTTGTTTCTGACGTCGAAATGTCAGCTTTGATTGATTTTCGCGCGATTCCTTTCACATTTTGAGTATTTTGGTTTAATAGCTCTTACGACTAACATTGTTTTGTTTCAAATTGCATATTCATATTTCAAATTGCATATTTCACAGTATACGTACTGCTAATCCTTGGTGTGTGTCTGACATATTACTAATCAATTCTTGACCCATGACATACTGTTAGTTGTATCCAACTGGATAAGCACTGGACTTTTGTCAATAAAAGAAATTTTTATTTTCTCAGTGATAAAGGAAGGAAAAAATGTAAACTGCAGGCTCTAAAATTATCGAACCTTGTAGATTACACATTTTATAAACTTAAATTTGACTAATCTTTTAAAGTCAGATACATTTCGTTCTACCTCATTTCACAAGGAATTTCTAGATATCACTATATTACATTACGTAAATCCTTCAAAAAGAACTATCGGCAGCAAAATTTGAATAGCGCAAATGAGAGTTTTCGGGTTTAACTGCCGAATTGAAGAATATGATTTATTGCCATGGCGTTCATTAGTAACAGTAATGGGGTCATTTGTTAGTTACTAACATCAATGCAATCGACCATTGCAATACTATTTACATTTGTTTGGTCAAGCCTTTCAACTATTGCATGTACCATCTTTTGCTTAACCTTTTGCTTAACCCCCCGTTATGTTGGATGGATTGTAATTCTCAATCACAATTATGTCATTTACCAAAGCTATGATCTTGTAGAATTTGTATTCAGAGCGACCTTTTAGATTGACAATTCAGATACATCCTTGAGGGATGATATTTAGTTAGTTACTTACAGTTCCCGGAAAGATGACGTTCGGTGATATTGGGATGAAGAATGTTCCACGAATGGCATTGCTCTGTGGTTGATTTATTACCCAAGGGTAAACGCGGGGATTTTCTACGACCGATAAGTTCATATACGATAATTCCTGTCATTTGTAGAGCGAAACCGTTGCATGCTATAATTTTAAATCATTTAATCATAGTTTTCCTTGGATTTAGCAATATCTCCAGCACATAAGTCATATATAGCAACGTTAGCCAGCGTAAAGTTGACGAGATTTTCTTCTAACGGAGTGCGTTTTATTGCACAATTGGGTGCTATATTGCGATCAATTTGCCGGACGGGCGGCAGACTGGCGTCCTGAAATCATGAGTTTGGGGCAAATTGTTTGATGGATCGATTTGAAATTGACATGGATAATTTTGGTATTGAAAAAGAGGGGGAAACCCCAGGGTTCCGAGATGACATATGTCTGATGCAAAAGTGCTTTGAGAAGACATCGTCGCTGATTCAGAGGGGGAGAAACCCCAGAATTCAAAGATGACGTACCTCTATAATGTAAATCTGTATTGAGATGACCCACCGTTCTGATTGGTTCCCATTGCTTGCATTGATTAAAACATCACAACGACGTGTTTTTTTTTTGTTTTTTGGGCATGCTGGATAAATTCTAATTTGACCATTTTAAATTTTCAGTTCTCAAATTGTCCCTGTAAAGTTGTATATAAAATCTCAAACTTGGTATATTGGCCCTTCTTGATGTTCATCCCGTGTCTTGTTATTAGTATTTGAATCAACCCAGCAAGTTACTCTAATTAATATTGTATAGTTGGTGAAAATGGCCAGAAATCAAACCATATCATTTCAAATTAACATTTTGATTTTTACCCGTTTTTGCCTTTTGGTTGATGTTCTCTGGTAAAAGAATTATAAAAGATAAACGCATTCTCATATCTTAAATCATAAGTTGTGGAAAATGAGATAATAAATGTCAACATAGAGTCTGGTTTTATTAAGGACTGTTGTGGTGAGTAGTAGATAAACATGTAGTGCAGAGTCAAATTATTGGGAACAATCAAATAGGAGGCATCTATGACCTCCCTCTCATAATATCAACTAGGCCAATGTCTTCCAAATAATACATCAGCAACACGTTTGGCATACATAGGCCAGGCTGTTTTTCTTTTTGATATTTCACAGAAGCACGCTTATTTTCGGCAATCTGGGAATTTACAATGAAAAATGATCAAGTTGTAAATGAAACTAAGAAAAATTGCAATGACGATTAAGACTAATCATTTACAAATATGTCTCACTTAGTTTCCCTTAGTTTAGTAATGCCCTAAAGATTTTGCGCAAAGTGCAGTAACCTGCAACATATAGTCTAACGTTGCCACTGAATAAGATTTTTATTTCTAGACGTTATGAATTCGGATTTATACAACGGCAAAGAGAAACAAAATGTCATGACTTACTATAATTATGATAACATAAATATCTAATTGATCAAACCATCCAAGAAGCTACATCAATCTCAATATAATTAGAGGATGGATTTGTCTTGTTAATTTGCTACTTTAGCACGGATGTGTGTGTTATTATGAACACATAGTCCACAAATTGCCTATCATAACAATTTAATTATAAGGCCTTACAAAACAAGTGCTTCTTAATTGCCAGCCGGAACTAGTCATTACTAATTATAGAAAGATTTATAATTATCCAGAAATCATTAAAGCTAATAATTTTGCCCAGACTGTTTCCTCACTTTCATGTCTTACCACATTATATAATATATTAAATAAAGATTAGTCGACAATTATGTCTAAAATCCCAAGGTAGATATCTTTGTTCAATACGTCATTTTGATCGAATGTTTGGAATATCTTCCATAAAATATTAAGTAGAATATGATGTCACTTTGTTATTTATATTGTGGTAGAAATGGATTGGCGTTTCCCATGCAATCAATTGGTCTTTAGAATTTGAAAAATAAACGGTTGAAATTATGGGTCTCTTCCACTCATAGACTGCTTTCTGAAACATATTTATACCATCGCAATAATCATGAATCGGGAACTATTTTGATTAATCGCTTGTTATAGAGGCCTACAAGACTTTCAACTGAAATGGAAATGATTATATGAGATTATATAGCAATCAATTTACTGTATTGCACAATGAAATATGAGATTATCATCTGTACCATACAAGCGCAATCTGCATACGATATCAAATAGGATTTTCGTCTGTTGTATTCACCCTCTACAGGTCACAATCAAACGACATTGCCAAATCTCGAGACAGATAGAGAGATGTAAGGGGTATCGAAATGCCAAGTACCGGGTACCCGGGGGTTCACTGTATATAAAACTCGACGGGGGTCCTAGGCTGAAGCCTCAAATATCAATATGTTCCCATACCAATCTGTCAAATTTCAATATGTTCCCATACCAACCAAAATAACCCCCAAAGGCCATACCAAATGTCCAAATATAGGACCAATGCCATACCAAATGTCCAAATATAGGACCAATGCCATACCAAATGTCCAAATATAGGACCAATGCCATACCAAATGTCCAATTATGGGACCAATGCCATACCAAATATCACGAAAAATCTCGCGAGACTTCATCAAAGCCTATGATTGGTCCTCATTTCCCGGGAAAGGGCTAAAATTCAAAAGTTGAAGAAGTCCCTGGAAAAGAAGATACTTCGGGAAACGATCCAAATCAACTTCAAATTTGCAACTACTGGACCAATGCCATACCACGAATGTTAGGTAACGTATCTACAACGACCATTCTCATACCAGAAGAGCAAAAGTCCGACCATTGCCATACCTCAGAAGTCAGAAATTTCCGGGCATTCCCATACCAAATCCTAAAATATGGGTCCATTGGCATGCCAAACGTTGAAAAAGGTACCCCACATGCGCCGAGGATCCCCGTCAAGGTTTATATATAGTGAACCCCCGGGGACCGGGTATAAGCCTGTCTTATGTTGTTCATCATTTGTCACAACATGGCGTTATTATAAATTCATCCGGGAATCTCGACAATATCACATGAGACATCCGGGACTTTGATTGTGCAAGGCCGAATTATCATCTGACGTGAACTGACCAAATACAGTTCATCATTCTATTTTGACATGTGATAATACAACTTATTATTAAATAGACTCTAATTGCCCTATCATATTCACTTGGATAAGATTTCCAGAGAAAGCTTGTATTTCAACCAGCAATTTTTTACTAATTTTACTAATCATATAGTATATACTCACCTCAAATGAGTTTAGTGTCCCGAAGTATATAGGCACAAAGGCTAGCCATATGATACAGGTGGTATACATGGTAAATCCAATAAACTTGCTTTCATTGAAGTTCTCGGGGATCCTCCGAGTCTTAACAGCATACACAGTACATATTAGGATAAGTAACATGTTATAAATGAGTGAAATGAGGAATGATAAGTCCTGAATGTTGCATTTTAATATCACTTCGTCCCTCCGACCATTTGGGAAATATTTCCTGGTTCCTGGTGGCTCTAGAACGAGCCACACTCCAGTACATACAACTTGGATAGATATCAAAATTGAAGATATCACCATTTGAGACTTAGGACTTATGAATGCTGGTCTTTTGGCAGATCTACTTGCACTATAAAATATTCGTGAGATTCTATTTGTTTTTGTTAGAAGGGATGCATATATAACTGAAAAGCCAAATCCCACTCCGAACCTTTGGAGAGCACATGTGATAAGAGTTGGTTTGGCGAGTAGTATAAAAGACATAAGATAGCATATCAGGCAGCCAGAGAGCAGCATAAAGCTGAGCTCTCGTCCGGATGCCTTTACTACTGGTGTCTCGTTATGGCGTACAAACGTCAACATTGTCACTATTGTGACTAGCATTCCTATACACGATAGGGCCATTGGTACTATGGCGTAGATGCTTCCCCATTGCATATACTGCTCTGGCAACATGAAACACGCCATCTTGTTTTCATGGGGCCATAAGCCAGGACCGCAATCCACACACGTGAATTCATCTTTTAAAAACTCCCACGGTTGACATTTAGTACATAGCCAACAACAATTATCTCCTTGTTGGACGTGTTTGATTTCTCCCCAATTACATGGTTTACTGCATTGACTAGTGGGCATTTCATACCTTCCTCCAGCCCATACAAGATGACCCTTTGGCTCTAGTGTCAGGACCCCAGTGGCCCACTTTCCTATTACGTGGTACTCGTATTTTCCAGTCCTCCTGTTGCGCTGGTAGTTCATGATATTGTACCTTCCGAGACCATCTCCGTTCTTATCAAATTGGACAAGGCCACCAAAGCCATCTGTAAACAAGCAATGATCATGATCAAAAGAATGACAATGAAGGATTTTGTGAATAGCCTAAAGATAACTTTAACGGCAGGGCACAAAAATCCGTAGTTCCGGTGAACGTTATTGTAAGTACCAAGTAGTATGTAGAATAAGAGCAACTACCCTCAGTCAATATAGAAAGTTAAAATGTATTTGTTGAAATAAAAATGATGGGTCCGTAAAATCGCTGTACAAATGTACATGTATGTATGATCGTATCACTAGATATAAATAAACGTTTGAATATGGAGGAGCGGAATAAAAAAGATGAAGCTTGGAAGAGAGGGACATATTTGCATTAGTTGTTATATTGGACCAGAACAAGGGGTATCATAAACGGAATATAAAAGCTTTGTCGGAGGTTGTCCCATCTCTGGTCCTGTCACCACCACGGTCAACTTGAACTGTGCTATTTGATACTGCCTCTATTAAAATTTCATTTGAAGTGACATGTACATGTCATATAAGTGACATCAAATCAGTGAAGTTGTAGTAAATGAGACATTGAAGTATGTAATTATCTAAAAGCAATTACCTTGATATTTTAATAATTTGACTGCTCTTGCTCTCGTGGGTTGAAATATGGTTAAAGTTCACATGGAGTAAGATAGATCATTCCCGACCTGTCTAGAATTATCCGAGCTGTATCAGAAATTGTCATAATTTGTGTGGGTTTCTCTGGGAAATAATGATTAATGTAACTGGATTAAGCAACCCTAGAACACGTGTTATGCAACGATATTGGAAATCTGCAAATCTTGTTAAGTCTATATGGTACCAATGATAATGACGATCTTCTACTTCCACTCGGGCGACTTTAATCATGTTCCCAGCTTTGAAGATAATGTGGTTTCTATCATCTTATAATCTATCTAATTTTTCCTTAGAAAACATAAGCCGATGTGACACTGACTTTGATGATAAGGTCTAATTTAGAAAACAGCAAAGAAATGAGTTTGCTTATTAATTTGTGAAATTAGTAGGATGGGTGCACCATTACTAACAACGTTGTCATTAAGCATTAATATTCATCAAAATTCTCCCCTCACTCCGATTCCCAACTTGGTCTGCAAATTGATTGAGCTAAATTAAAATGGGTTTCCGAAAAAACCTTGTCACTGATTATAAGGGAACTACTTTTTCATATCCAAGCGATTAGTCTGAATTATGACTACTGCTTTGAACCGTTGAAAGGTCGATAGATTTCAAGCGAAGAGGAGATACCCCCATCTAGCAAGCTCAGGTTAGTGATTGATCCATTCTGACAATACGGATACAAAAAGAGGGTTACTTTTGACATTTTGTAGAACTCGGATCAATAGCTATCATTGCATGTCCAATAAATGTTTGTCACACAAATTACTCTGATGTTCAATTCAAGTATGCTCCATTGAACATTACATATAACTCAAATTAAGAAAGAAGACACGTATTCTGGATAAAATTACACCCATTGTTTATTTGAAGGTAATTGGAACAATTAAATGTCAAAACATTTCAAGGAAAGTTACCCATTGTCTGAATATCGATGACAGATATCTTTCTCAAAAATAGATAAGGCACTTCGATAAAAAAAACACTTAATTGCCAACAAAGTGGCCTTGATGTCAGCAAATTTTATTTGGGTGGCTAAATATGATCAAATAACATCCCTGAATGTAATTGTGAATCGTTCAGCATTAGTTTTGACCGACTCAATCAGGATGAATTGATTTATATCGAATAGAGGAAATAAAAGCACTCATTAAAGAAGCTAATCATATTCCTCTAGATATCCAATAACGTGCCGTAAACATCGATGGAACGAAATACCCTGGTTTATCAGATCGAATACCCAATCAACCTTCAAGATCGAGCCTCGCTGAACTTACGGAAAGAATTGAAATACCCTTGGACCAAGGACCAGAGCAATCACTATTCATTTTCGGTTTATTATCATTTTCGGTTTATTATCATTTTCAATTTTTTGCCCCTCATTTACACAGGCTGGTATCGAAATATTTGTCCGCTGTGACGGAGTATGCTATTTTTCATAAAAACGCTAAGAATACTTCACGATTTATTTTTTAACTCACATGTTTCGTTATACCATACAAAATTACTTACTCCATGCAATGGATATATCATTTGCGGGTAACTTTCACTTCTGTTTGAAGTCCAATTACGCTGGGAAGAAAAGCTATTGAAAATGGCGCCGGGGTATCATACTTCAAAATGTACCATTTCTTGTTTAACTTTCTAATGGCACGATATAGTGACACGATAATATTTACACATGGTTTCAGCATAACTATGAAGGTATAAATGAGATGTTGATGTATTTGGTCTTTTTAATTATTTTATAAAAAATAATGTTTAATTTTTTTGTCCGCTGTGACGGAGCAATTGCAAATGTGAACTGTGAAAATGCTCCGTCACAGCGGACAAAAAATATTAATATTATTTTTTATAAAAAAAATTAAAAAGACCCAATGCATTAATATCTCATTAATACATTCAGAGTTATGCTGAAAACATATGTTAATATTATCGTGTCACTATATCATGTCATTAAAAAGTTAAAAAAGAAATGGTACATTTTAGAGTTTGATACTCTGGCGCCGTTTTCAATAGATTTTACTCCTAGCGTTATTGGACTTCAAACAGAAGTGAAGGTTACACGCAAATGATATATCCATTGCATGGACTAAGTAATTATCTTTGATATAACGAAACATATGAGTTAAAAAATAAATCGTGAAGCATTCTTAGTGTTTTTATGAAAAATAGCATGCTCCGTCACAGCGGACAAATCTTTCGATACCAGCCTGTGATTTATATGGATCTCCAGATAAGCCCCTGTACCAAAACGATTTGCGCACATTATGATTATCAATGAATTGTAACTAAATTATCTCAATAACTGCAAGTACATTTACTAAATTCCTTTGAATGTAAATATCACCGAAATGTTGATCATGACTTATACCGGATGGGCATAAAAAATGGGCCGTACTTCGGCGGCATCTGATTTGTCCATCACCTTCTTACCTGTACTTCTAAAAATTTGCACATGTGAAACGATTTTATTTCTGATAATGGCATCAAAATCAAAAACATGAGTCAAAAAATGTTTATTTCATGAAATGATTGAGTTACAAATTTACTTTTAGTATATTGTTTAATTTCAATGTAATAGCTTGATATGGAGCTTTGATTTAAGCAAATAATCCTTGACCACCAGAAGTTGTATAGGTCTTTGCTGAAGGCATGGTCATCAATCAATTTCTGAAAAAATATTTGTCAATGTGTACCATCTTCAGAGAATATGGAGGACCAATTGATCAATTTTTCAACAGTAACAAAGATTGACGTCATATTGAAATCTTCCGGAACAAGCGTTTTTGACTTATGTTTTTGATTTTGATCCCATTACCAGAAATTTTAAAGGATAACACTTATATTTCATCTATTATGTAAACTCTTTGAGAAGTAGAGGCAAGAGGGTTATGGAGATATCCGGTGACAAAGTACGGCCCATTTTTATGCCCATCTGGTATTTCTTCAAAAGAGCCAAATAACCTATAGGGACATCGGGATGCATGTAAATAGGCTTTTAACCATTTGAAAAAGTTTTTATAAAAGTTAATAAACATATGACTTTGAATTTGAAAGTATGAAAGATGCTCTAACATCGTAATCCGTGCTGTTTCAAACACCCAATACAAGACTAAGCCATGCGAAAGGTAACAATGGTAAAATGATACTATTTTTATTGATATAAAGAAATGCCACTCGGCTCAGATATGAGAAAAATTTATATAATGCAAGTACAGCGAGAAGTCTTAATGCCCGAGTCAGAATTAGCCCAACATCCCAGACAATCATACACCCCCACATAGTTCTACTCGTATATTTCAATGCATCTTGATGGATCAAACAGAACACTCCTATCATCACGCTTGCATTGTGCAAGAAGTGTCTCGTTTCTCATTGTCTCCCAGTCGATATCACAATCCATCAACATTTTCACGTTTAGACACACATTTAGGGCAAAGAGAAATCGTGTTCAACTTGTTCAGTTAAAATTGACAATTAGATAATGAAAATGATGGGTTTTTCATAAGAAATTATCTGAAGTAAGTTATCCAGATAAGCACCACTTCTTCTTCATACGGATGTTACTGTCCTTAATTAACGCCTTTACATCATGAATGTATTCTCAAAGGTATTTGATTCCAAGGACAAAACGTCACGCGTCACTGATTCAAACAAAAATATAGCTATATGTGACACAACACTAAATAAGGAAATGCATATAGATGTTCTCAAAGGTATAAATTAGACATACAATTCTGTAATTCATTATTTTGTTTACAATGTCTGGGTTGGATCAGCTTATAAATCCAATCCAATCTACAAATTTAACTATGATGATATTAATATCGTATTATAAAGCTTTCATTACAAAAGAACAACACTCAAAAGATTCATCAATGCATAAACATATCAAAAGAGTGAGCTACAAGTATGGAAATATTATGATTTGTATATGAAGTAGAAATGACCACAAATCTATGAAATTCCCAATTATGACATCATAGTCATAGTTAACTTTAGGAAGATGATTCTAAGTTATATAAGGCCACGCCTAACAATCGACAACGTACAGTGACAAAACACGCTGTCGTACACCTTAGATGTACGATGTCGCTATTAACCGATTTGAACCAAAGACAATGATGTAGATTTGATGTAGGTTTTAACAAAATTATCTGAGCAATACATTAAGGATTTCAAGTTTGATTTCGCGTGTATTCGTTTGGAAAGACATTCTAGTAACGTTAAAAGATTTTTAAACAGTGCTCGATTTTTTCGTGGTACATCTACCCATATAATTGGTCGATTTTTATGAGAATATGTTTTTTTAAACTACACAATTTAGGACGGGTGGAGATTAATAAATATTCAAGTATTTATTGTAATTAAAAAAATCAGAAATGTGCGTTGTCAACTCGAATGTACGTTGTCACTGTAATTGAAATTCATGAGATATAATATTAAACAATGTAATGATTTCATTTCAAAATTCATTAAGCTTTTTATGAGTAACAAGTGATCTTTATCGAACATGTTCAAGTATCCTTTGTACAGATGATTTTAGCAAATGTGATTTTTTGATTTCATGAAAGTATTGTTGTGGTGGTGGTTAATCTGTGTCCATTGGGTGTTAGCTTCCAGCCCAAACTTCCATTCAGTGTCTCGGAATAGAATATGTTAAAGACTAGCACTGCCACGGAGTTTGCTTGCAGCCTCTTTGATTATTTGGCGTCTGCACCTTACGTTTTGTTAGTTACATTGATAGATAGATCTAAATTAGCTTATTGAACATGATTTTTTAAAATCCCGTTTATGATATATCTGAAAAGTGCTCAATAGTTCCAATAGTTCAATCAAATTAAAAAAATTCTGTAATTGTTCTGTTTCAATTTTTAATGCATCTGGCGCCCCTGTCTGTGAGTGTTATGAAAAATAGGTTGCCAGCATTATGGTTAACTGTGAATTGAGTAAGTTCAATGGGACAACGTACATTCGAGTTGACAACGTACACTTATGATTTTTTAAATTGTAGCCAAAACTTTAATACTTACTAAATCTTCAACAGACTTAATTGTGTAGTTTAAAGAAACATATTATCATAAAAAAAAATTCAACACTCTTAGACGGCAGGGGAGGAAATGATCAAAGGAAATGTGTAAAAAACAACATTTTCCAACCGACCACTTATATGGGTAGATTGACTACGAAAATATCGAGCACTGTTCGAAAATCTTTTAACGTTATTTGAAACATTAAATCCTTAATGTATTCCTCAGATTATTTTTTTAAAACCTACATCAAACCTCCATCATTGTCTTCGCTTCAAATCGGTTAAATAGTGATACCGTACATCTAAAGTATACGACTGTATATTTTGTCACTGTACGTTGTCGATGGTTAGGCGTGAAAGTTCTGGGGTTGTTTATTAGGATTAAATGAGATGGGCATGGACAAGAGCTTCTTGGGATGTTGGTCAATAAAATGGTTATATCAGATCCACGTGTTTCCTTTGGAAAGTAAGAAAGGATGTTTGGTCAATAAGAGGAACCGAGAAAGATACACTAATAAGTACCATCCAATTAAATTATCAATATGGCACGCTAGACAAGGCGGATCTATACACTGATTAAGGGATTTGTTAGGAGGACAGTAACACCGTTTTCTTTAATCATTTAGTAATGCAACATCTATGTCAATTATATCTGACCTTTACATCACTTATTATGATATCAGAGCTTTCCATTGGTACCAAGATTTTGTTGGCGGTCAGTCAACTATTTAACTCCCTTATTTTAATTAAGGCTTTGGGGGGTTTTTCCTACTCGTCTACTATTATGATTGAACATGGTTTTTGTTTTACTCTTTCTTACCTTAAATGTATATGAATATGTTTGTTGAGGATCAATGAACGTTAAAGCCATTGGTTACCAAAGTGATATCTATGGCTTTTTGGAACAATGAAATCATTCTTAATGATGAAACTCATTAATCCAAACATTATAAACTGTAACATAATTCTTTACAAGTGACGATTTCGGGCATGCCATCCAAACATTTCAAATTGTTTCCAGAATATTCAAAAGTATCTTAATTAAAGGGGGGATAGACATTATTTCTTCTCACGTTAGATCATGGTTTTGGGATATACATAAAGGGTATATTTTTAGTATGACAGGTTTTAACTTAGAGTTTGTTTTTTGTTAGGTTTCTTTACAGTTTTCGGTCATTTCCCTTTGACACTTGTGCTTAGATAGCTAAGATTTTACGAATTCTCCATCTTGATTTTGCATTCTATTTTGAAAAGAGTTTATATGTTTCAAAAATAATGGTTCTGGAGATTGGTCAGAGAACACAAGTATTTTTCCTTCATTATATTGGAATGATAAAGATAAAAATAAACGGGCTGTCTGTTACAAATGTCTGTTAAGACAGGCGTTGACACATTATTGGGACCAATGCACAAAGCCTATTAATCCTGACCAATATTAACAAACAGGAATATGAATTATTGCTAGAAGACGAAAATATATATCTGAGTGGTGATATATTGAATTTGATAAAATTGAATAGAATGTTCGAGCTTGTACCGATTGATCTAATTTTATCTCTTTCATTATGCAATTGCCTTTAGAACTCCTATGCTGAGTTGTAATACTGTTAACACTAAATAAAAACTTTCTGGAACAAGTGTCAACAAGTGCTGTTTGCATAATCAAAACCGATGACATCTTTGAGACTATTTATAAGTCTTTTTCTATCAATGTGAGGCAATGTAAGAATTTGATAAAACAATTAGTAGTCAAGCTCTTTGTCTATAAGGTTTTTTACATTCTTCGTGTTAGTTAGGAAACGACAAATCGTCTGGCTAGCTAGCTATAATGCATCATTTTAAATGCTACTGTTGTAGCCATCCCTGAGAGGTTAATGTCACCTTAATCTTATCCCTTAAAGATGTTGACATAGATGTTGTAGTGTAACAGTAAGTGACATTTGAACTTGATATCCATCAAGTTGTTTTAAACGATGGTCTTTTATTGGACTCTAGATAGACCTTTAACCTAGACGCGAATAAAGCTGACGGTAATGCCTCCTGAAATCCTGACGACCTATGTTAACACCCATATTACACTTTCCAATTACCGGAGGGGTCAGAAATTAAAATGTCAGACGATCTACTAGTGGTAACTGTCAACAAAATCTTGATGAACTAGGGCCGATTATCTTTAATAGTCAATAACTTACAAATGGAATATTGGAAAAGAATGCGCTTGGGGACCTCTTAGAGTCAATGCATAACGAAGCATTGATTTTAGCAAAAGAGTATATGATAGAGATTGTTCTATCATGAGTAGTGTGAAGAAAAGTCGATCTCATGTTGCATGTTATGACCCCCCACTTAACTAGAGACTCCAATTGACTACTTTGATCAAAACAAACCATATCTTCGGATTACGGTAATGTTAATGTAGCACTCGGGCTTGGGTTGATTGCCTCAAAGCAATGTCCAAGCGATTAACATTCCCAATGATCAAAGAGACGAGGAAAACTATTTTAAGGAACATCATTGATATAAACTAATGACCGATTAATGGATTGGAGGGAAAAAACAATTGTATTCACGAGGGCCTTACCAGTAAAGGATACATTAAGAATGTATCTCCTGTAGAGTTCATCTCCACTGATTGTCTTCATTGCACTGCAAAGACCATCCCTCTTTGGACACAAATCGGTATACATACTGTCAAGGGCTTTAGATATAGCATACACTGCATCATATACAAACTGTACTTTGCTTTCCTGTTTATATACCCTTTTTGAGATCTTTTCATCACCAGTACAAAATGGAATGGTTTCATGTAATGTTGTATTGGAGATGCCATTGAGTTTACATTTGAAAACATGCTCCCAATAGCTATTGAACCAAGGATTGCGAATGTTGTTTCTGGGAGTTCTTCCCATAAAATATGTATCGAATGCAGGAATGGGTGTAGATTGGAGCTCGATAGTTAAGGCGCCCTCAGCTGCCAGTTCATTATCACGCACTGGCATGTCCTGCTTACCCCAACCATCACTCGCAATCCAAACAAATTTATCAGTTACATTGTTTCTCGTAGCAGCAGACAACAGTGCGCGCGCATCCTCACCACGTGTGAACATCACAACTGCACGCGCACTAGACTTCAACAATAAGTTTTTAATTACTTCGTCTAAATCTGCATCAGTTGATGATGCAGGGATCTTTTCGTTTACGGCATAACAAATGTTGCGTCCACGCGCCTCTCGTATGAATGAATCCATACCATTTTGCCCATAATCTCCTTCAGAGGAAACTGTGGAAATATAAGTCCAGTTGAAGTGGACAACAATATCGACCATAGCCTTTGCTTGTAAAGTATCTGGAGGGACAGTTCGGGCAAAGAAGTCAAAACGGATCTTATCACTCAGTGCAGCGCTGGTTGAGGCATAACTAATCTGTGGAATTTTGAACAACCTTAAGAGATTGGCAACTTGTATAGAAACACTGCTGTACGAGCCTCCAATCACACCAGCGATAGCTTTGGGCGCTGTACTAGAGGTTGCTGTACTTCCGTCCTCACATTTAAACTCTGAAGCATCCAGGGTGCTCATCGAGGCCCTGACATATTCCAGTGATTGTTCTAGAGCATAGGTATCCCTTGAACAAGTGTCAAGTATATTCGCCCCTAGTTTGACATCTGGTAGGATGTCAGATCTACGATTTATCTCATCGATTGTAAAAAGCATTGCTTCCAACCTTTGAATTCCTCTATTTGTATTGATTTTTCCACAATGTATGTCACCTTGTCCCTTTTCATGGACTGGAAAGAGTCCACCAAGAATTATATTACCTGGTTCCTTTGCAGCTATGTTAGCCGATAGGGAACTATTTCTTTTCAGCGATGGGACACTGAAGGTTGCAAACGAATAGTTAGTGTTCCATATAAAGGTACATAGGAACACCTGGTACAAATGACCAGAAAAGCGAACACCTCTCATGTCCTAAGTAGTCCTGATCGATACATAGGGAAGTGTATTAGTGTTTCTTTTACAAGTATTTCCTTGTCAATCCATGGCTGTTTGAATCAATACCAACAAGATGGGTGCATATCCAACCAAGTATAAATACCATAATGCAATATTGGGTCATATGTATGCAAAGTGACTTCTGAATTGTTTCCAATGGGTAGTGCTCGTTGTCAGTCGGACGAAGGGGCTCATCAGTAGAGCAATTATTGACATACAGTTGATTACTAATCTAATTCTTTTGCAAGTCCAATAGCATTCAATCATTGACAAACATAAGGCATAGAGAAAGTCATCATTCTCTCTATCAATCCCTCAAGTCGTGAAAATAGATTACCCTTTTCTTAGTTTTCTTATGCATGATGAACCTCTGTCCTGTTTCTCTATTCAGCAATCATACCTCCCGTTCAGACTAATTCATACCCAGCTGCTTGTTCATGACAAAGACCGAAATGACTATTATCCGATCATGACAGACCATGGATCTTCTTCAAGCGGTACTTTATCCACAATTGTCCAACAAGAGTCATAAATCCTTAACGTAATGCGTAAGTAGACAGACAGATCGACCTGAAAAAAAGAAGGAAAGGCTATTAAAAGGGATGTCAAATTCGGTTATCAATAGTAGTTTAACTAAATAGCTTCGTATATTTAATGTACTGTTGATGAGCATTTCATTACACTTATCAATTGATCAATAGAAACAATAGGATGTGCTCTTGTACAGCAATGAATAAATCCAATCCTATATATCAAGTACACTGCTGTCAATTTTCAATGTTTCAAATAATTACACAGCAGGTCATCAATTATAGCATGTGTACCTTCTTTCAAGTACAAACACATAATAAAACCAATGATTCCTTTTTACAAAAGAAGAACTGATAATGAGTGCTATCACATAAGAGCATGCTCATGGCAATATTCTTATCATAGCATCTGTGGCCCTCTGCAATGTTTATCCAGGTGCCCATTAATGTTTTGAGGCATCTGCTGAGATCCATATCCATATACATGCTAACACTTCACATATCTTTTCCATTATGATGATTAATATGACATATTTGCTTTTATGTCTCTATTTCTTTAGCTGTTTTGCTGACCTTGGAATTATTGTTACCATACGATTACGTAATATGCAATTAATAAGTATCCATGAATATTCCATATGAATGTCGATCATCATAAGACACATTTATGGATACTGACACCAATATAAAAGAAATGTCGAAATCATTAACTTTAATAATTATCCTATTAAGGCAACTTAAAAAGAGGCAATAAAGTTAGCTTTCTATTGAAATAATAAGACCGTATATTACTTCAGTGGATTCAATTTATCGCAAATTAAAGCGTGTAAAACTTCAATACTTTCTTTTCCTGACAAGTCACAATAATAGCATCTAGGTTTAGCGTAATGATTTAAACTGTTTGTTTGGATTTGTTTTTTCATTGCGTGATTGAGGAAAGATATGTTCTTGTTACATTAGTCTGGTTAAGACATGCCAAGTATCACCATGATTCGCTATCAATGTCTAAACGAGATAAGAATTTACCAACTTATGAAAAACGTTTATAGCCATGGCTTCTGAATGGGTAGAGCTGCGCGACAAATTATGACGTAGTACACAAACTTTATAAGTGATGAACATCGTAAAGGATTTACAAATACGCTATATACGTTTGTTATGAATTCTTTCTAATATCTAAGTGCAGAACTTATAGCCGACATCTCATCAAAAGTGCCATTGAATTCCTGCCAATAACCATGTAAAGTTAATAGTACAAGCTAGAAACACACTGTTGAGGTTTTAATCAATTTACATCACAAATAAAAACAAGGCACGTGACGAACGAAATCCCACCAAAAAGTAGGCAGAAGATGCGACGACTATATCCCAACGGTCGTGTGATAACAAGCCTAAAAACTTTAGGACTGCTCTGTGTCCATACGATATATTTGCAAACATCCTTGATAGTTCAATTATTAGACGATAGCACTGATGACAGTGCTATTTAATGAAGTCTCTATGCGGATCTAAATACCCATTTGTTTGACATACTATTGACAAAATCATTTTTATTGGGATCCATAAATAACCCTTCCAGGATTAAGTCGGGCCTAGATTGTTTTGAAATAGTCATATTATTTATACCAATATTTCAGTTAGGTACGCTGGATTGACATGACTGAGAGATTGATTAATATAATCTATACTTTATAGTTTGAGAAACATGTTTGATAGATCCAATTAAAATGTTTGTTAAATGGGAGGCTAACAAATGTAAGGTTTGATGAAAAGCTGCGAAAGTATGTGGAAGTACCACCCTATATATAGCGCCCCCCCCATGCGGAAGCAAAATCCTCACTAACATAATGACATTATAACGTAGTTTTAACAACTACTCACCAGTTTTTATACTTCGCTAGAATAATGTTATTGATCTTGCTGAAACCTTCACTTTCAATCTGAACTATATTCTATGTTTTTAAATATTTTTCGGTATTTCTCCTTTTGGAACAAGTAATCTACTTTGAAATAAAAAATAGCTTAGTTTGGATCTATTAGAAATAAAGCCGGAGAAGTTCTTTGCTCATTATAGCTCATACCATAAATGATGTACACCGGGCTGTACATCTATCAATTTCGCACAAAGAGTATATAAATGTATACCCTGCGTGCAGAGTCTAGTTAAACTACGAACGACGAAGCTCTCTTTTAAGAAGAGAAGTCAAACGAATGCAAAGGGTAATAAATGTAGATTATGAAAACTATTAAAATTTAAGAGACTCAGTGACCTACTTTTTAAAAGTAAAAATATGTAGGTCACTGAATTATCTCCTTTTATGTACACTGTCCATAGAACATATGTGATTAGCACTCAACTATAGTAAACGTCTAACAGTCTTCATGTATTCATGCCTCTTTTTGTAAAACTGAAAAACTCAGAGCAAGTATGGAATAAATCATGTGTGTACCTGAAAATAACATAGAACTCCGATTAGGAATAAAAAATTCTGAACATGTGTATATACCTTAACCCTAATGCAGACAAGAGGGTCAATTGGCTGAACCACATATTTAGTTCATTACATTGATGATGTTTACCAGTTATATGAGTTAAATACTAAGTAGGCAGTGGAGTTCGTCTTCACGATATGATGGTCCAAACGCGTGCTTTTGATTTAAATCGAATATTTAAGAACTATTTTTGCACTACTTTATTTTTCCCTTACAGTTACGACAATTACAAAGTAAATACATTTATGAGAATTTGATCTAAAAGTAAAATAAATAATGATGTTTTCATATCGCAATGATGATTTACTTTCAAATTCAAGAATATGCAAAAAATGTGTGACTCCCGAGATCACTTACCTTATTCGACTGACTGAAGTTGGTCTAGCCTCTAAGAGTATTTTGGACAGGCTCTCCAATGAAAGGTCTCAAACGGTAGAGGGGACCATATGACGTGTTTTGCAAAGGAGTGTAATGGAGTTAATGCTAACGAAAAATAGACGTATACCAGAAAGGTATTGATTGGGATATTATGAAGAAATGAGTATTGGATACAATCTTCTCACCACTGAGCCTCTTTTTCATCAATTTTAAACTATAAACAAAATGTGTTTTTGAATTCTCTTTGTACTAGATACCCCGGTTACCAATTACTATTGCTCATTGAACTTGGGAAACTCATCCTAGGCTAGGGATGTTTTTGGAATACCTTCGGAGTCAGACTTTACTGCATCGATAATCAGATAATGGTGACGTATCGTGTCTTACATCCGCATACATTTTAGTGTTTTTGTAACGAAAATTAATGAATTCGAATGACAAACAAAAGAAGATTTGCAATATAAAACAACAAATTGATTGGTAATTATAAGAAATCCATACGACAACTGTTGGTTTACATGCTTCCAGAATTAACAAACTCATGGTTGGAATTCGGAGTATAGCAACGAAGAGATATGTAGTTCCAAATGCAAAAATGTAGAAATTACTTTTTGCTTGAAGGATTGAGTACAAAATAAGATATAAAATTCGTGAATAGTTTCATATCTCTATACGTTTCTGTTTACATTAGATATAATTTACAAATACATCATTGCCAAAGGGGAATGCGAAGGAAATGCGGTAAGAGATAGTTTAAAGGAAATAGCCAGAAGATATGAAGCGGAGTCTATGAAGATATCAGTGGGGTGTATATCAATTAAAGAATTCTTTCAGGGTAACTTTACTTGACAGAGTTGGCTCGAATATGTAAAATAAATAGAATATCTTACGAAACGCCAAAAGTAGTCTCCTGTTGAAACTTAACTAGAAAATGGCAACTCCACGGGAAGCAAATCCCAACCCAAAATATGATTCCCTAAATTGAGCAATCATGCAATCTGCAATTTATTTTAATACTTTTTTGATTTGCATAAGTATCTATTGTGCATGTTTCAAGATTTCCGGAATTTTGAAAATTTGGGCTGCCGTTTTGGACGTCCAAACGCACGGATAAAAGCAAGATTTAATAATCGGATCTACCAATCAAATTCGGTCTTATGAAATCTCCAATTTCGTAGGACGGTCAAAATACCAGGGGTTTTTCAAAATTTTCAGAAGTTTCTCAAAATTATGTTTCTCGTTTTTGGAATTATGATAAATGATTATCAGATACCACCAGTTCATGCAATAATACACATGACACATGATTTTAGAATTGAAACTGCTGACATTTTTGAAAATATTCTTTACATATAATTATATATCTTCCAACCAAAATATGAAAAATCAGTCCTCTATTATTCGAATTATTCCTCCTATCACAGGCGAACTGACCCATGGACGGAGAAGTAGATTATATTCGTCGAGATAATACGCCTTAAGAGAGGATTTGATACCACTGCACTGGTTAAAGATATTTAGATTAATCAAGGTATTTTTTAATATGGAATACTGCGATAAGTCAAGATGGTATTATAAGATATATCTCTATAGGAACGATGTCTTGTAGAGTGTGTGCTTGAGTTAAGAATATCTCATGTTTGCCCTACCCCCAGGGCGTGCAAGACGTCACACAGTTCTTCAGATTACGTCTGGATGTCATTAATGAGCTGCTTCTTGACTGTAGTTCGTCATGCAATTTGAAGTCAGGAGAGTCCTTATCCATAAACACATGCCTAGATCCTTTAACAGGTAATTTTACTTCTAGACGGTTATAATTATGGTTATATAATCCCGTTGTTGAAGCTCTATAGTAATTAACCCCTATAGAGCGTTCATACGTTATCTTCTAATTACAATTCTAAGAGCAGATTTTGCTTTAGAGACTCTTTTATTCAATTTGAAATCTAAGTAACTGCGTTACTGGCTAATAAAACGTTAATACTGCTTGTCCATATCTATCATTTAATCATAAACCACTGTTAAATAGGAATTTTTCCTTTCCACATATCGTACGTTACCTTAAAGACATTATTTATGTGTTTTAAAAGACGATGTTTTCTCATCAGTAGGCATTTGATACAACGTCCAAGATTGTACTTGTCACAACAAAATTAAATTTATTTCACT